TGAGCACTCCTCCCCATCAAGAATTTTACCTCACTAGTCAAGTCACAAGTCACACGAGTGGTCACAACAACAAGCAGGTAAACATCTATAATGACTTTACATTATCTCCACCAGGTTCTCACACAACCCCCAGATGAATCATTAAATGCATAATCCTATAAAGAGACTACAAACAGCTGTCAAGTAAAGGAATAATTTAAGTATACACAGTACAGATGACCACAGTTCAAATTAACCTGAACCCGAACCCAGCCTCACCACATACACCAGGAAAGGCTAAAAGAGCACACTACTTTATCTCCATATAAATACAGTATATCCTGAGTCCAAACCAATTGTACTCCACACTTGCACCACACACTATCACCAGCCAAGTTTCCGTCTACCTCCCCTGCACTTGCTGTGACCCACACAATGTGGGATACTATGCCGCCAATTACCATACTATTTTACTCCAACAAATGCACAACGTTAATTTACTCACTATAAATATATAACATACTAGACACAGAACATATAAAACATAGTCCTACCTACTGAATTGGCCTCAATCAACATATTCAGTGCCTATAAAACTCCCCTGCCCAAAGATACAGCACTTGTTTCATTTTCAGTCTGGTGAATCAGATACATTTGCTACTTAGCCCCTCACCCCACACAACATGTTCTCGTCCATCCTTCACTCCACATCATACCGTCCATCCCTCACCTCACACTATACTGTCCATCCACTCCTGCACAATACTGCAAGTCCTTCCTCACAACATACTAAGTCCATCCTTAACTCCTCTACATACACATGTCCTTCCCCCACCCTGCAGCACACTGCAAGTCCTTCCTCACAACACATACCAAGTCCATCCCCACACAACATACCAAGTCCTTCCCCCCACCCTACACAATACTACAAGTCCCTTCCCCCACTCTACACAACATGGCCAAGTCCTTCCCCCACTCCCCACACATTATTACACATCCTTCCCCCCACATGTCATCACTTCATGTCCTCCCTCACTCCCACACACACTGCTGTCCCTTCCCTCACCCTACACAATACAATCCTTTCCCCCACCCCACACAACACTACAAGCACCTCACCTGCACAACATACCAAGTCCATCCTCACTCAGCCTCAAGTCCTTCCCCACCCCACATCATCACCACAAGTCCATCCCTTACTCCTACAATTAACCATACCCAAGTCCTTCCCCTAACCCCACACAATACTACAAGTCCATCCCTCAATCTTGACACAGTCCTTCCTCACCCTGCACAACATACAATTAAGTCCTCCCTCACTCCTACACACATACCAAGTCCTTCCCCACCCTTTACACAACATACCGTCCTTCCTCACTTACACAACATACCAAGTCCTTCCCCACTCTACACAACATACCAAGTCCTTCCTCACCCTACACATCATACCAAGTCCTTCCCTAACTCCCATTACTACCAATACTATGTCCATCCCTCACCCCACATTGAAGATAATTGCCAAGTCCTTCCCCCCACTCCTGCACAACATACCGTCCTTCCCTCACTCCCACACGACATACCGGGGTCCTCCTCAATTCTGGCCACAAACACACTAAGTCCTTCCCTCACTCCTACACAACATACCGTCCCTCACTCTACACATCAACATACCAAGTCCTCCCTCACTCCCTACACAACATACCAAGTCCTCCCTCACTTTACACAACATACTGTCCTTCACTCCCCACATGTCCCTCCCCAGAGTGACCCACCATCTATTAAGCTCCTATTTTGTTTTTCATCTGACTCTTGAACTTTTCCCAGCAAGCAGAGTCACAGCTTTTCATAGTAGATTAATTTTACAGCACCAGTCCCAACATCACTGGAAACAATTTTACTTACGAATCATTCAAAATCCTGTCTCTGCCCTTGTCCAGTTCATCCACATATTTAAATTGCACTTGTGTTCAGAAAGTTGCTCCTATATAAAGTTTATCAAACTCCAACATATGGTATTAGTCTTGTATTTTTACAGTAAAAGATGGCACCAATTTGCAGCTCTTAACTAATACTACGTAGATCTATCCATACTATTAACACTGAAATGTGCTCCTTAATTTGGGTTACTTGATCAACAAACACCTTTCCCTCAATACCAATATTTTGTTCTTTTTTTCATCAATATATAATACAGTTATCTCTTATTCTTCCTCTTCAGTGTACAACAGTTTACATTACCCATCATCATCGCTGACGTTTGCCTCGAGCTGCTGGAGGCTGCCCACCATCCCTGCCTCCACACTCGCCTATTTTATTTTTCTAAGTCGGACATTTTCACCTATATGAAGGCGACAATTCATGATATAACATGCACGCGATCTATTAACTCAGATTAAAGTAAGTTTTCCAATTTTTTGTGACTTTCTGACACCAAATACTAGTCGAGAAGTGATTGGCAGTCCGATTTATTCATCTAGGACCATTATTTGACTTCATTCCGGCTACATTTGGGTAATTAGTCGGGCCCCCCTGGCGGGTTAATCCTATATATTAACCAAAATCTGAAATACCTATTACTTTTATCCTCTTCGCCACTGATCGGCTCGTTAGCCGCTTGGGCGATCGGTCACGTCTCTTTTCCTTTATATTCTTCACCAAAAGGTCGGCTCGCTAGCCGCCCGGGCGATCGGTCACGTCTCTGTCACGCACTGTTGGCAAATACTGGGCATGCACCGGCTCCTGAATGTACCTGAACCCGCTCCAGTGTTGGTCAAGTCTTCTCTTGAAAGAGCTCACACTCGGTGCCGTCACAACACTCTCTGGTAGATTGTTCCAAGAGTTTACAACCCTCACTCCGAAAAAGTTTGCCCTCACGGTTTTCCGGACTTGCGGCTTCTTCAATCTTGAGCTGTGACCCCTTGTGGGGCGAGCGTCCGCCAGCTCCAAGTAAGGACACTCAACTGAGTAGTGCCCCCTGAGATGCTTATAAACCTCAACTAGGTCCCCCCTTGCCCGTCTGTAGTATAAGCTAGGCAAGTTCAGGCGCTCCAATCTCTCAGGGTAGCTGAGATGCCGAAGTGCAGGCACCAGTTTGGTGGCCCTCCTTTGAACATTTTCAACCAACTGACAGTCCCAAGCATATCTCGGGGACCAGATGGGGTGACAGTACTCCAGATGGGGAAGCACTTCACTCCTGAAGATCGTCACGAGGGACGGACCGTCTAGATATCTGAACGACCTTCTTATAAGACCCAATAATTTATTTGCCTGATTTACCTTCTCACAATGGCCCGAGAACTTCAGCTCATTGTCAACATACACACCTAGGTCCTTCTCACACACAGTCTCAACTAGTACATTTTCTTCATCCCGTTGGGACATATGGTACGCCTCCTTACCGTTGGTACGCCCCAGGTGCATCCTCTTACACTTCGTGACATTGAATCTCAGCAGCCATTCCTTCGACCATTCCTGGAGCCCACAGAGGTCCTTCTGCAGCTCTTCACAGTCCGCTTGGTTCTTAATTTCCCGAAATAACTTGGCGTCATCGGCAAACATTTGTATGGAGGAGTGTACAACGTCAGGCATATCATTTATGAAACAAACAAACAACAGCGGGCCCAATACACTACCCTGCGGTACCCCACTTGTTACAGGTACAGATGACGATTTCGTGCCATTAATCACCACACATTGCTTGCGGTCATGTAGAAAGTCTTCTATCCACGCTAGGACATTTCCCCGAATTCCGTACCCTTCCAGTTTGATTTTCAGCCTTTCGTGGGGTACACTGTCGAAAGCCTTGGCAAAATCTAGGTAAATATTGTCGATATTACCACCCCGCACCTATTGGGATAAAAGCGAATATTAACCCTATTAATTTTGGTCAATTCACCAAATCGTCGACGGCAACGAATTATTTCTTACTACAAACACCAATATAAACTACACTAATACCTAGGCAGCATAATATATAAAATGGCGGAGTTTATCTTTGCAATTACCTTTTCATAAAACATCTTCACCTAAATTTCCATTTGATGATGGAATAAAACTCAAAAACAACTTGATGTGTTGACAAACTACCATGGCGGTGATTAACCAACTCTCCAACATCAAATGTAACTTAATTATGAAAATCAAAATACCAACAATTTACTCACCACAGAGGACAGTAGCGACATAAGCTTGTGTTTAAATAACTTAATATAAAAATACTAAAAATATAACCACCACATAACAGCCAGTCACGACACGTCCTTCCTTCCCGACACACTCTCGGCAAATGGCTTACTGGTGACTGACGCCACAATGGGTTGTTATAGCAAGGATGGAATATGTAGAGAAACTTGTACTACATTCAATTAACGTTCAACCCCTGACTGCTGCACCATCTCTCGGTTCAGTTTTACCATAAATATTTAGGTCGTCATAGAAAACGAGCTTGTCTTTAGCGTAGACTCCTGTCATAAGCCATATACATTTCTATTCTTAGCAGCCATTACATAATATACGTGATTTTCTGCTTATACATTTATACATTTATTTATTCACGAACAATAATGTCCCTTAAATAAAAGAAAAGGCAATAGAAATACTTTAATTATTTACATTAATTACAATAATCTGAACAGACTCCATTTCTTAGCACATAGTTATTCTACTAATTAATGTGTGCAACATTCTTTAATTAACTATATTCAACTACAGTAAACTCAAATGTCAACAGACTCAGATTTATTTTAATGTGATTCAAAACAACTGAATATATAGTTACTATTGTTTTGTAGACGGGCAAGGGGTGACCTAATTGAGGTGTATAAGCATCACAAGGGGTCAAAGGTCAAGATTAGGTCACACCTTGCCCGTCTATAGTATAAGCTATAATTATCATCCATCTAGATCACTGAAATCCCTCTGTATTAAAAGATAAAACATAGAAAAAAACGAAGATTCCATAATGATATATATAGTATTACAACAATTTCTTATTTATCTATCAATAATTATTTGGGGAAAGATATGACGTTACAGCTCCCTCCCGAACGCTGGCCCGAGCATCAACACAAACAGAGACTCAGCAGCAGACCCAACTAGTGGAAAACAGAAACACATTACTACTGTACCTAACGTGGAGGTGGTTGATGGAGATATAGAATTATTTAAGTCTCGTTGGCTGGTGTGCAGGAGGTAAATAACAACCAGGAATATTTTGGGTATTGAATTTTAGTGTGTTTGGTGTTACAGGTGATGGTGAGAACTGGATAGATGTTAATTTAATGATTATACAAGTTTCGTTGGTTCAGTGTAATAAAGATATTTAGTTGAATAAATCATGGGGTAATAGTGGAGCAAACTTATACCAGAAGGAGTTTGCTGATTTTGTTCATATTTTCCGGTTTTTCTTTGGATGGTGATAAGTTATAAAATCGATACAATTGCACCAAAATTTCTGGAGATGTTGTTTGCATGATATTAAACACGAAAATGGAAACGACAATGCACAGAACCTGACCTAACCAAACCAGCCTGCCTAACCTTACCTAACTTCCTAAAGGACCCCCCAGCTTAAGCAAGGAAAATAATAGGGTAAAAACATTGCAAACACTGATCATATTGCAGTGATTTCAAGTCTCTGCCCTTTGTAGGCAAAGATAAAATATTTACCGTAATTATGGTGCCGTCAGATATCCCGTCTTTTGTTTACATGTTAAAAACGAACAACAGTTCCATCAGGCGTGTTTATTATGATTTATATTGGATTGAATTCATTCTTTTTTCTGAAGATGTTGTTTGGATGATAGTAAGAAAATTGAAACAACAATGCACAGGTTAGGTCAGGTTCTAAGCTTTTTTGCTTCTATTTTCATCGTCAATTATTCACACACGAGCATTGGTTGGCAAGACAGTGGTTCAGTTGACAAATTGAGGGTATGGTTTTAAGTCTAACCATTTTGTGACATGAATTGGGTTTTGATAGGTGTAGAAGTGTACTGTACCTTACTTAGCCTATCTGCGCGTATGCTCGGAAAAATCTTGGTGACAACACTGGTTGCTAGGTAGGTGGGTGGAAATTTGGTTTTAATTCGCCCAGTGCCGGTTTTTACTTGCCATGGGCGAGGTGGAATATGTATTTCTCCACCCTTGGTGTATATTAAGCACCTTCTGTAGTACAGTTGTATTAAATAATATTTTGTCTCCAGATCTTCACCATGCGACTAACTCCAATTGTGCTAAACTCGCAGTATTACATCAACCGTAACCGACCAAAAAATGGACGAAGGCCCACCCGTCAACCCTTCCCATTCAATAACAATCTTCCTATTTTTTTGAGAGATCACGTTTCGGGGAAGAATGATAAAACAAACAGTAAGTAACAATAAAATGTCCATTTCACTCCGAAGAATTTATCACACCTCTCTTGTACTCATGCAAACTAATATTTAAAATTTTATTAGGTACTGTACTTTCTTTTAAGGAAATGGGGCTCCCCAATTGTGTTGTAAAGGGATTTTCATCATACAGTATACACTTTCTATACAATGTGTCAGTTGATTTTTTATTTATTTACATGCTCAGAATTTTGTAATGAATTGTTGTTGTTGGGCAAAAGGTCTGCTTAATTGTTTCCAGTCTCTTGTACATATATTTTATCTGTGGCCACATTGATTTTATACACATTTAAAATGTGTGCACAGTATTAGAATTATATACTGTACCTGTACATTCATTTTGCTGGATACGTATCACCGTCTCTGCTTTCCCTTCAACTTTGCACATTAATATTTTTATCCCCCCATTCCTAACTACTGTATTATTCCCAAAGCATCTCATTTTAAATATTCTATAAATTTCAAGTATTTCCCTCTAAATTTTTGCCTACTTACTGCCTATAAATATGTATGCTGCTCATTGTTTACTGTTAAGAGTTCAGAATAATATATTAACCTTTATCAACCACATTAAATTAAAACATACATCCTTTTTTTCAAATTTCAGGTGTTGCCTGTCTTCAGGATATGTCTATTCTGTTTGCATGCTTAAAGAAAAATGATTTCAATCAAGCAATGTGCCATAAGGAAATTGAGTCGTTCCAGAATTGCCACGAGAATTTCATGGTAAATATTAAAAAAAAAAAAATTAACCCTGTTTGAATTAACACCATATATTTCAGGAGTCCCTTTCCCCATATTATATGAGGACTGTACACCATTGTAGGATTTAAATTTATTATCTCTTACCACTCCCCAAAAAGGGCTGTGAAAATGGGGCTTTTGTGTGTCAAACATTATAAACACCTACAGTAGCAGTGGAGTTTAACCAAACGTGATATATCACAAGATCTTAAGGAGTTCAGTTTCATTTTTTTTTTTCATTATACTGTAGTATGTTACAACCCTACAAACTTTGCTGTAGAACAATAGGGGATTTGGCCACCTATAGTGGCAAACACTTCCATTAACAAGAGACCTGTAAGATTATTCTGCTTCAAACTCCTGTATCACAGCCTGGGGCTTTGACATGTTCTAGTAACTGGCTGCACTATCCTCTCAAAACATAAATTGCTTATGAACAGCACCTGACATACCTTGATTTATGCAAGGGTTCCATTCCAGAAAACCTTTGTAAATTGAGGGATGCCTTTACAGTATATCATAACTTAGTTTACAATGTATTTTGCAAACTTCATATTGCAGTGTTCAGCTATCCCTTTTTATACGAGGGTTCTGTTCCAAACAAGCTTTTGTATACTGATCCTTTGTACATCAAGGGATGCCTGTATTTATTATATTTGACAGTTCAGTATTTGTTTCCCCATTTTTTCCAAGTATTGTACCGTGTATTTTAAGGTGTGTGATAACGAGTGCAATCTGTTTACCAATTTGACATTGATTAGCTTGTCATTTCAGTTATGTTGATTGGTTTGTGATAGGTGTAAAGAATGGTCTCTGGATGCAAGAGGAAGAAGTGATTTTGAAGCAACAGAAACAATAGATAGATGGAGTTAAGTGAAAGTAAAAATTAGTGCATAACTTTAGAGGGTAATGGGAGGAGAGTAAAGGAAGAACAAAAATATAGAAGCGCTAGGAAACGGCAATGTGCTCGATTGACAGGAGAGCACTGTATCATTTTAATTGGCTTTGGGAATGGATGTACTGTACTGTTGATGGGCAATGCAAGGTGATGTATAATGAACGAGTTACAAGTCAGATCGAGGACCGAGTTGCAGAAGGGGATCACCAGAACAGAACACATCACATACACCAGTAAGAGTGAATGAATGAATGAAGAGTTTGTATTTGCTTACTAATCCCATCACACCACATTATTGTGGTTAAGGAATTGAAGGATTTTTTCAAATACAGTAGATGTACTAGATACTGATGACTGAAGCTAGTTTACACAATACAGAAATGAACCAGATACCTGTATATACAGTACTTGAACCCTTGTAGAAGACAAACAGCACAGTAGAGTGAATGAAGGGTATGTTTCTTTCAAGTCTGGCCATCTTAAATTTGAAGTGAAAATATAAAGTTTGTATTAACAAAATCTGACAATAGCTTCTTGAAAAATTTTGATATTGTAATGCACACTGGTTTTCCTTCCCAGTCCATTCTTTTGTTGCACCCAAGATAGTGATGAGGACCTTATAATCATGCATTAACTACTGTATTATGCCCAAATCCCCTAATGCAGCATTATAAATAATAAAACCCATTTAATGGTTTTCACATTTTTCATTTTACTCTTACAGCACACACAGAGACTGAGAAAGGAACAAGAGAAACAGGGGCTTCTTGTACCTGGTGAGAGGAATCTCTCTCACAGACAAATTAATCTCCTCTTGAAGAAACATCCTCAGCCCAAATAGGGCATTTATTTCATGTACTGTACAGTATATAGTTTAATAAAAATTTAAAATTCTTTCCCTAATAATCTTTTCAAACTACAGTGGTAATTTTAAGAAAATTTGGTAAAAAAGAAAAAACGAACTATAAAACTTTTATTCCAACACAAACCAGTATCCACAAATTGGATTCATACTCAAAATTGACACGTCTACTGGGATTGAGAGGAAACTTTCCACCTGCCTGTCAGCAAGAATACTGGGTTGAATAGTTAAACAAAGAACTGGTGTTACCATACAGAGAAGTGACAAAACTGAATACTAAATTCTAAATAACTACACACCAAGCAGTGTATACAGCTAATATTGAGACTTTGGTTAACAATGGGATTGTAGAGTATTTCCATTTCATAGTGACAGAAGTGGGACTTCCTATTTTATCAGTATTTCCTTCAGAAACACGTTACATAATTTTTCAAACTTGCAGTACAGCCTTGTGTGTAATCTAATCTAACTATTTTGAAACTGTGACCACTTGAGATTTTTTATCACTTAAGTGACATTGGGCACTTTCGGGCTTTTTTTTCACTATATTGCAAGAACTATCAACCCCATCACTACAATTTTAATACTTTATCTGGGTAACGCCATGTGAATTTATATAGCAGAGGGAACCCCATACACAATGGGTTAAGGGGACCTCTAACACCCCCCCCGACTTATGAGTACAGTACTTTAACAAAAGATGTTACAGTACACAATGATTTGCTGCCACGAATCTTTTGGTCTTGATTTCTATATAAATATTTATGAACGTGCCTTTCTAGGTCAAAAGTAAATGAAAAGAATTTCCCTACCATTATGGCTACCTTCTTTTTTCCACATTCTCACGACATTAAAGTTTTGGAGAAAATATACAATGAATAGCAAGGTTATTTCTCTAATAGTTTGTCTAATAATTTTCTTTATGAAGACTACAATATCAGTTACTATATTTATGAGAATTAAATAAAAATTAACACCTTGGTCACTAAACTTACGAGGGAATTCTAAAAACTGTTTCTGGCTGCATGAACTGAACCCTCCATTAACAGTAAGCACATTAATGTAAATCATCCTACACCTTAATAAATCTTGAAATTTAGTAAATCCTCTAATTTATAGGATAATTCATACGGAGGATCTAATCAAAGAAAATCCTAATATGTAGCAATATTTTCTCTGCCTAAAAGTTCAGTCATTTATATTTCAACCTTGTATTAAAAGTGAACCAAGAATAATTCATTAGTACAGGTACTACAGTACAGTATACTGTAATAGAGTATTAATATTGTGAACCAATCAGAGCACTGCAATGGTGGCCCGAGTAGAGGCTGACCAGTCCGAGTGCATATAGGAGCAGTGATAATGGGCTACACAGTGGATGGGTTTTTTTTTTTATTTTTTTTTTATTTATTTTTTTTTTTTTTGCCAGGATCGTGGGACTGAACCCATTATTTTCTAAGTACAGTATACCATGATGTCTTGTTAATTACAATAACCATTAATTAGAAAGTTTAGTGTAAGTCAGCACCAAACTTTTACTTTCTTATCCAGTAACAAAGAGTGAAGAGTCCAGTTGCTATTTTTTTAGGTGCTTTGACTGCCAGGGTTATTGAGCAATGTCCACATACTCATGTTTAAAAAATGGGCGACTTCAACGTTTTTAATAAGCTTTATAAACCATTGTTGTGATCTACTTATTCTACAAAACAAATTAGCAAATATTAAGGAATTTTATGAACATTCTCCTCACTCGAGTTGAAATCCTAACCTATTTACTAGGAGTCATATACAAGTACACAAAAGAACGCTTGAATAATTTTGTTCATTATATGCTCAAGTCACCAAGTTGCATTCCAGTCAGTGGAAACGTATTTCTTTATGAGATGTGGCTTGTGATTTGCTAGTGTACATAATTTTTAAGAGAATAAAATGTAGTCAGCCACATTCGGCCTTCCTTGGAGAGACTGATGTTATTCACATTGAGAAAACAGGCCATAAATATTATCAGATACATACTGAAGTGTAATTGTTTGGTCCACCATCCTAATCTTTGGTAAAATAAAATATTTGGCGGAACATTATTCTCGAAAAATTTTGAAATACTGTACAATATCAGAGAAAGAGAGAGCAATGCCATGGTTTGGTGAAGGGTCTTAAAACATATTTGAGATTAAATAGTGAAACATTCAAATATTGGCTCCAGTAAATGAGTCATCAAAGGGCAACTATACTTTTTGACTTTCTTTAGGAGGAATGATAAGTCCACTGATTCAATGTTGCCAAATAAAATGTCTTTTCTATTAATAAACATACTGACAAATACCTATTACAGTATGACCATTAAAACAGAAATATGCAGAAATTGAAGTCGTCAAGTTGTCATTACTACAATTAAAAAAAAAAGACACATTTACTCATCAATGATCTGCTGTAAAATTTTACACTAATTCTTTGTTACAATTTCAACTAATAGTTGCCTTTATAAGTTTTATATATACAGTACAGTACAGTACAGTATATATATATATATATATATATATATATATATATATATATATATATATATATATATATATATATATATATATATATATATATATATATATATATATATATATATATATATATATATATGCTGTGACCAGTGAGTACTTATTTAATCTCAATTTAATTCAATGAAAAAATAATAATTATGCAATATTCTCATGAATATAAGATGTATTTTAATTTTAATTTTTCTAAATATTAATAACTTTTTAATTTCCTTTTTAAAGGGGGTAGCTGCATATTCTGCACAATGATCAGATACAAGGAAAACACCAACTTATAAGCAAGGTTTCAAACTAAAACACAGATCATGTACAGTATAACTAAACATGACTCGAGTTATACAAAGGCATGGAAATGTGTCGAGTATGTAGGCAGTTAAATCATCATGAAGGTTATGTAAATATTACTTTTCTCATGATTACCTTCCTAGTTTTCACACCAACCAGTAACACAATATTACAGAGGCCCTACTTTTCAATACACAGATTTCTTATTAGAGGCTAGCAGCCTTGGAAATTACCTTCAGTCATCAATGGTAGACCCCCCCCCTCCCCCAGAGTAAAAAAAGTTAAGTCAACTGTCTATCTAATGGCAGATCATCCCAGTAAAATGAGTTTAGTGAACTGCCCAGTCAGCAGTAGCAGATTACCCCGTCAAAAGTGTTAAGTATTTTGTGTTTCAAACATTTAATACATGGATATTTTTTTCCAATTGGATCTAAAATTCAGGAAATTATGTTTAAAGAAGAAGATAGACATCATCAACCGTTTTACACCCATTTTCCACATTTGTGTGGGTCAAGAGGAGGAAATTCCTAAACTGCCTTTGCTGCATAAACTCTAAAGGTATACAGTATATGTAATAATTTCCTTCCTCACTACTTTTTAAATATACTGAAATAATTGCACCTTGAATGATATCTGACATAAAAACAACATTAAAATAACTCCAGGGCCTTTACTAATAATGTTTAATCTATACAATTTATAAACTATCTACAGTAGTATCATACTGTACTGTATATCCAAATATTCACAACATGAAATAAAAAGATTTAGAAGAAATATGTTTTTATGAATAATTTAAGATTTAGCAGAAAAATATTGCTACGGATGTTAAAATTTCTTGTTCAAGATCATTTCTTTTTTTTTTAAGTTCATCACAGGAAAATATGGAAAAAGCTTTACAAAATATTCCTGTAGCTGCTCTAGCTCCATTAAAGTTACTGGAAATATTAAACACGTTTGGCCTTTACACTGCACTCAACTGTATAAAATTTATGAGTCACAACAAGTACAGGTATGTAAATTTCTGAAAAGAAGCTACACTGAAACATTTAAAAACTCAAACAAATTACAAGCAAATTGTTCCTTTTTGTATGTAAAACTACAAAACTATATGCAGTGATAGCTGAGGACACAACAGATTCTGGAACTATGATGTTCTTCCAGTAAATTCTAAACAACCAAAAACTGAACATTCTCAGTTCTGTAATATGATCAAAAATTGGAGTGTATACCTGTCTATTCAAAATCATGAACACACGTCAATCTGCTTTAGCTTTCAGTATTAGGAGTTGTTGGTTGTTTGGCACAGAGCCTGAGGGGCAAGTGTAACAAGTGCAAATGATGTATGCATCATAGTCATTAGTTACAGCACAGCGTATATTCTCCTTGACCCTTCAGCTAATTCAGCTGCAGCATCAGTCTTTAAAACTCCTTATTTGATAAATAATTACCATACAAAAGTTCTTAGTACCTATATTCTGTTAAGGACTATACATTAGTACATATTTGCATAGTCAGAGGAACCAGAACATGAACAATATATATATATATATATATATATATATATATATATATATATATATATATATATATATATATATATATATATATATATATATATATATATATATATATATATATATATATATATATATATATATATATATATATATATATATATATATATATATATATATATATATATATATATATATATATATATATATATATATATATATATATATATATATATATATATATATATATATATATATATATATGGTATCATGACTTTGTTGATATTCAATACCTTAGGAGTATATTTTGAGGTAATTTCCAGTCAAAAAAATTCTATAAATATTAGTACATATCACAATGGTTACAGAAATATGGATATTTAAAATTAAAGGGAGATTTGCACATAATTAAGTCATATTGACGAGTGCTATAAATGTACACTGTACTGTAGTTTACGGCAGTCTACCAAAAATATTCAAAATGACTGCCTTTACCTTGGATACAAATTCACAAATTCAAGTTTATTGTATCACTGAATGAATACTAATCTTACCAAGTGCATCACAGACATTATATGCATTCCGCAGCATCCATAACTCAATGAAACAGTTCATCTTGTTTGTTTTTTGCTTTTACAGTAAGATCAGGATATATACCGACTTTTTATAAAGATTTTTTTATATTGCGACTACCATTATTATCGCTATTTTCCAATATATAGCAAAAAATCTATTTATTTCACGAGGGAAATTGGGCAGGAAATATTTAAAATTTACCGCCATGGCAAAAAAATGGATTATTTGCTCACCAGAGGCGCTACTGTGGCTGCTCACTCAAGCAGTCACGCTCGCAAGCACAGTCTTTCTGAGTGAGTGACGAGTAAGCAGCCGACTCTGCTGCAGATTCAGAATTCTAAAGTGAGTGTAAATGGGTTGCTAGTGACGTGAAAAGTGAAGTGAAGAGAATGGAAAGCTTAATGGAAAAGATATAATATTGTAACTAATATTTTTGGTTTGTTCATTTATGTAGGTGTGGGATTGTCAAGTGTGTGTGGCAGTGTGGTGTCTGCTGCCGAGTCTGGTGTTCCCAAGTCTAGTGTTCATTGGTGCTTTAGTTAGTATGAAAATAAACACGTTAAGTCAAGTTTAGTCACTTTTATTGACCTCCAGAACCTAACCCTATTATCATCATTGATTACATATAATTATATATCGCAATTTAGTATGTATATGGCGAACATCCTTGGACCCTATCTCGCGATATATCCCGACCATACTGTACAGTATAGTCTGGATTTACACGGTTTTTGTTTACGCGTTTGGTCATTTACGCGGTGCCTTGCCAGAATGAAATGCTTTAATTACGCGGCAAGCAGCTGGAGGTCCAGACCGCCGCGCCATTTTTTACCCACGCGGTCCATTCTTCACCATACGCAGGAAGCGGCGCGGTAAGTAGTGCGCATTAGGCCGCTCTTACGTTATCGCTGACGTCATCGCTATCGCTGTAATTGGTCTAATGTAACATGACATGCCCTGCCACCAGAGGGTAGAAGTCGCTGACCTAGCCGGGCCTGTCTTATTGTTCTCAATTCGCTTATACAGTTCTCTCTTGTGCCCGCTATTCCCCTCACAATGGCTTCAGCTGGACCCCCACCACCCGAGAAGAACCTTGAATTACCTGGACCAAGCCATGATAATGTGAAGGAAATCATCGAGTTGAGGGAGAAAATTAAGCTCATCCTTGACAACGACCCAGACAAGCATTGGTATGAAGTGTCTAATAACCTTCCGACGAAAGTTATGGAGCCGTATATCCAGATCTATCTCGACAACATCAATGCTAGTCATCAACATAGTATTGAGGACTTCCTCGCCTGCAACCCACCACAACCACAGCCAGCCCAAGTCAGTGATAGTGACAGTGAGGATATGGACTTTGAGGGATTTGTCTGGGAGGCCCTGCAAACCTCTGCGAGTAGTGAAAGTGAAAGTGATTCGCCAGAGGGCAACTAATCTGCCCTCTGCCTCGGAACCAACCGCCATCCACGTGTGCCGACTCATCTTTTCTACTAACGTGTTAAAAAACCTAATATTATTGATATTTCTCTTAATTATTAATTGTGTGCATACCATCATAAAATTAAGATGTTATTTTGACTACAACGTACGTATTGTGTCGGAAAAAGTGGAGTTTGGGGGTCGGCCCAGTCTCTATTTCAATTAATCCCATATGTTCTGTTATATGATTTACGCATTTCTCGTTTTACGCGGGCCTCCACGGGTTCAATTGACCGCGTAAATGCAGACTATACTGTACACCATTTATTGGGGACTAGGTTATACATATGTGACACTTATTCAATAAATTTTTCATTTATATGCAAATCACTCTTTAACTTCAAACACCCATAGTCATGTAACTGCTGAGAACTGGACTCATGTTGAGAGAAAAAAAAAGTCTAGAAATTTCCTCAGAAATAAATTCCTGGGGTGCTGACAAAGTCATGAAACACCCTGTATATAATAGAGACTATTTGGTTTAATGCCCTTAACAAATAAATTTTTTACAGTGGGTGAAAAATGGGGGGGCTAATTTCTGAAGTGAAAAGTTTCTTTATCTGCTTCAACTTGAGCAGCATTTAGAAAATGTGTCCAACAAGAGTCACATGTTGAGCCATGTCTTTTCCCTTCTTAATTCATGAAAATTACGCTAAATCAGATCAGGCTCCCAAGAAAAAACTCTTGATAATTAAATGCTCACAATAAAATTACTTAGACAAATGAAAAATTTTTCAACACATACAACTTATATAAATCTGTGTTTCCTTTTCTTCTCAATTCTTAAGAGCAAGAACGAAATAAAACTAGCTCCAGAAAAAAAAATAAATCTTACTTCAGATGTGCACTTCCACAGTGACTATACCAACAGTGACAAGATGTGGCCTGGTGAAAGCATCCATGAAGTTTTCTCTTCATACCTTACCAGTTTATTTTTATCATTACTTTCTTGAATACTTCCGGTCTCTCGAATATGACCTGCAAAAGAAAAAATATATCCAACGCATAAAAAAAGTTCACTGAAAAAGGAGCAACAAGTATACTGTACACTTTAGAAGAATGTGTTAACAACTGACTATGATCACAAAAATATCGGACAGGTGAACACAATGAATAAAATACTGGGTCCCGTAAGCTAATACTGTACTTGTACAGTATACTGTATGTATCTGCTTACAAACATATGCAATATGTCTATTTGCCCACAAAAGTGGGATCACTCATATAAATAGTTCTTCATGGTATATTTCAGCACATAACTGACTCAATCAAGTCTGCCTTATCACCCACAAACTCCCTTATTCTGCCACAAATGCATTACTTTTCATCTCGTCTCTATTAAAACTTAAGTCAGTTATTCTCTTTTCACATATAACCCTCTAAGTTCATATAAAATTTTACCTCCAGCACTTTTAACGTATACGTACTGTACCGTACAGTAAGCCCTCTTAATAATGGATATTCCCAATAATGTACGTCTGTTTTTCCATATACTGTACTGTACCTGTACGCATTTGGGAACTGTATACACCATGTCTACTTCCTCTCTGTCTAGACTTACAAAATTTATATCTTATTTTAAGAGAGTGAACAGAATAAGGTTGATGTCAAATATTTCAGTTGTTTGTGTGTTTTCACACACCTACATCTCACTAACTTTTACACTTATTACCACACAATATATCAGAGTTGATTTCTTACTAAGCAGTAATAAAAAATGGAAGTAATTCTTCAAAGCACCATAATGCCTCTTAAAGATGGCTGACAAACAGTCTTCTCATCAACTATACACAAAAACACTATTACAAATGCACTGTCATCTCATTGCATTTATAAACTGTACAAAAATCTAAGAAAATTAATCACTAGTCTGTGTGGCAAATGTTTATGTATGGAACCCCTTTAAAATGCAATGAAAATCCTATACAATACTGAAAAATGCACATTTCATTATTTCTAATATACAAAACTAATAATCTCTTGGATTTAAAATTTTGTCCCCTAAACAACTTGCATTGGTATGAGACAACATATGTTCCTTTTCTTTAGTCTATGCACAACACAATATATGTTGCAGTCCAAAAGCTTACACTTTCTTTAGATTTTTTTTTAAACACCAGTGCTGAGACTGTCTGATTAACCTGTACTCTGCCTTCTCAATGATGTATTACAATTATTGTATTTACCAACACTTATAACTTTCACAGTGCTTCTTTATCACAGTTTCCTGCTTTAAAAAGATCTTTTAACCCACTACAACAAATATACGTTTATCTGAAGATTAAAGACATTACTACAAGACACTCAAATACACCTAATAAATCTCACCTCTGCTTACCACAACAGTACACAATAAATCACAGATCTGTCATGAGAACTTGTATTCAACTGCTTAAAGAAGTGACAGTAGTACATACCTTGTTAATGTGGATAATACCCCAGCATCAATGATCAGCAATACATACTCTGTGGTACCTTATTTCTTACCAATGTTATTAATCAAACTAGAGATTATGCCATCTGCATTTGTTAAATACTCTATGCATTTAAAGTACATACCATTATGAAAATATATATATATAATTCTGATTTGACTACATTCAACATGTAACTGAATTCCCTTTTGAATAATGTCTACTTAAGCAATGTTGAAAAAAAATACAATTATCTCAAATTGCAAAAATCTGATACTAATGTGGAGCTTTGTAATATGTATTAAGTATTTAGGTGTTGGAGCACTAACTGCATTATTTCTATCAGTTACAATAATGTAAAATGTCCTAATTGAACACAACTTAAAATAATGCAATTTAATATACTGTACTGGAAGTTATTTGAACTTGCCTATAACTAATAACTACTGTATCAAGGCCAGTGGACAATAATTAGATGATGGTTCAATTATCAACACATACAGTATGTATAGAATTTAAGAGTAACTTAATATTAAGACAGTTCATATTAAAAAGAGCCACCCTAAATCATGCACAAAAAACTTAATGCCCTTTCCTTAGGCAAAGCCTCAGTATTTTCATACATAAAAGCCCCTTCTTCCTATGATGTTGTGTGGCCATGTACAGTAGATGCTGATCTGATTCTCATCATTAATTAGCATGTGCATTAACCCAACCCCTTAGTAGGGTGCTAATCCACCCAAGGATTGTTCCACCACCACAGAGTATCCAATAGTGTTCTCATTTGTGACCATAAGTGCAAAGGCTAGTTTACAAGGAGAGAACCTAGTCCTCCATTTTTGTCAAGAATCATACTCATGAATTGTGACCATTCACTTGTGAGGAAAACACTTAAGCACAAGTAAGAAGGAAGCATAAAACTATCTGAGAAAAACATGATAATGAAGTCTTATTCACCTCTTGATATGAACTGTCTAAATGTGTCAGTCTTAAAGTTGATAACCAAACTTTTTCTAACTATTACACCAAAGCATAACCTTCAAAAACATCATATTACCAACTTGATTCTGGTGATGTCTCCAATACCCTAATCATTTAATGTTCACCACCACCTTAAACCTGGTTACCTCGACCTGGAGCGGGAACGGGAGCTGGAGCAGGAATGGTGAGACTCTCTCCTTCTCTTCACACTTGAACGATCCCGTGACCTATAACAACCATCATATATAATATCTAATAAGTATACTGTTTATACTAAGAATCCTCAAAAAAATATAGAAGATTATATGATGATGAATTCTGCAAGAAAATTCATCAATTTCATTCGAGCTACGTGACAAAGACAATGATACTGGATTAAAAATGAACAGTTTAACTTACAATTTGTCTCTCTCTCTCTCTCTCTCTCTCTCATTCATCAAAAGAAAACTAAATTTTGTTTCATTGTCATGGCAATGCAGTTCTACAACATATAAAACAATTTCACTACACCCATTAAATCGACCAACATAAATTTATAATGAAAATCATGTACGTACAAGGTATTCCACACAATCTGTCTAACACCAACATGCCCATTCTCATAAACTGCTTTTACCAAATTTTCATTTCACAAGATTATTATGGAGAACACAATGATTTTCATCCTTAATTATATCAGCTAATCTTCTCTATTTTGTTTTAATATTTGACATTTTAAATATAAAAACTGATGATAATAATTCATATACTGTATCAGCATTAATAATGGGAGTCTATGGGAAAATGTGATCAATTCATAATGGCAACCTTTTGTAAATTGGGAGACTGTTTATATGTAGGAGTAGATGCTTACAATAAACTGATCAATATTTCAGCAGGATTTTAGTGACCAGTTCATTTCTGCAGCACATGAATAACTGTACTCACAGATCATTGCTCAAACAAAGAAGTTCATTCACATGCTATTAATAACCATGTCATGAACAGCAGTTACAGCACCAATGAGAGCGAATACTAATTCTAACGCTTGACCAATTACTTTTACTTTAAATTCTGCCCTCTACCATCTCCTCTCCTATTTGCATAGTATGGCTCAAACACATAGACATGAAACACGGTGTTAATGCCAAGGCCTATATTAGCACACAAACAAGAAGACTTTCTATCATACAAACTGTCCCTCTTCCGTACCCCAATTTCTAATCATGTCTTAAGGATACTGTACCCTGTTTCAAAGCCTTTTCCCTTGATTCCCCGTCATAGAAATAAATTTGATTAAGGGGCATTATGATCAATCTTAATCCTGTAAAATTAGTGTATAATTTATCCAGATATCTAAATAAAATTTGAAACAAACAAGAAATAAATTAATAACTTGAACATTTGCATAATCCATACCTCATGTTTGGCATTCAGAAGAAAAAAATAATCCAATACATATACAAGAAATACTTTAGAAGTGATATTAACCTTTTACCCAAGTTACCCTTTTACCTTGACCTAGATCTCCGCCTCCTTGAATTAGGGGACCGAGATCTTGATTTGGAGTTGCTGTTCCTGCGCCCCGACCTTGACGGTGACCGTGAGGAAGACCTTGTTGACCTGGAATAAATGGCTAAGCTGATAATCATAGTCTATACACATGCAATCCACAAAAGCCACACATTGCAACTACAATTTATTCCCGCAATCTTGTCAATTATACATTCTGACAGTTTACTTATCTACAGGTACATAAAAAAACTTCCAAGATATTTCTACTTATTCTTAATTGCTTCAGTCATGGTTTTGATTCACAAAACCCCTATTAACACCTTCACTATGGGGACACCTCTTATAATATTTTATTTGGTTAATGCCAGATGATATTAATCAGCTCAGAGGGGAAGCTGTACACAAGTGGTTAATAAAATAACAGTAATACCAGACATAACAACTAGAGAAGTAAAGAAATAGATTTTTCCACAGATGGAGGAGAAAATAATAACACTTACAAGTGTATCGATATTGTAAACTTTCAGTCAGATGACCAAAGCTGAAATTCAATAAGAATGACCACAGGCTAAACTTTCAAAGATTGGTCACTTTAAGTTATTTTCTATACTTAAGGCTAAGAAAACATGTCTAGTAGTCTGAGACCCAAATTTCTTTTTTGAGTGGTACCCTATACTGTACTGTGAGCTGCAGAAGGTCTGAAAGATTTTTCAATAGATTATGCTAACTAGAGACAGTTTAAAGTGTTGTAAAATTACTCTGGGGGAACCTTAAGATTGGTTACTGTGTTAATGGTTGATCACATGATACAGGGATAAAATAAATTGTACTAACCTTTGAAAATCTGCACTGAGTTCTCTATCTTTATACCCCATTCACTGCCACTCAGCAGTACCTCTGTTGTCTCCATCCACCTTTGAACTTCCTTTTTCTCAAAAGAGTTTTACCACACTCCTTTACAGCATGCTAATTCTCAAAAATTATCTCCATCCAACAATTCTTGTCTACTCCAAGAACAACTTATGTTTTAATATTGCCGTCTGATATATTATGTCACTCTTCACTATCTATTTCCCATACGGCATTAAAAACACTTCCCATTTTCTCTTTGTCAATTAACTTTCTCTTAACAATTCCAAATTTGAACCCAAAATATTTTTCATGGACTGAGAGAATGACAACTTACAACAGAAAAGCAGAACTCAACACTCTTCTGCCAAGTGTAACTCCCAAGAGGCTGTCATAAACTAACCAAATTTTGAGGCAATAGTTTTCACATTAACAAACATGTAGAACAAATTTCATTCTCCTGCAACTGGTTGAGGAGACCCACAGCATAGGATCCCTTCACATACAACATGAATGCTACATCCCCCATGTGTTGAGTCAAGAAGGATAGAAAAGATACCAAGTAAAATGAACCAACTAACCTGGATTTAGAGCGAGATGATCTGGACGATCCTGAGAGAGATCGCGAGTAAGACCTTGAGCTATGCCTTCCACGGGAATAAGAGCTTGATCTCGATTTTGACCTGGAGTGTCGAAGGGACTGGGATCGGGATCTTATTGTCGTGCCACTTTTATGAGGCGAGTCGTCCAAAGGTTGACCATTTTTTTTCTAAAGAGTAAAGTTCAAAATTAGGAACTAAATAAAATTACTGTATTATGACATTCACATGAAACTAAAATTTACAAAATAAGCACTCCTAGACTTACACATTAACATTAGACTTAGAGTAGACATTAAATTCAAGACTCAGCCTAAACATTAAATCCTGGATATAATGTAGACAAACACTATTAGAGTACAGTACAGTACTACATAAAAAAGATTCAACTACCAGTGACAGGAAATCCCCAACTGATCACATGACAGCTCTTCATTAAACATAACTTCATGAACAACTAAAAAAATGTCAAAGTATAGAAATGATAAAAAAATCATAAATGCATTATTAGCCAAACACCTTGAATATCTGATCAAATAATCCTTAGATACTAATTAGAAAGCCTGTAAAATTTAATTCCTTTACACCAGATACCTGTTGGATCTTGCCACCAAATAAGGATGGGATGAAACTAGACCAATTCTCGTACAAAAAAAAAAAAAAAAAATCCTCCTACAAATGCTGAGGGCATAATATAAAAAGAGCACTTACCTTATCATCTTTCGTTTCATTTTTATCATCATCATTTTCATCCTCATCGTCATTCCAAATATCATACTTAGAGAGGTCTCCATCATCATCCTCTTCCTCATCCTCCTCCTCCTCATCATCATTAACAGCAACTGGCATCACAACATGATCCTAGAAAAATAGTCATATCTAGTGACATTCAGCAATAAGTGATCAGAGAAAAATAAATACATCCGTGGTTCTCAAATTTGTTTCGTCGTAACTCAAAAATAGATCGCTCAGGCATGTTCGTGACCCACAGTAAACAAAATAAACCCAGTAATTACAAAAAGTGGGTCTTTTTTAATACAATTATATACAAGCAATACAACTCACACTAGTAATGGGATAAAATGTAAATAAATCAATAAAGCAAGGACTTGTAGCAGACAGTCTACACCTTGTTTCAACGATTCGGCTTTGTCAGTGAGAATGTTGAAACTCCTGCCTCACAAAGGTATGTTACGTGAAGTCATTTGTCCCAGGTTCTTACACTTAACTGCACCCTAATTACCCCCAGTCATGTTTATTATGACCCTCATATTCTGAAGATTCTCAACATAAATATCACATGTCGGTAGTAATTATATATCGATCCACAAAAACAAACCTTCTTTGATTCATTTGGCGCAGGTGGATTTTTATTCCTGAATTTCTTCTTCTTCCTTCCAAATTCATCAAACTCATCATCTGATTCTTCACGATGGATGTACTCAACACCCTCCCTCTCATTAAATCCACCTCCATAGCCAGTACGCTCTTCTAAATCACCAAACTTTGGAGCATTGCACATGTTGCAAGTCTGCCGTCTAGCCCAGTTGACATTTCCACACCTTCAAAAAAGAATGGCACATACTATATGTACTGTAATGTAATGGTAAATAGTTTTAACTTTGGTTAACAAAAATTTCATTACACATCACAAAGAAAGGTCTCCTCTATAAGTCTGACGTACTTGCTACACTGCCAGTCATCAGCACTAAACAGACCATGAGATTTTTCTGCTGCAGCTTTACCAATTTCCATTCCCAGCTGACGCTTCTTCTCTGCTGCTGCTGCTGCTGCTGCAGATCCTGATCCTGAGCCACTACGATCTGAAGAGTAGCACATCCAGTAAAGTACTGTACTGTATTATTTAAAAAAAAAAATAAAAATCTTGCACAGACTTTACATAAAGATCAATAAAACACTAAACTGAAAAGTATATCATAAGTGTACATCAGAAGAGTAATACATTTAATAAACAATAAAAGGCATAACCCTTTGTAGGACAGCAGCACACTTGGTTATTTTATTCAGCAGAGGCACCCCTGCCCTACAAAGGGATAAATCCCATTAGTAATTGACATCAAGATATGTTTTCCATTTTGCTATTATTAAGACGTTAGATCTGAGGTTTATTGCATACTCTCTATACAATATACCCAAACTATCTCATACCCCAGCCATATCAGGAGTAATAATACAGATCATACAGTACAGTATAATGAGCATCTCACAAAGAATGAATTGGTCATTGGAAGCCCTATTTTACAGCTAGGTTGGGACAAAGCAATGACCACTGAGATATTCCTAAATCTGTATAATCACAGGTACAGTCAACAACAAAAATTTCTGCACCTTTATGGTGTTATACAATATGACACACTGGACCAAGAATTATGAAAACACTCATTCTCTGTGTTAGCTATAAGTGATATAAAAAATACATCATACTGATTATATAATGCACTACACAACCAGAAATACCAACCTTACCAAATTAACGTGGCCTCAGTCAGTGATCGTTGCAGAGGCCATCAGACCAAGAGGTGCAGAATAATTTTTTGCTGACAGTACATTGGAAGGTTCTCAAAAACAAAAAACAAAACAAAAAAAGCACTGGCTCAGTATTGTCATGCATCAATTCTACAATACAGCCAGTTCACACACACAACGGTTTGTTCATCCGGCATCAACATGGTTTATTATCACAATAAAATAATAGTCAATAAAAGTGCCATCTGGCAATGTAACAGACAGTCTTACAGGTCACATCTGATGTCTCATACCAACCCATAAATGATAAAATAACAATAGCAATAATATAAAATGTTAAACATACTAATGACTTTGATTTTAAGAAGTGTGAGATGATATTCAGTTTCACATCCTAATGTTCCTATCAACTTTAGTCTACTAGAACATGAGCTAAACAATGGATGTCCATGTTCACATGCAATACAAAGCAATGAATTCATTTACCTCTGCCACATCTGTTGCAGGTATTTCTTCGAGCAAAGTTGACATTAGCACACCTGAAAAGCATGAGCCAATTACCCAGTCGTTTAAATATTGAGAATAAAGAGGTCTTAAAATGACAGTTTTACTAATTGTCAAGTGCTAACATCTTTCATACTGTTCAAAAGCTTAAAAATATTTATACAACAGTTACAGTACTTAAAGAACATCTCCTGAAAATTTGGTGCAATTCCATAGACCTTCTGGTGCTAACCATCTTCTTCACCTTTACCAAATTAAATATTAAAATATCCATCAGAATGGCATTTAACCAACCAAACCTAACTATCCTTCAATCATTGGAAATAACAGAGTAAAAACACTGCGAGCACTGATCATATGGCAGTAATTTCATGTCTCTACGCCCTTTGTAGGCGATGAAATAAAATATTTACCGTAATTATGGTACCATCACATCTCCCGTGGCAACTTTGTTTTGGTTCACATCATCTGTTATACGGGAACGTCCGCAGTCTTTTTCTTACATGTTAAGAAATGAGCGACGATCTCATCGGGCGTGTTTATTACAATTTACATTTGATTGAATTCGTTCAATTATTCTAAAGATGTTGTTTGGATGATAGTAAATAAGAAAATCGAAATGACAATGCACAGGTTAATAAGTTAGGTGAAGTTTGGTGAAGTTAGGTGAGGTTAGGTATGGTTAAATAGGTTAGGTCAGGGTCTAGTAGGTTCTGTGTATTCTCGCTTCCATTTTAACGTTCAGTAGCTATCATGCAAATAATATCTACAGAATTTATTTTTTCCATTCCCTAAGGTATTTCTGGTGCTCACTGTCTCCTTTACTTTTACCAATATTTTGAAAGGTGGAACCATTATTTTTCTTGCTCCACTACATTTGCATTGTATTCATTAATACGAACAAACTATGCGTGAATAATGTAATATATCCTGTTAACCCTTTAAAATGCAGCAGCACACTTATTTGACATCTTCTGCCTCCCACCAGATGATTTTATTCAGCCGAGAGAAATACCTAACAACTAAAGTGTTAGAAAGCCCATTCATTAATCAGGTATACAGTACATGTCCTCATTATGTGTCTCGACTAAATTTACTAGCAAGGTTCCTGCCCAAAATATAAAAACGTCAGGTGTTGCCTTTCTATAAACTTATCAGTAATTCTGCTATAAAAAATCACACTCCATTAAACATCTACTTGTCAATATCTGTTGTCATTGATTACTTCCAAACTGGCGAGGTCAGCTTTGATTAGGTTAAACTTACTTCAATTTACTTAAGTTGTATTGTAACTGTTAAGAGTAAATCAAGTTATTATTAACTATTGACCGAACAATCAATGTAAAATAACAATATGAAATTCTAATGAGTAATACAGCCCCAAGTAACCATAATCATGTTGTCAGCACCATATGGGTACAATTCAACATTAAAACATCCAGTCAAATTGTATATCCCTTACTAAATATTTATATTATTGCTTGTTATATTCCAGTAATTTTTGAGTATTAAGATGCCTTACAGGAGTGTATGACTTACACATAACTGAACCTACCTATGACACTTATGCTGGAGTTGGTAACTAGTATAACCTATGAAGAACAACACAAGCTGGCTGAGCAGTTTATGGCTCTGCCCTACGATGTCCTTGACACATGCCAATAGTAATCAATGCACAACAGATATTGAAGTCAGAATATGGTTATTTTACATCTTTAAATGCCTGTATTTAGTTCATGTATCATTTAATGAAATTTAGCGTCCATAATTTAGAGAACACATCTAAAATCAGATGCGTGGCGACCCCATAGCCGTTATCCCTCGCCTCAGTTCATGTCGACTGCTGTCTGTTAACATAGCCAGATGAACACTTACTTGGGTTCACTGCAGACCCAATCACCTTCTGAAGCTTTATATTTCGATGACATCTTCAAAGCAATTCAGCGAGGATCTTGGGGAGGTAAAATGACCATCCCCACACTAGAGGTTGGAGTGCGTCGCCTTGTCCACCCTCACACAGTAAGGGAGTCAACACCCATGCCTCGACCCTCACTCTCGAACCCTCAAACAGCTTCACAAATATGCTTCATTATGAGTTAAGAATCGAGTTTGGTTTTATATTTCAGGTATATATGGAATTATCAGCTAAATTTCCTCTACAATATTCCTTAATAATTTCGCTTTCCTTATATTATTTGAGAAACTGTCACTAAGGAATAACTTTCGCTATGTAATTATTTCTAACTACAGAATCTTCTATAGAAACCTAGCATCATACTGAAGCATTGAAGGTTCAGTTATAATCTCTAAGAAGTGATCAATAATTTTGACAGAACAAATATATAAAAAAAAAACATATTGTATAACCCTAGAAGCTATTGCACTTTACTTCAGTTACAGCTCACAGAAACACTTGACCTATAGATTGAGAGCAAATAGTAGTGGATATGCTCAACAATGTCATGTATACTTTCATAGAACACAAATAACCACTGATGTTATTGCTAAAATACATAATTGAAAAGCCAGTAAAAATAATTATTGTCTCGTGGTAGATATATTCCATCGCGGAGGCTCGTATAATGTACTTTGCACATTATGTTGGTCAAACTCACTGACTGTAATTGTTCATGCAGTGGCCATCACCCATCTTGAATAGACTTACATAGGGATCCACACACACATTATCGATGACAGGGCTCTTATGAACCTTGGGCTTTGATAATTTGGATTTAATACACTCACAAGTTTTAATAACTCAATTTGCGTTAGTGCTGTAGTAAACCGTTTCCCTCAACAACTTTAATAATAATAATAGACTGTGGAGGCATAGCTTCCAATGTACTGTAAATAATAGCAATCCCCTTAAACTAAATGATAAAAATGTTGAACTTATTATACCTTCAATGATTAATTAGTAGATCAGTGAGACGACATGCCAGTTCCTACCAATCACGGATGTCGGGGAAAACTGCAGTTGAGAAAATCCAATCTGATGAGAACATCTAGAAAGGGTTGAAGTCTTACTATTGCCTTGAAACTGTCCATTCAGTTATTTCAGTGACTGGCAGTCTTATCAAATATTCATGTTAAAGTTGACTGTAGTGGAGGTAACAAGCTCTTGACTCTGTATCCCATTTCCAAATCTTTTTTCCCCAAGATAAACGAAGACTTCACACCTGTTAAAAGACAATAGTTACCTAGGACTATTCTAAATTTTACTATTTTTCGTTACCCATTTATTATTTCGTATCTTCCACTTTTATCGATACTTCTAATATTTATTTAAGCAAACCATTCTTGAAATCATCAGTAAAGGTATATACTTCTTTATTTTAACTAGACCTTGACCACCGCGTATCAGCCTTACCTTAGCTAATATAGACCAGGAAGTATGAATATGGATTACTAGATTAATTATAGGTAAAAACACAAAAATATATGAACGTTATGTTGTTCATCATGGGAGAAAAAGTTTGAACTCTCCTTGATCAGTGGTGTGTACACTGGAGGGAGGCTGTACCAGGCAGGATAACTCCTGTATTATAGGTTATGGTGAGGAAGATTGGAGTGTTTTGAATTAGATTAGTTGCTTTTATGGTTGGTGAATACTTGTTGAAGGTATACAAGTACACAGAAAGTATTAGAATATGAAGTTTTATATATAATGTGAATTTAATTATCAAAATCGCTTTTGGTAAATTTTACAAGTGAACAACCATGGATTTATCGTTGAACAATGTGTTTTTTCGATTTATTTTGTGATTTGAACGAATTCTACCATGATTTTTGTCGCAAATTAGCCGTTTTTGAGTTATGTCCCCCCTTTCAAAATGTGGGACCCTCGAGGGAAATCGGGGTGGTATTATTTTACTTTAGGACAAAACAAGCCCCACAGTTATAAACTACTGAAACATTTAGATCGCCCTTTTCTGAGGATTTTAAATCCCATTTATACTAGTCGGAAATGGAAAATAGCGACACAATTTAATGTAATTGATTTTACGTTCTTTTCAGTCATCGTCTCTGAAGAGATGTTATCTGCGTGAAACTGAGTTGATTATGCATCACGCATCATGCAATATTGACCGACGTCATCCTGTAGTGACCAATGATGTATCGATAACATCGTGCAAATTTTTTTTGACTAATCACATTCAAAAATTTTCAAAGGAAGCAGCCTGGGTATGGATTTGAATTTCAATGACCAGTCTGACAATGGCCGTGGTGGTGGTTGGTTGTAATTCGTGCTCCTACGATTATTTTAAGTTTATTGCTGAGTCTTACAAGAAAGACGATCATTCTATCCACTTCTAACTAAAGTATTGTACTTTTGGACATGGCACGCCCCAAAGTTTTAAGCTCGTTTTTGCCCCACCCTGACCCCCCATCAGGGTTTTTGAGTGGGGGAGAACACAAAAACGAATCATCTAACCTAACCAAACCTAACCGAACTTAACCGAACCCAACCTAACCTACAAGGAGGAGGAGGAAAGGTCGAGACAAGTGACTAAGTGAGGAGTGTAGCTTCAGGCAAACATGGCAGGAGCCTGTGGACAGCCAATGGGTGAATATTAACCCCAAAACTAACCTAATCTAACAAACCTAACAAACCTAATCTAACAAACCTAACAAACCTAATCTAACCTAAACTAAGAGCAGGTTAGGTTAGGTTTGTTAGGTTAGTTTTGGTGTTTTTTGGTTGTTGAGCAATGTGGTTTTAAAAAACATTGGAAAAACACATTGGTCAACAAAAAATCCATGGTTGTCCACTTGTAAAAATTTACCTCGGTTTTTCACATATTTTCATCGTGATTTGAAAGAATATGACCTTTAATTTCATTGCTAATGCTTATTTATGGAGATATGAGCCATTTAAAACTAACAATGACAGTGATTTCTTTCAAAGTGAGCAGGGCTTTGAAGATGAGGGTAAGTGTCTGGTTAAAACACTAAAGAACCACCAATAGAACCTTTGTGAACTGGACCTAACAAAGGATACTGTTACTATAGGTGGCTGGAGCACTCCAATGGGCAAATGTATTTACCCCAAATGTGGTGCTGCCAAGCAGCCGTGAGGTATAAAACACATTAAGCCCATTGTGACTTGTATGATGTTGTGTGATAACTCCAGATTATTCAATAAAAACAATGGTAATATGTGGCTCCCTCGTGACCTAAACACATGAAAACAAGACGTATGAAAACACACAAAAGCAAGAAGAGATTCACTTTTGTCTCTGCCATCTGTTAAAGAAGGGAAGTTTTTATAGTTGAATTAAAAAATGCATCAGTGGAAAGAATTATTAACCTGTCAGTCATTTTCTAGCATTATAACTTCATTAATTGCCAGCAGCTACTTAACTAGAATACCTGTAACATGCTTAATAAAAATAACGCCTAAGAGGATTTTATAGGTCATAGGGATCTATTGAAGTGTACCCTGTGGATGATTCCTATTGAAATTTTGTCCAACTTGAACATTTGCCATCCCAGTTAGATATCTCATGCCTATTATTTAATCTTCTTTGGAATTATGTCTTGTTTGTTCTGTGGTATGTATTTTATTTCCAGTAAATAATATATACTTTTTAATCTTACAGGTGCAAAAGTTAAGATGTCCAAGTTGGGTCGGCGTGGGGGTAAGAAACATTCACCGCGTCAACGTAGTGTGATTGATTTCTTCAGTAATCCCCAGGCAAGCTCCAGAAGACGTCTCCCACCAGTAAAACCATTTAAGAACAATAATATCAAACCAGTTGCAACAGTGTGAGTCCTAATTGGGAGTTGTGTATGAGGTCTATGATTTTCTGGTTGATGAAAATTTAAATTGGAAGTAATTGGTTGCACATGATGTCAGAACTCAGTTGACACTGTTTATGGATGGCAGATTGTAGCCCCTGTCACCAATGAGGATGGTGTCTTTTCACCGTAGGCCTATACAGTAGGCCTGTGCTAAGCAAAGTATTTTACTGATGTTTTATTGGGTACACAGACGTACAGGACAAGGGAAGGCCCAAGGGATATCATTTTTAGTTTTCCAGAAATAAGCAACAGCAGATATGATGATAACAGAAATAAACTGAGGAGGCTGGACATTAAATATGCTTACAAGGCTCTGTGAGTTCACTTTACTGAGGGTAAGCAGTATCACTATATTCAGTAGTGTACTGTATAGTAGCTCTGAGTTTACTTGTTGGTACAGGTTGAACCCCTTGGGACTTGACCAGAATTAGATTATAGAATTTTCCAGTTCATGGGAGTTTACACATAAGCTCTAAATTAAGAATTCCATATAGAACCACAATACTGTACATACAGTACTTGTTTAGTTTATCTTCCTTGCAATCATTAACTATGGCCTTTAGTGCTTTCTGTAATTGATTAATATTGTTTATTACCTCCTGAATACAGTGCAGTCATAGGTTGAGGAATAAATACACATAATACAGTACTACAGTTTGTTATGATGATCAAATGAAGTCAACATCATACTGTTGAGTGGTGCCATTCTGTGTCACCTTTAATGTGTTCTGTCATAAAACCTATCAGTCAGTTATGTATGCAATTTGAAATTTGTTTGAATTTGGTTCACCTTGAGCTCACTGATTCTTTTAACTCAGAACCACTTCATTTATTTAGAAGTTTGGTGTTAATAAATTAATCGTTTAACTTTAAAACCGTTGATAACAAACTCGTTTATTATTATTATTATTATTATTATTATTATTATTATTATTATTATTATTATTATTATTATGGAGTACAGTACAGTACTGCACTTAGTGTTTACCGCCCTGCTGTTTGAACCTGTTGTTTGCCCTCCGGGCTTCGGTGTTATTCCTCGTTTAACGATAATTTTGCTTAATGTTTGGTTTTTCAATACTGTAACCCCATTGTTAAACTAGCGATATCTGTACAGCACTGTATCATAACAGTCTGGATAAGAGGAATTTACAAACACTATCAAAGTCACATCTTGAAAATCTATTTTTTTATTCTGTAAATCCTCCTTATGGTGTTAAAATTTATGATATTTATACATTCCTTACATTTTCATAGTAACTGTAAAGTACTGTGTATATTTTGTAGTTTAAAAATGGTTTGTTTATTTTATTTTGTTATGAATGTTTATGTTTTAGGATACAGTATTTGAAAATGTTCTCAGTTATTTTAATTTGATGTTAATACACTTCTGTCTTAGTTCCCCCATTTGGGCCTTTTTTTCTGTTTTGTGAAATTTTAATTTGTAATGTTTTTTTTTATTCATGAAGAATGTTTTTTCTTTACCATCACATATATATACCTGGTAATACAGTATTTTAATTTATTTCATGACTTACCCCAGGTCCCGCCCGACTGTCAACTTAGTGCCAGAACCAGCAACCTCCTCTGACTTCATACTCATTGATAGTGATGATGATTTTGATGGTTTATGTGACTTTGATTTAGAAACCTCTTTTGGGAAAGGTAATTTTAATTATTATTATTTATTTTTTACTGTTTTTTTTAAGGATGTAGTTACTAGTTACTAGTGTTATGTTGTACACATCCCTTTACAACAATAGAATTCTCTCATTGCCTCCAGTAGCTTTTTTCCTTCATTATACTCTCTCTTATTGTACAGTAATCCATAAAAATTTTTATTATCAGTCCTTTCATAAGACTTTTTGTGAGATATTAAACACAGCCTTTGTTGTAATCTCCTTTTTAGATTATGAATATCTCGGCGAAGAAGTGATCCACAAAACCACCAATTTTCCTAAGTCACACCAGTACAGCTGTTGAGTAACCACAGTACAGTACTGACTTCATGTCTCCATCATAATTCAAAGTTTCTATTTCTTATTGACAAACTCACTTTTTTAATATCTTTTTTAAATATGAAGAGAATAAGCCAGTTGCTGAAGGAGGAGGAATGGAGGATGATGAAGGTGAAGTAATACAGATGCCGGGGAGGAGGACGAGAACGAAAAGATGTGTCATCAGCTCCGATGATGAAACAGACTTAGAAAGCACTATAGAAGACTTCTCCCCCGTGAAACAAATTAATAGGACAACTACTATGAAAACACATGGGGTAAAGCTGTTTACTAATTCTTTTCTGTCAAAATTGTTTTGAGTTTTGCAATATTGTTAACCACATGGTTAGCTGTTGTTAGTGACTGGAGCTAAGTGTGAAGTGGAAGGTTTTAACCTTCATTAATGTGTGATTCAGCTGGCATCTGCATGTACAGTTCCCTCCACATGAACGCACCACGGCTTGGGAATGAGTGAGGGCAGGGATGCCTGGCTTCCTTGTATTGGGCATAGTACAGTATAACACAGATTTTTCATATACTGTATTCTAACTTCTCTAATGTTTTCTCAGAATAACACCCAATCAAAACAAAAACAATATCACCAAGAAAAAGACAAAACTCTCCAAGAGGATGTTATGGAATGTCCAGAAGAAATTTTTGAAAATGAAATAAAAACAAAAGATGAAGATTCTGAAAAAACTCCAAACATGTTGATAAAAAGCCCAGGGTTGGCGACACCTCACACACCAGAAGAAAGTGGTGCTCAGGACTTCTTTGACACTCTGGATCATCAGGTATTTTTCAAAACTGTCATAAGTGTAATTTGTGTTTATGTTTGAATCGCCACACGGACCTGCCAAGGAGGCATTTATCTTTCACTCGCTCACATATGCAACCCTCCCAGTCTCCGTTCTCAATAGCTTCTCAGCTTTCATGCGTCTACCCCCCAACCCCCCAAGCGTACGTGTAGTTGGGGATTCTTGACCTTCAGCAGATTTGTGATCAATTGCTGGAGGCAGTACAGTAATAAGACTGTAATTGTAAATAATGTAAATAGTAATAACATAATAAAACCAAGTATCCTGTACCTCATACTGCCAACCTCACCCTATTGCCTCACATACACACGCCACTTCACGCACATTCTCGATGACTTCCTTGCCCCTATGATGTCAACCTGTGGATATAACTTGTACTTTTTTTTACTTTTTGGTTTCATGCATCACAGTTTCTAAGATTAGAATTGTTTTTATTTGTTTTTTAAATTTTCCAAATAAACCCGAGTGCCTGGGGCATAAGAATAATTTATCGCTTCTGAGATCCTTCATGTAGGGAGTTTGCTAAATAAGCAGGTGTAGTATAGTAGTTGATATTTTTGTTCCAATAACTATACTTGGCCTGTAAAAGACCTTCTGAAATCCATATTTTTGGCTCGCCCCAAATTTATTTTTATTGCACTTTGTCTATTTTGGCTGAAGAATACAGTACAACAGTTTTATTCTTACATGTGTCAAATAGAATTTATAACTTACAGTACAGTATAGAGAGGTTCTGCTGAGACATACTTTATTTAATGTTGCCATTTACTCTTTGAAATTGGCAAAGGTACTACAAATTGGGGATGACAGGTGGAGATTGAAATATTGTACACTGTATATTTTTAGTAAGTTTTCAGTCAGTCATTATTTCTCAGTTTCATCACATTATTTTATCTATCCAGTCATGTGTGCACATGAAAAACATTGTAGATATGATTGTAAATGCATGACATTATTGTTAAAGGACCAAAATGATGTATGCAAGTATCAAAAGCTTTACTTATAGCAGTAGTAAAGATTGCTTTCACCATTGGGTAAACAATATTCTTATTTTGAGGTTTATCATGGAAGGAACATGTTTTACGTTGATTATTGTGTATGCATAATAGGTTTAGCTGGAGACTACCAAATAATAAGAATGCATATTATGTCCTCATCTATTCCATCCACTTCCATTTTTACTATCACAAGGAAATATTGCCTATTTTATCCCCACTGCCACCTCAAGCCTGTCACCAATTTCTATATAGTACTTGCCCTCACACAGTCCCTACTGAGTTTTAATCTTTCCACATTCTTTTAATATATCTCGTTATCTGTTTGTAAAATGTTGCACAATTTCTTGGAAGCCTTAAAGGTACCATTGAGCATTTAAAAATCTTATAATTTCATGTAACCATGAGGTTAAGGGTCTTGTTTTTTGTCTTCATTCTCTCTTGGGACCCTGTCAAGAATCTCCTTATTTCAGTGTTGATGTGTTCTTGTCATATTACAGTACTATCCATTTGTTTCAGCTCCTTAGCTCTTACAATAGTATCTCACACACTGGCTTGAGGTTTCACCCATCTATTCATAATCTTGTCCTCATGTGTTTAGTTAAGCATGTGTCGTGGGTAATTATGTGTTCCACACACACACACACACACACGCAACTACTGTAATTTTGTTTTATTTTTCAGGAAACAGAAGTAGACTACATAGAGTGCTCACCTCTCTCACCCTCAATGGTAGTTTTAAACACCCAGGCAGTGGATGATCTCTTCACCTCCACAGCTGAGCAACAAGTTTCCACCCATGTGATTGGTAACCATTTGCAGTATTTGCATTGTATTATAGGCATTATATACAGTACATGTATTAGTTTCTCCTTGAGTTTCCTTGGGAGATGTGTTTATGGATTAATTTTTTGTTTATTTTTTAGTTATTTATTTTTTTCACATGCATTTTTCCTCCATAATGTAGTGTCAAAAAACTAAATTGAACATAGTTTCTTCCTTCATTTTGATCACAAGCAGTTTCTTGTGTCTTTCATTTTATTGGAATTGGCTAATTTTCCCGCCACACCACCCCGTTAAGTACTGTACTGCAGTGTCCCTCAGGACTCGTTTAGTTTAAAACTCGGGTTGAAACACGACGACCTTCTACAAGGGAAGATGTTGTTTAATAATACGGGCATAAGACTGTTGTCGCCAACAGCTCACACATATACTGTACACATTACTTTCTAAACAGTAAGCATTAAGACATGATTTGATGTGATGTTTTTGTAGAATATTAATAAAGGCACTGGTTTTGGATTGAATGAAATTTGAAAAGTGAACTCTAGGAAGGGATGATGAGTGATTCATTTGTAAATAACTAAAGGGTATGCTGTCTTTGGTAAAAAAAAAATTATTCCATTTATAAGATTTTGCTGTACTTAGTCTACAATTTTACCTTGCCTTTTACAGACAAGAGAGGAACTAAAGAAATATTAACCGAAACGTCTAAAAGTCATCAGATGTTAGTGAATCCTGCTACTCTGGCCATTGGAAACCAGCCATCTGCAACAACAACCAATGCAAATAGATCTACTGCAACCTCATTCATTGCAGTTCCATCCTCTGCAGCTCTGCCTCTTGCAAATCAGCCTCCTCTTTCTTCAGCTAATGAAACTAAATTATCTGCAGCCCCTCATGTTGACACCCACACAACTTCTGTGATAACAACAGCTAGAGGTGAACCTCATCCTTCTGTACCTGACACAAGTTCATCTTCTGCCACTTCAGCAAACACAAGACTTAGTACCTCAACAGCACCAGTTAAAAATAACACTACCACACCAGTCACACACAAACTCTCCACTCCTTTACCTGAACACAGAGCCACTATACTACCACCTGCTTGGAAACTCTCATCTGTTGCAGCACCATCTATTCATCACTCCCCTTCCTCAGGTGGTCTTTCCATTGACGAGATTTTAAAGCATCCAGTGTTTAGGGTGAGTTATAACTATGTGTATGTTTTAGGTTAAGTATTATTTTTACTTCACGAATAAGCAGGTAATTGCAGTTGTTCAATGACTTTTTCATCCTTATTTATAGCTAACTTCTTGAATGTTTTATTTCAGTTTTTTAATAAGTATCATTTAAGAAATATAATATAACATTACTTATAAAAAATAATCTCAACTTGAGTGAAACAAAATGGAATGTTTTGTAACTCCATTTTGTTTCTCATTTTGATTCATTGGTGAGGCTAATTTCTCTATTCACTCTTCCTTTGTATATGATCTAATAGCATACTTAGGTGGTGAACAGTTACTTCATAAGTTTTAACCCTTTGTCATTACTTTAAAGATGTGATTTTCCATTAGACTTTAAACAAAGTAAAGTTTTTGTGAAAGGGAAAAAAAATGTTGGTTAGTTGTTGACCTGTAGTGCATAGAATTTGATCTGTGTGAGATAATTGGCTGTACCGTGGAGGAGTTCATGTAAGGTACGGATGGGTTGGTAGAACTGCTACATTTATTTGTATATACGTATACAGTATTGATTTATTCATAATTTTTCCAGGTGATTGACCTAGAAGATGAAGATTTCCACCTGTTGGATACCCTTAAGCATTCAATGTATCACCTGATGGCTGAGATGTTTGCAAACATCCCTCTTGATATACTCCATCAAGTGCCTAATTATGACTATATTAAGCACTTGAAGATGCTAAATGCATTAACTAAAATATCAAAATTCAGTGAGAAGGAGAAAGATTTCAAGAACAAACATCTGATGCTTAGCCCAAATGACAAACATTATAAACAAAGTGGACATGCAAAGAATATTTCTTCAATTGAAGAAGACTTTAATTCTTCAGTATTTGAACAACCAAAATTTAGTGGTGAAACATTATCACGTCTCACTAATCATCCAATTAAAAGTGCATTAAGTGAGAATGACGTAAATGTTCAAAGGCTGCCAGGCAAGTTATTGGAAAAAATTAAGAAAAATATGACCAGTAATTCGGAAAGTCCAGTTAGTGGAGTTAATGTGCCAAACAGCATGGGAGAGAGAATGTCTGTGATGAGTGGTGCTTCCTGTGGGGACAGTTTCTTTGAAACGACCTTCACCCCAAATCAGTCTCACACCAAACAGGAAAGACCAACACCCCAAGTGAATATAACTCCAAAATTCTCTTTTGTAAGGAAAACTCAACAAAAGTTAGGTGAAAATATCTCTGAAAAAAGTAAGGATATAGAAAGTGGAACATTGTCGCCAGTTTTCAAACCTTCTCGTCCAAAACAGGACACAAGTAAAGGTAATTAATGATGAATTTTTTCATACATCTGCCACAGATGGGGAATGGTTGGAAATTTCCCCGCTCAGCCCGGGAATACTTGGAGTTCGTTTTAAATACTGTTGCAGATACCGGGATGCTGGATAAATGGCCCCATACCTGTAGTCTAATATAGATCAGGTTTAATATTGGATTCTTATATGTTGACCCTTCTTTGGATATCAAATTCACATTAAAATGCAGGAAATTATATTAAATTACAGTATATAAGCATAGTACAGGAATGACGTGACAACATATGAAAGAATTTTTATTTTACTCTGTACAAAATTAACTTTAGCATAGAGATTGAGACCCAGTGGAACTAAAGCTCACTGTTTACTGAGGCTCCACTGTGTATGGATGAGAGCAGTGAATTAGTCCATTTTAACCCATTGAATATGATATTGTAACCCTTTTAATATAATGATCCCTTAATTTGAGGACAGTATGATGATATTGTACTCTTAGGGTTGTCATTGTACTCAAAGGGCAAATGGGAGAATCTGCAGAATAGCACAAACATCATAGTGTCTAGAGGATGTGTCTTTTGAATCTCTCAGCTTACAGTTCAAGAGGATGCCTGGTATTGAAATTTTTTTTCCCTCACTCATCAACTTCCACCATCAGAGTGACTAAACTTTTAAGTGTATTGAGATTGCAGTCTGAAGCTCATAATGTTAGGATAAAAGTTTGTTTTTCTCATCAGACGATATAAGGAGAATTTACCATACACAGATATGTTTCTTCCAAAGTGGTACCTCTTCAAGTATAATAGCGTGTAATTTGACAATACAGTACCCATAGTTCTCCATGGTATCATAGAAAATCTGTAGATAGTTTAGAAGTGCTGATCATTGAGATTGGTTGTGTTACTGAGAATGTTTCTGTTGGTGTCATGTGTGGAGAAAAATTTATATGATTATCTTCTCATTATCTCCAGCAGTTCTTACTCCTACACAAAGTATTGAAGATCCTGATACTGCTGCTTTTCTTAATTTTGATGAAGAGAGTGCTGCTGTTGAGAGCCCCCAAACTCCACTTAGCAAGGTCAGTGCACCATTTAGAAGAAATGTCTAGTACATTATTCTCAGTTTCAGGTAGCTAACAGTTGCATTGTCATATATATAATTTTCCAATTAGTTGAGGAAATATAACAATATGAAAAAGGTGATTTTTGTGTATTTGAAGTATTAATTATAATGTTTATGCTCCTTACATCCCTAGACACATGTTCCCTAGAACCTTTTGTTTTCTAACATACCATTGTATAAAAGTTAATGAGAAGATATTGTTTAAGTGGCTTTAGGAAGCTTAATGAACATACCAACTTTCTCTGGCCATATTCACTAACCATCAACCATACTGTACTGCCCCAGACTCTACATCATCTCAACTGGATTTTTCCCCTTTGATTTATTAATTGAAACTTAAAGGTTATTGTGATTTATTCTGATAATTTATGAATGCTTTGAAAGTTTAATTTATATCAGTTTTGGGAATTGATGTTATCATGTTTCTTCAAAGAAATGGGGAGCTGACAACTCAGGTGGAAGCAGTAACAAAAGAGTTATCGGTCAAACTGTCCCTCTCAAGAAGAATAACACCCACAGTGACTTTTTTGATATGGAGGATGACCAGGAGGACTTAGACGAGTCTGTATCCTTGGCATCAGGAGCCAGGTATGTTAACTTTTTGCAGACAGAAGAAGAGTATAGTTCTGGCAGTCAAAATAATCAACTGGTTTAGTTACCAATACTTTACCTTTATCAATCTTATAATCAAAACATTTCCTTGAATTTTTTTCCATTACGGAGACTTTGTAGCAGTTTGTGTCAGTAGTTCTCCTGTGTATGATTGTCAGTTCATTTATTGTATCTACTGTATTCAGAACCATTCCATACTGGGTCATGCATGTAACTCAGGTGTCACGTTGCTTATGTTGATAACAATGTTCATCTGTTTAAAAACAAAAATCTGGACATCAAAGACAGGACTCATGAGTACAGGAACCTCTTGATTTACGCAATAATTACGTTCTTTAAAATGGTCTTGTTACTCAAAATCATGTAAGTGAAGCTGTTATCGCCGCTGGCTTCAGCTACAGTGCTGGCATGTGATGCCATTAAAGCGAGCAGAAGGCTGGTCTTCAGAGAATCACTAAGAGAGGGCAATCTGTCTCATGGTGGGGCGGGCAGTTCCGCCACCAGTCGAAGACAGTCCACTCAGCAGAACCAGGACTTGTCTGTAAACACTTCTACATCTGGGGAGGTCACAGATCGAAAGATTTAATGGCATCACACGCTAACACTGTAGCTGAAACCAGTAGCGATAACAGAAGCAATGTTAATACTGTATTGGAGATTAGGGGGTTGCAACAGGGAATATATAATACTCTGGACCTTTACTTGCGTATCACATTCATGCTGACGGAACATTTTCATGGGTTTGGTGTCCGCCTCAAGATTCATCTGCTGTAATAAAAGTTAGTGCAGTGTAAATGTATACTGATAACTTAAAATTGTTTTTGGAAGGGATTTTTTCAGCAAAATCATGGTTGAAAGCACCCAAGGGGTAAGGTTATGCCTAAGTTGAAATTTTTGTTAAGTCAGACAGCCTTGAGCCCCATACATTCTGATTTAGGGAGTTCTTACTACTGCAGTACAAAATACTGAAGCACTCCATGGCTATAGACTGTATCCATGCACTGAGGACTGCAAGGTGGGAGGCTGCATCCCCACACCACTTGTATGTGCAAGATGCTGGCAATGCTACACCACCACGCTGCTAGCCCAGTGATGATGTTCGTCGATGGTTGCGTTATTCCAAACATAAGCCCTCGTAAATAAAAAAAAGGTGTAAATGGACAGTTCACATTATTATACAATTGGCATAAATCAAGAGGTACTTGTAGAGCTTTTTTCAACATCATCTCAGCTCAGAAATTTTGCTTAAATTACTTTGGGATGCCTTCTTTTGTAAAGAAATATGAACCTCTTATCCCCTCCATAAACTTCAGGCCACTTAAAAAAACAATGAAGACTTTTTTCTGGAGAAAGCTTTTTGTAAATACTGTAGTGAATTGAGATTCTTAATAAGATATGACTTTCACTCTGTCACTCTTTTCAGGCGAGGTCGAGATGATGTAATTGATTACACCAAAGCTCTGTCTAAAACACTAACTAAGGAAGTTAAAGTTTCACCCAAACCAATTATTGACACTAACCGTCGTTTTCATGGTAATGTAAGAAATGATGGAGCTACGGGAGAGTTCAGTGGCATGAACTACCCACACACCAGGGAACTGCTAAAGGTATTAAGCATGTGTTTGTTAGTTATTTAGAAAAATAATACAGTACAGCTAAAACGGGTGTACTGGTTACCTCTAACATTACTTTTGTATTTTATTTTTTGAAAATTGGATCATTCCCTCCACAACGACATAGTTTTAGAAAATGCCTTGACAGTCACCAAAACGAAGAGAAAGTGGAAGGTGCTTGCTGTAAAACAAAGTAGTATTGCGATGATTGTAACGCATTCTTAAGTAATTACTGTTGAAATACAGTATGAACTCTACACCAATATACTGTACAGTAAGGCCTTATTGTTTCACTTTATTTAGGGGAAAGGAAAGGTAACATACAGGATTATCATACAGTACAAGTCAAACTGGCTGGATTACATTTATAGAGTTCAAAAGTAGTAGGACCAGATGTGTAATAGATTGCATTATTTCAAGCAACTGACATGAGTTTTGTCCTCTTATTTTACACAGATATTCCACCAACGCTTTGGTCTTCGAAAGTTCCGAGAGAACCAAAAGGAAGTTATTAATGCTGCATTATTGGGCAAGGATTGCTTTGTGCTCATGCCAACTGGAGGAGGAAAAAGTTTGTGTTATCAGGTAAGATCCTTAGTGTTTTTGTGGCCAGTATTAAATTTTGTCCAGTCTCGCTATGACCCTCTCCCACTATATTACTTGGTGGCCAGAACTAAGAGCAAACTCAGACTGTCTCTCTATTTGCTGTTATCTGTTCACTCTTAGTGCTGCCACATACCCTTAGACCACTCATTGCTATGGTACAAAAGTATGTTGTAATTTACATCATCCATTACTTTCTGAATGTCCATCCCCCTCATTTCTAGGATGTTCTCTACCCCATCATGCCATTTCCTGAATGAACTTCCCTCTCTCTCCTTCTATTCATTTTTGCACTACAGTATAACCTTGAGTAACACAAAATTCCTAGATAACACAGTCACACTAGCTACTCACTCGCTCACCCATTTTTTGGATCACCCTGCACTCACCACCAATATTGCCACTATAACACACCAGCATCACCAAAGTATTTGCAAGTGGAATGATTTCTCTTGTTTTTTAATCATGAGCTGTAATGTTTTCTTAATTACAAATATTGTTTAGCAGTGGCAACATGCAGCAGGTCTGTATTTCTGTTATTTGGGAGAAGAACATAGGTTCAAGCATAGACTACTTTAGCATTTATTATGGTATATTTTGTGTATTATTTAGTTGCAAGTGTGCATCATTAAAGCTACACTTTGTGTATAATGAAAATCACTATAGTTGGTTCATTGATATCAAGAAGAGAAACACTGCTATCTAAATTTTGTCCCATTCTGGCCTCTTTACTTACTGTACAGTACAAATAAAGAATGTCCTACTTGTACTGCACCATGTCTTATTCTTCACTCATCTTAATCTTTTTGTTCACCTAATATGATTTCCAACAACTTTGTATTTTACAGGACTGCAACCTTACAGTTATACAGGGTTCTGCTTCATACATGTATTTTCTGCAAATATTTCATATCCATTAGTTGTGGTCTAAAGTGCTTGGGGATGATAGAGAATAGATTGGATTTGTAATGAAAATTTATTTACATGTAGATATTTAATTTGAATTACTTTTCATAATCACAGCTGCCAGCATGTGTGACAGAGGGTGTGACCATTGTTGTTTCACCACTAAAGTCGCTCATACAGGACCAAGTACAAAAATTAGCCTCACTTGATGTAAGTGCAGTGTTATATATCTATTATCATAAAATTGGTTTTAAATTATTTTTTTTTTTAGAATTCCTCATTACGCTACCCCCCTATCCCAGCTAGAGGAGGAAGCTACAGGCATGTACTCATATATGTGTGAATTATCACACATGTATATACGGTATTTATTTTATAAATGCAGTAGGTAGTTTTAGACATTTTAGATACTGGTAATTGGATGAGAAAATGGAGAACAAGAAATGAACTTATTTGTCCAGTGTTAGAACAGGAGAAAACTAGAGTTTCTAGAAGAAGCCTGCGATGTGTGGTGGGGACACACTGCTTCACGGTGGAAGAATGTGTCAGTGATAATTCTTCCCTATGCTACTCTACCTCTCACACACATAATTTTGCATCTAGAGTCTGTTTTGTGTGTGTGTGTGTGTGTGTGTGTTGTAAGCGTTGTGTATGAAAACTACTCTCATGGTACAGTATAATGTTGTAATCTTTTTGCTCCAGATTCCTGCGGGTCATTTGTCGGGAGATATTAAGTATCAAGAGGAAGGTCTTATTATGACTGAATTAATGAGGCGAGATATAGGTAAGCATGATGTGTGAGGTCTTGGACGGGCAACTGTAATGCCTAAAGCCTTGCTAATAGAGTAACATCTGTCAAAAACAACTGCAAATATATGAAGAGATTTCAGGTATGGGCAACATCTATATGTCTTTCACTGTCTCTCCATTACTCTTTTATCTTTTCATCTCTTCTTTCTTTAACTTTCTCCTACTTTCTCTTTCATTGTGCAACATTCTCTCCCTCACTTCTACTTTCACTCTCCTATTTCTCTATTAGCTCTCGACTTTCTCTTTGCTCTTTCCTCTCTCTCTCTCTCTCTCTCTCTCTCTTTTTTCCTTTAACATTCATACACTATCACCCTGTTACTGTACTCTATGTCAGCCACATACGGAGCTCTTTTTATAATACTCACTTCACTCTCAGTGATACATATAGTCTTGCAATTACTTTATAGGTTATCTCACTCTCTTACATCATTCTGTTACTTATCCCAGACACACCCTCCCCTTGTGTGCAAATTCTTTTAACACTTACTTCTTTCATATTTCAATTTTGAGTCTTTGAAGCTCCAACAACTTGCTTTCCTTACATTGTCCTCTTTGATATCTTGTCATCCTTATTGGGGCCAGATAGATGTGATCTTAAAGATTTTCACTTGTCTGCCTTTCCATTACGCAGTATGGTGTATATTCTCCCAGAATCAAGGAAATATTTCGTCTTAAAATTCACTTATTATTACAATGGTTAGTTGCTTATTTCATGATTATTTTTTGTGAGAAATGTAATTTGCTGTTTTTTATTAATTTTTCAGGTGTTAAGCTTCTCTATGTTACACCTGAGAAAATTAGTGCAAGTCAGAAATTTGGTAACACCTTGGAGACTCTTTATCAACGTCAGAAGCTGTCCAGATTTGTCATAGATGAAGCTCATTGTGTGTCACAGTGGGGACATGACTTCAGGTGAGATTTTTGTTTGGCTTTCCTAACAATCTATAATTTTACTCCCCTTTTATTTTTCATATCACTAACTTCCTCTCCATATTCTATTGAAATATGTTGATATTCTAGACTTTGTTATATTAAGGCTGCACAATAGCTACCTGTCTATCTTTGTACCAAATACCTCTCAACCTTACTCCATCCTTTCTATGTGAGGTCAATCATATATCAAGTTCTTTCTTTTTTCTCTTTCTTTTTTATAAGCACCAGGACCTTGATCAGTTGACTTCCTTCACTTGACCTAATTATTCTCCTAGCTTGGTTTCCATTATCTACCCAAGTCACTGAAGTGAAGTTGCTGCTACTTTATTTTAAGGACTCCATATTTCATTATTTAATCAATACTCCAGTGTAGACAGAACCTCACAGAAAATAATAAAAAAAAGGAGTTAAGTCAATGGACCTCTGCTGTCACTGCTCAAGATGGTTGGTGTTTATCACAACAACTGTGTTCAGCACCTAGTAAATTATATTGTAGTGTATTTGAGCACTTAATAAATAATATTGTAATGTATTATACATCTGCCTATTCCCTGGTTTATACTGTACATTAAACAGTTGTCTTAGTGTACAAGTAGCCAAATAGAGCCACTCATAAACCACTCAAAGGTAACAGATAATATTGTTAGGAATATATCTTCATATCAAATACTCTACAGTACAGTATGTTATAATGACCCCATTGTAAAGTGATATGCTGAGCTTTCAAGGGGTGTTACTGTACATGTTGGAATGCATATATCCCTAATTACTTTGATTCTTATGAGGGAAAATTCCTCATTATAAAACATTTCACCGTAGGTCGCTTTTCTCTGGAACACATTACCGACCTATAATGAGGACCCTTTGTGTCTGTATCTGGTAAGTAATATCTTGATGTTTTATTTTTCCAGACCTGACTATAAGAAGTTAAATGTCCTCCGTCAACGTTTCCCAGGAGTACCATTCATTGCCCTTACAGCCACGGCAACACCTCGAGTCAGAGTAGATATTCTAAAGCAGCTTGGACTTTCTGACCCAAAATGGTAAAATGTCTTCACTGTTGACTAATATCAAGTACAGTAAGCATGTGCAGTCCAGTGCAGGAATGCCTCATTATGTGAGCTTTCGTTTAGTGTAGTTTTGATGTAGTTGTACTGGAAAAGATATACGGTACAGTACTGTATTTATATCGAGGTCATTGAAGGTAGTCAGGTTACTTCTCTTCTTGGTACCTGTCAAGGAACTTGTTGAAGCTGTGTTAGTGTTTTTGTCCATCACTGTAGAGGGACTGATCTAAGGCTCAAAGAAATAATCTAAAGGGAAGGCTGGGGGGCAGCTTGTACACTGGTGACTGAATACCATGTTGTTTACTCCATTAATTGCATAAAATTGCTTTAATTGTCCTTTTTTCATTGTGAATTTCTTTACTGTATACTGTTGTAGGTACAGAGTTTATATACTGTATACTTAAAGCATTGTTGGGTATATGTAACAGCCATTGTGAAGTAATTATGATTACTATAAATTTAACCCTAATCATGAATTTTATATACTTAAGCATCTTGAGCATGAATCGTTAATCACTCTTTCACCCTCAGGTTCCTTAGCAGTTTCAACCGATCTAACCTCAAGTATTCAGTGCTTCCAAAGAAGGGGAAATCACTATGTCATGAAATTGCTACTCTCATAAAAAGCAAATACAAAAACCAGTCGGGTATTATTTATTGCCTGTCTCGGAAAGAGTGTGATACAACCGCCAATGACCTTGCAAAAGCTGGTATCAAGGTACTTTTGAATATTCTTCCTTGATTAGTATACGGTACTCTCATGAAAAATGTCCTTACTGAAACATTGTTATTGAGTAAAGAAAAATGTATATGGCAGATCTGGATGACATTGATGTTTAAGAAACAGTGAAGAATATACTACATGTTAACTTCCTCTTGCAGGCTGTGAGTTATCATGCAGGATTAACTGACAATCAGAGAGTTTCTGCTCAGACACAGTGGATCAATGACAAGTTCAAGGTTAGTGTTTATCAGTCATTAAATATTTTGTGTTTAGTTCTAGGTTATGTAAAATGACAGGGATAAGCCAGGAATATCTTGGGACCTTGTTGTTGAAAGGGGAACACCACAGCAGAGCAAATAAATAGACTAGGGCAATTAGAAATAAAAAAATGACAGCAAATGAAGGTAGAGCTTGTATTGCTCCTGATTTTGGCCACCCTGCATCAACTGTTGCTCTTAACTCCTTCAGTCAGAGGGACTTAACCTAGTATGTTCTCTTACACCAAACTTCACGTCAGAAGGACATACCTGGTACCTCCATTAATCTCCATGACAGTAGGAAAAGCTGTGAGAGTGAAGTTGCTCTGATATGGCACTAGTCTTATTCTAAGACACTCTGACATCCCATTTATTATTTTTTCCTCTCTTGGACTGGGGTGAGTATTGAGCTTACTATAATAGGTGTGCTTTCTGATGTTGGAATGGCCCATTTTTTAACAATTTAACTTTAATTTTCAAGAATATGTGATGAAACGAATGCAGTAATTGCTCACTAAAAAGAAAAATCTTCTTATAACATTTTGGCTCTTGGATATGAAACTGCACTAAGTATAATTTTTATTACATTTTGATGATTTTGTTTGCAGGTTGTGTGTGCAACAATTGCCTTTGGTATGGGAATTGATAAACCAGATGTGCGCTTTGTATTACACTTCTCATTACCAAAAAGTATTGAAGGCTACTACCAGGAGTCAGGGAGAGCTGGTCGGGACGGTGATCAAGCAGACTGTATCCTGTACTATAGTTACCAAGATATGCATCGCCTCAGGAAGTTGATTGAAAGTGAGTTCTGTGATGTTCATGTGACTTTTTTATATATATATAATGTATGGTATTGGTATATGAAGGGCAGCCTTGAGAGTGATTTTGCTATGTTTTGGTGACTGAAGTGATCAGTCTAACTGTTAACTTTGGAAATGAGAGGAAGCATCTGCTGACTCTCCCACCTTGGAGGAGACGGTGATGACTACCAGACTTGTTATTATTAAGGTGGTGAATGTTGTTTAATATTTTTTTTTATTATTTAATAAGTGTAGAATTGTTTTTTCTGTGTAACATGTCTGTGTCGTACAGGCCAGGAACGTACTCCACAGAAACCCACGCTAAAAGGCTCACTATTTACTTTAATTCAAATTACGTTAAGGTTTTCATGCACGCAACCCTATTTTAAACGGGGGGATACGTGTACATCCCAGATTTATTTTATAGATCTATAAATGTCACAATTCTTTCTTTTCTCCAGAAATTTCAGGTAAGGGGGTGTAGCGCAAACTGTGTCAGTTATAAATTTTTATAAACATGGCATATAGATAATTATATAAAATTTTACCTCTTTTTTACAGTGGACAAAGACAACTGGCAAGCTAGAAAAACTCACCTTGATAACTTGTGGCGGATGGTTGCGTATTGTGAGAATAAGATGGACTGCCGACGTACACAGATTCTAAATTATTTTGGTGAAATATTCAGCCGAGATAGCTGCAAGAGTAACCAAGCTACTGCCTGTGATAGTTGCAGAAATTATGTAAGTTACTTTGGCCTATAAACATTTATTTGTTGCTTTATATATTCATGGATCTCTGACTCATGACATCTGAGAACTCTTCATGAGCGAGGGCAGATGAGATCACGTTGTAACAAAGCTCGGGACTGTTTACATGGAGGAGGGATTGTACATGCACTGTATACTGTACACACTACACACTAGCATACATTAGGCATACACTATCCACTCTGCTACATATGGTACTTTCAAACTTACTGAATTTACAGTACAGTATATGTAACTGTAATCACTTTTCACATCTTAACATTGCTTTAGCACTGCTTTAACTGTATTCTTGGCTGATTGTATCCTGGTACAGTACTGCACAATACAGATCATATGCAAAAACAGAAGTGAGCTAGGAAACAAGCTTGTACAATGTCAGCAGACAATGAACTAAGATTGTCATGTTCCTAAAGTTTGATATTTTATTGTCTCCTGCAAATTGTTAAAGGCACAAAATGATATGCAGTGGTCCCTCGGTTAACGAACGGTTCGATTAACGAAATTCGGTTAAAGAATTAGCTCCCACAAGGATCTTCAATTCGGTTAACGAACAAAACTTCGATTAGCGAAATCCTTACGACAAACACGTTTTGTTGTGAGCATCAGCTGATCAGCTAGTCCGCCAATAGTACAGTAATTGGTTCTATGTTTACATTCGTTTCCAGTGGAGTAAATATCAAGAAAGTTGTGCTCTTTAATATTTTTTTATTTTTTATATTAAAATTATTATTCATTTTAAAATTTAGTTAACATATTGATAATATATAGCACAGTGCAGTGTTGATTTAAATAAAATACAGTAATCTGTAATTACAGCTAGTGAACTTAAAATTTTATTGGTGAAATTGTTGCATCAAGCATGGGTCCAAAGAAAGGCAATTTCTCCTCCATCCCCACTTCCTTCTTTTTTCCCTTCTCCTCCTCCACCCCCTACTGTACTTCTAATTCCCATCATCATCATCAACCAGCAACATTTACATACACACCTCAGAGTAAGTGTACTTTGCTGCATTTTATTTATACTTTGTATGTACTTTTCTGTGAGCTGGAACCAAATTACCTAATATCCCATTGAAATAATGGATTCGGTTAATGAACGACTCTGTGGAACGAATTGTGTTCGTTAACCGAGGGACCACTGTACAGTATGTGTACTCAAATATAATCCAATACTGTATTATGCCAGTACTGTACAGTAATATTAGTTCCTTGTCACTGACTATTTACTATTAATTTTAACCTTAACTTTTAATTGTTAAGGCTCTTTGGTATGAGAATTAAAATTATTTTGGTTTTAAGAAAATATCCTATCAGCAAAATATAAAGTTTTATATTGCTTTTACTGGAAGCATTTAAGCACATTCAGTTGCTCTTGTGATTATATGATGAAGCACCCATATTTATATTGATCTAGTAGAAGCAGTCAAGTTCACTTTAAACCTTTGTAACAAACATACCAGTGTGTGTCTTCAGTGTGTTAGGTCATAGAGATTACTAGTACAGTATATGAAGTTATTTTCACATTTATTACCATAAAATTTTTTCTGTTTTATCAGGAATCTTATTCACTAGCAGATGTTACAAGTGAAAGTCGTGCAATTCTTCAGGCCGTACAGCAGCTATGTACAGGTGGAAAATGGTCAAACAACTTAACTCTCATCCATTTTGTTGACATCTTTAAAGGCTCCGAAATTAAAAAAGTGATGGAGAATGGTAAGTTAGTGATAGCTTAATGGCAAATGTATAACCTTATGTTAAATGTTAGAAAAGGCTTCTGAGGGTGTGAAAAAATATAAATTGTTCAGGTCTTACTGTATAGTAAAATAGTGTATTTAATTTGTTAGCACTAAACATTTTCCTCAATACTTGTATAATGATTAGGACATAATCGACATTCCCTGCATGGAATTGGAAAATCATGGGCAAGGAATGATGCAGAACGACTCTTCAGGCGGCTGGTACTGGAGGGTTACTTGCAAGAAGACATGGTGGTATTTAGAGATGAAATGGCATGTGCTTACTTACGACCTGGGGCTAAGTGCCAGCAGTTCCTCAGTAACCCTAATGCTAAGGTATTTGATAAGTTATTTTATTTTTATTATTGTTGTGAAATTTGATATAGTTTCATTTGAGAAATTCTTTTATAGTTCTCATTATGTACAGTACATACTCTACATATGTAGTATATATGTTTTTTAAGACACCGAAAAGCTACCACAACGCGGTGTGGTTGTTTTCAAAATAACCAGAAAGCGAAATTTTGCGTTTGGATTTTACCCTAACCCAATCCAAACTAACCTAACCTATAGCAAAATCTTGCTTCTGGTTATTTTTCAAACAACCACAATGAGCTGTGGTCGCTTTTTGGTTTCTGAGCCCAACATATACATACATACAGTACATACACCTAGAATTTTCATATATGGCTTTATAAACAGTTTGAAATAGAGATGAAGAGCACTACTAGTGTTGAGAGCCGAGCAGAGGTTAATGCATTACCTGAGAGTGATGAGGAAATGAAGATGTTACAGAATGACTGTTATGCATCTCTTCTTCAAACTGTAAAGGTTCTTGCAGCTGCGAAGGGTATCAACTACATCAACATCATCAATTTGGCCGCCCTCAGGTATATAATTTACAAGTGAAATTTCTGTGCACTTACATTAGTCATTGTGTTCATTTAATTATCATGCCATTATAACTATTAATAGGCATAAAAACATCTCTTATTATGTACAGTTGACCCCTGATTTAACAAGAGAGCTGGATCGAGTATTATTGTGCAAAATTGTAACTTGTTAAATCATTCAATATACTGTACAGTACGGTACTGGTTTTCAGTGGGAAATATGGGGTATGTAAAGATATAAAGATCTGATTCATATTTTTTCAATCAGATTGATGTCCAGGTCATTGCCCGAAAGTGAAGAAGAAATGCTCAAAATCCCTCATGTGACTAAGGCCAATTATGATAAATATGGTTTTGCACTACTGGAGGTCACACAAAGATATGCTGCTCAGAAGCTCGGTAAGTTTGTTGAATGCTTTGTAACAAGTACAGGTAGGTTCAGCTGAGCTAGTAACCAATGAATACAAATTTGGTTTAATGAGCATATTGTTTTAGGGTTCAAACGGACAAGCTTGCATCCAAAATAATATTAGAAAAAATCCAATTCCAAATAGCCTGGGGTGGGCTGTCTCTGCCTTTTACATAGCACTATCACTAGGTTGATGTCTTGGGGATATCTGCAAGTACTCTCGGTATCCTCCAGCTCGTCAGGTCAACATAATAATCAGGATTTTCTCTTGCAGCGCGTCTCATGAAGTTGTTGTACCGCCCTTTTTGACATGAATAATAGTGAGGGTTCGAGTGGCTGAAACAATTGTCCGAGTTGAGGCAGCACTGTGGGATTTTTAAATGAGTTGTACTTTTATAGTATACTGCTGTAGCCATACTGTACTAACATTGGTACTATTGTAGTTAAAAGGTTAATTCCTAATTAGTATCATACATAAAACTATTATCATTTTATTCATAAGCAGTTGTGATTGGGAAAGGTTCCTGTAGAAATTATCTTTGGTTGAAGTTAAATAACCTGTAAATTATTAAGACTATACTAAATATGTTTTATGATATTACAGTAATTCTGAGTGATCGAGCAGAATCAGGATCGTTTAATACAGGTAATACCACCTTTGACGAAGATGATGGTAACTCTATTGGATGGTTAAATTCATTTAGTGCACCTGTCCCTACTACCTCTTCATATATGGCAAGAGGAAGTCCTGCCAGAAGATTTGGCAGAGGGTAAGACTGAATTAAGTTAGTTTATTTGTCTTTACATTTAAAAACTGTTTTCTTTAGATAATATATCAGTGCATTTAAAAGCTGTATTTTTAGTGCCCGGTAGATCATGTACAGTACTCTTACGTTTAAAAGGTTGGCTTTATTAGTTTATATATCCCTACATTAAAAGCTAGGTTTTTTGTATGTTCAAGTGTCATTATATTTAAAAGCTTGATTTATGGTAATCATGGCACAATGCAATAACCCTTTCTGTGCGACAAAGCAAAACTGTGGTATTAAATCATTGTTGGTTGAGGTATGCAGGCACATTAATTGTGCCACCATTTTAGTTTGTGGTTAAGAAAATGATGGGGAAGATGTGGTCCAGTACAATGTTATTATGGGAAAGATGAAAAAGGTTATTTTGATGAGACATGAACAATTGTTAGGAGGGACAGAAGAGTGGAAGTTGTAGGATAAATTTGTGGGAACGTGTGTACAACAGGAAACGAGTGGAACATGATGTAGTTTCAACATGTAGAGAAGTTTTACATATACCATCCAGGCAAGTGGACAGAAATCACACTTAAAAGCAGGAAGTACTGTAAATATATAAGCACAGTACCAGTACTCTTAAGTATAGTATATTGTGGTCTTCTGTAAGTACAGAATGCTTGTAAAATGTAAGCACAGAATAAAAAAGTCTCATTATTTCCTTTCCAGTGGACGCTAACATTGGCTGTTGGTGTCGGTTGTTGTAGAGAATGTGAAATGAGACAGATTGAATTTGGATTGATACAGCTTGAGAGTGAAATAATATGTAAAAGGACTAATTGTTAAATGATACTTTGCTGACCTGGAATAATCATGTAGTTAGAATAGGTGAGGTGAGATGGACAGAAGGAGTATTATTATTATTAAATATTGTTGTCATTACTGAAATCTTTGAAGGAATCTGCTTGAAATTCCTCATTCAGAATTCAAATTATTTATTTTATTTTATGGATATATAATGATACGGTACATGGTAAATTATCTTTAGAAGTAATTGAGTCTATTTTTTAGATTCAAACGCAGAAAAGGATATGGAGCTGGAGGAGGAAGACAAAGAAAGCGTGCTAAAAAAGGAAGTGGAGGAGAGACAGACATCAGTGATTTTGGAAGTCCAGCTAAAACTTCACGACATGCAGCCTCAAGAAGTAAGGCAGCAGCATCTGGTAGAGGTAGAGGTAGAGGAAGAGGAAGAATATCAGCACGTGCAGGCACAGCAGCTTCAAGGGGAACAACACAAGGCCCTAGGTTAGGTTTACTTGCGAATCCAACACCAAGATCATTCTTGCCACAGCCAAGGGTCATGCAATGCTAAACACAAAGGCCCTGTGCCAGATTGTTTTTAAGTAAGTGGTAGAGATAGTTATGATATTAATAAAGGTTTTTTGTTTACATTTACATTTTGAATTTTCCTCTTATTTTCTGCATAAATTATGAATATAGACCACTTGGTGCTACTATAGCATGCGGTCTACAAAGATATCTTTAGTCTAACCTAACCTAATCTAAACTTAGCTAAATATCTTGTAGATTGCACGCTATAGTAGCACCGAACACTTATTACCTACCAAAGCCATATTTAAAGACTGCTTTGTTTGGACTTCATTTCATTAGGTTAAATAAAATTTCATGGTCCATTTCAGAGTCTGTCAAGTGATTGGGCAGTTATTTCATCAGTACTGTTCCAAGCTCTTATGTCAATGGTTTATCCTGGAATACAATACAGGTAAAGTTACTTTCAGTGGTAAATCTAGAAATCTGAACAGTAGATTTGCAGCCAGCTACAGAGGTCTTACTGTTCATTTTAGGCCTAGCACTACAAATTCCAGAAAAACACCATATCTGGTAACCCCCATGTCCCAAGTATGGCAGATAATGGTTCATACCTGTTCCTTGAAAAACTCACCGGGCCATAGTTATTACCGTGAGTAGAGCTACTGGTTAAATGGTTAAACATGTACGGCAAGGTGGGGTCACGCAGCATCCTGAAAAATTCCTGTCCGAGTATTTTCCTCTCAAAATATTAACTTGTCCGCTGGGCAAATGGACGTGTAAAATAACTTTTCTCCCGGAAACTGCTAATCAGCACAGCCTGCCATGGTGGATCAGTATGTTGTCATTAGCATCATGGTGGATCAATATGTTGTCATTAGCATCATGGTGGATCAGTATGTTGTCAGTTGCATCATGGTGGATCAGTATGTTGTCAGTTGCATCATGGTGGATCAGTATGTTGTCAGTTGCATCATGGTGGATCAGTATGTTGTCAGTTGCATCATGGTGGATCAGTATGTTGTCAGTTGCATCATGGTGGATCAGTATGTTGTCAGTTGCATCATGGTGGATCAGTATGTTGTTAGTTGCATCATGGTGGATCAGTATGTTGTCATTAGCATCATGGTGGATCAGTATGTTGTCACAGCTCATGGTGGCGTATTAGTATGTTGCTCGGTACCAGGAGAGTGGGTCAGGATTTTTTCTCTACGGTATATGTAAATGGAAGCATCACTCTTGGTTCTACTAATAAATAAAGGAAAAGAAAAACACAAAGGTAAATGAATACTGTTATACAATTCATAAAACACTTCAACAACATTAAATACTGTACTTTAATTTCTACAACTATTGTGTCTTGACCTACTGTGAACAAATAAATCTGCACTATTATAAATCTGATATCTAAACAATGAACTGCAGCTGAACATTAGGTACTACACATTTCAGTCATATAAATGCTGAACATGGCAAGGAAGATAACAACCATTTGTAAATATAAATCTAAGAAAAAAATACATTTGTGCTGTTGTTCCTTGGATATAACAAGTAAAAATGCAACTATTAGTGTGTTGGCACAAAGCAGCAGCTGGTCTATTGTTACCACAGGAAGAAGACTGTAGACCATAACAGCAAAATCTCCTTAAATCTGCTTAGTTGTGTATTGCCAAAGTCTTTAATGTGACAGTGCAAATGTTTGCCAAGATATAATTTGGATATGCTTAACAATCAAGGCCTCTGCAATATAAACACTAAATTCACTTCTCAAAGTACATGGCATCTTGAATGGTGTATTAGGATCAATAGGAAAATTTTTACATAGGGTTTCCAGAGGGATGTGGAGATACACCTACAGCACAGTCACTAGAACATCACTCATCTTATAGTGAATGATTGTTTCATCCAAAACGACTTGAAGAAACAATATAAAATAATGTGATGGTACTTAACTCCTGTATTGAGATTGAACTTGGTTGAATGTTTTAGTTTTTTCCTTAAAATCCTCTATACTGGGAAAGAAAAATGGGTGTAGTGAGAGACTATGACAAGCAACACTGTATAAAAAGTGAAATATGTACTCGGTTTTCCTGATGTTAGGAGATTCTACATGAGCTACAGTATATTAACAATTAAAAAATAGTGATTTAAATTCATAAAATTTTTATACCAAAGTAATGAATGTGTCTTCAGTGCTACATGAAGGGAATGCTAGTCTATTTCAGGTTGGGTATCCTTTATCTAAAATGCTTGGGGTCTTAAGGGTCTCGGATTTGGGATATTTTTGGATTTTGTAATACCTATATCCAGTATACAGAACCTGTATAATGCAGTAGCTCACCCAGCAGGGATGGGGCCCAAGTCTGTGCACAAAATTTATTTATATTTCATTTACAGCTTTATGGATACATATATTCTGCAGGTAGTTTTATGAAATATAATTAAATCATTTTGGTTATAAAATATATGATAAAATGTACACAAAAGACCCAGAACGGTAAGCAATCACTACCGTCTGTTTGGCATAGCCATGACGCCTGACTCTGAGGCGCTAAGCAGCCTATGTCTTACCTTTATTCATTACACATACATACTTACCCTAGTAAAAATTATCATATCTGCCATATTCAGTTTATTATCTACCATAAATATAATGAAATAGACTTTCGGATTTCAGAGCATTTTGGACTTGGGAATTTCGGATAAGGGATATCCAACATGTAATAAATTTGATGGCTTATTCAGACTTAAAACTTATTAAAATTGTATTTTATTATATTTCATTATACCTAATTAAAGGGTTGCAAATGTAGCTTTAACAAAACTAAAAGAAATACAGTAAACTCCATTGACTGAAGTTCAGTGATGCAATTATTGTCTCACGAGAGAATGGTTCTTGATCCACATTTTACATTACGGAATTTGTAAAGTAGGACTGGATTCCCTCCTACAACAAAATGTATACTTATGGTGAGAATCAGTCTAAAGTAGACAAGAATTCTGCCACAGGGATTTGATTACCCACTAGTTATTGAATGCTTCTATAATAAGGGATGACTGATCAACAGCTGTAATAGGCCTTCTAGCCCAGAATTTTTTTTATTGTACTTAGTAGTAAGAACAAGACATCCACACTTGGAAAGTGTTTAAGGCAGAAGTGTAGAATAAAGAAAAGCACTGGACAGATAAACAGCAGTGAAACTGATTAATAGTACAATACAGCTCTTTACCTTATATTGGATTTAACTATAAAAGAGGGAGATCTAATGCAGAGGTGCAAGTAAATAATTTAGATAAATTAAAACATACCTTTTCTATTATTAAAGTTCAATCTCAATACATGATTATACTGTAGTTCATCACACTACATTCTTCCTTAACAATGCCTACCCAGACATTATCTCTTACTTCATTCAATACTGTACATGAAAGTGGTTAAAAGGATAAAATGTTCTCGAACAGACTTCAGCAGCAAGCTAACAATAGGCACTTCTTACTAGAGAATCTGGAAGTTTTATATTAATAAAATCATATAGGAAATAGGCAAGTAACATAATAGTACTGTATTATATATATATATATATATATATATATATATATATATATATATATATATATATATATATATATATATATATATATATATATATATATATATATATTGTAGGTACACATGATCTATGTACAGGTATATGCTGATAACCAGTAAGGAAAGTGAAACATTAAATTCTTTTTCCTCAGTGGTTATATACATACAGGTACAGTGTATATAAAAGATTTTATACTATGACATAAGAATCAATAACAATGTAATTTCAACTTAAGTATACCACACATTAACAAGAATAATAAAAAACCAACATATGCTTAATTTTGACTAAAAAATAAAAATAAATGGGATACTTGGCAATTATAATAAGATCATAACATCAAAACCCTTTTAACTGTATCCTGCCAAATGCAGTTATGAGTTTTGCATAAAAAACAAATATCAATAAAAGTAAGTTGAATGCAAACCTTGCACACACCCTCATATCCTCTGAGGGTAAGACAACCTCCCCTTATTATGGTGACTGCATCCTCCCTTACCCAGGGAATATGGCCTTACATGTATGTTAAAAGTCCTCCACTGGTCTCTGAGGAATACCACTCAGCCCTACAATTACTTCATTTCCTGCCAAACTGCCTAAAAATATACTGTGTTTAAACTTCCAGTGTATAAGCACCACTTAATTTTAATTTCCCAAGGAATTCTTTCTTTTACGATTTCCACTTTACTATATCCCCACATTTGGTTAAGAAATTGTCTATTATGTATCTACCTTGATCAATTATGCCATTACCTTATTTAACAGTTAGCTTCATCAGAGCCAAAATATGTTTACCCAACTGGCTATAAATATAGCACATACTGTAGGCCATAAATTTATGTGGTAGTACATACTGAAACTTATGGAGAAAAAGTTGGGTAACCACCATATCCTAGTACAGTAATATTAAGTGTGGTCACTTGTATTCTCTTATCTCCCAAGTTGCTTGTTAAAGAGATTTATAGTGTTTCAAGATCTTTTCCTCTGCCGTCAACTAAGGTGGCAGTTGGCATTTTGTAATTTATTTTCCTCCAGACTTACACTTTTGATGATATATTCAGGTGTTATCACCATTATGATCAGAGACTGTGAGGAAGCCTGAAACTGTGAAGACAAATTATTGAATATACCTCATATTATTCTTTATATACCGTACTACATGAAATGGCAAAAAGAAGATATTATTGCAATAACTGATTAGTATACTCTACTAACAAGAAATAGACACACAGTACTCTCTACAGCTCTATTATTGTACATTTCTGTGCACTGCTATAAATATTTGCAGAAACATGCAACATGATGTGGTTCACAAGTTCAGAAAATGTCTCTAAACACAATCATAAATACTGTACAGTGCACATTTGGATAAGACCTTTCTTTTGGATACTAAAATATGAGGAATGAAGGTTATATAATGATAGATATGACAATGAATTAATGTGGAAATGGTAACATGCAGTAAATAAGTGAGAATGACACTGAAATCCCACTACAAGAGAAAAAAACACTGAAAAACAAAAGCACTGTATATGAGCAAAATATATAGTGATTTTGTTTCATTCTTCTCCTATACTGCAGTGGAATTTCACTGTTATGATATATGTGGCATTACATGAATGAACTGAATGATAAGCAAGAGACAGTATACAGTATTTAGTGTTAGAATATATTCATGACAAGAGTACAAAGTGTTAACATAGAGAGGTGTTCAGTGGCTACTAAAAGAATCTATATGCAGGAAACAGCTATTTCATGAAAACTAGTGTTCTGTAAATCTAAGGGAGGGATATCACTAATAAATGTACAGTAACAAGATAAGGTTGAGAACAGGAAGGTCATGTCAGGTGCAATGACATCTCTTAAAGGAATTTCTTGACACAATTAAAAATTACAACAATAATCACCTTGCCTTTCACACGGCCTATAAGAGACATAACTTTATGCATTAACATTCATCTTACCAAAAGCACAAATATCCATTGCCAAATTAAATTCCAAGACATCATTATTTTCAAATCAGGTATTGTACCAACCTCAAATTACACAATAATAAAAATCCTAGTGACAACAAGAGTGACTAATGTAATAAAAACACATACAAGTGTACCCCAGTTAATACATGGCATCAAAAATGGAATACCTGTACCTAGAATTAAAGTACTGTACTGTACAGTATATCTAACGTACTCATTGTTAGGAAGAAAGAGAAGAATTCCAATTATTGTCAGTACTGTATAAAACTGGCCCAAAAATAAGAGTGTTTTCATAACATAAAAGTTCTGAAGAAAACAAATAAATAAAAAACTGTGGTACACTGGTCAACGGAAATGCAGGATATACAAGGCAGGAAAGAGTACAGTACTTGGAAGTGAACAGCCAGAATCACATCACCCCCCAAGCAACTAATTATTTATACTGTATACAATATATACTGTATGCTAAGAAGAAGATTTTCCCAGTGTATCGGCTAATTTAAGTAGATTGTCTAAACGAATGTTTGGCAAATTTAAGTAGATTTCCTAAAACAATTTTGGCTAAGTTATGTAGACTGAACATTATATCAACTATTGCAGAATGGTACATAGGTCAGAAATTTGGGTTTTGTCATCTTACTTGAACTTCTGGCATGAGATTTTCACTACAACTGCAGCAAAACATAATCTTAACTGTGTGCTTTAACCCATTTACACACATGTGCTCACTTTAGAAGGACAATATATTTTACTTCCAGTTATTTCACTGAAATTTTTAAAATGAAATATCATGTACCAAGACAGTAGTCAGTTGTGTAGAGCAACAGTACAGTAAGAGAAGCACAGAACCAGAACAGTACTATGATGTATTTAATATTATTCTCTCAACTTTATAAATGGCTAAAATATTAATTTCTCAATATAATTGCAGACATCCCATTACAACAATTTCATGTTTCAAAGGTTTTAATTTCCACTTCAAAATTGATACAGTTCACTCCAAATACTTTAACAATAAAAGCAAAAACTATCAAGGTAATTCTGATTTTAAAAATTAGCCCCTAACTTGCAGAGGACATCTAATATTGAACCAAAAATGAGAGTCTGTGCACTTTAGTATCTTCTTCATCAGTCTCTGTTACCTTTTATTTTTTTCTCTCCCAAAACAATACTGTATTAGAAATTGTCATTATGGACATATCAAATAATATAAATACTACTGTACAAAAATCCTTAGAATTATACTAAAACATATTTGGAATCACCACAAAGAGTTTCAAGCAAAATATATCAACAGAGAAGTGGCCACCAAACCTACAGTACATCTGAGCATTATAATCTGTCTTGGATCATGATTGCAATGCACTCGATGAGATCAATACATATAGACAATAAATAGTTTTTAACCAATAAATTTTCTTTGGCATAATAACAGCATCAATAAGTCAAATATCTATAATCACTTACTCCATCTTAAATATACAGTGAAATATATCTCTTCACAATTTTTCTTTTCAATACTATTAAAATAATTTATTAAATATCTGTACTCTAACAATTCTAAAATGCATTTTTTTAATATACAAATGCTGAAATCTTTATAGAAATAACCCTAACACACAGACATCTGAAAAATGTATATTTCACTTATCAATAATCAATATAATCTCAGTACCCAACCTAGAAAAAAAGAAAGCACTTCATTTTAGTACAACAGATATAATAATGGAAGAAACTAACCTTGCACCTCATTGAGATAGACATGACAATTTGTTCTGTATCACAAGTAATGTATTTTAGCTAGTAATTGCACACACTTCCTGAACAACAGCCCGTTAATGAAAGATAACCTTACTTACACATGGGCTGTTTCCTATGGACGGACTCAGTCTTAACACCAAGTAGCTGTACCATACACAGACAGTAAACACTTCCATTACATTCTGAATCTTTTACATAACATACAAATTTAACATCTTCACTTAAATACATATTTATAGGCTTTATAACCAAGTTAATTCTATTTACTTTATAACTCTAAAATATTTGTACATATTGCACAGTGCACATGTGGAGTACCAGCATGGCAAGAAGATAACTGGTTTATGGTGGGAAGCACAGTTAAGTAATGCACTGTAAAAGTCCATTGTCAGGCTGGCAATTTCTCCTGAAGCACATTATTCGGCAAACCATCAACACTACACGGTAGTAATTTGTGGGAGCTGGAAGATTGGGGATCTTCATTACAGTGAAAGAGTATTTGGTGATTGGAGAGATCCATCCCAGAAGAAAACTGAAGGTGACACACTTGGCATTCAAAACTGTCTTCATCACATTCAATTTTACATACCACTTCATCCTGAAGTTCAATTTTGATTTCTTGTTCACACTTAACTTTACACAGAGAACCAGTGCTATCAAACAGAGAATCTTGGGAAGGAGAGTTTCGAATGGCTGAAACATTTATGTGTTCAATGAAGTTTTTGCTGTCTTGTGTTTCTTCATCTGCATGATTTTTTCTCTGAAGCTCATTGCTATTGTTCCCTCCCACTAGCATTCCTCTTAAGATACTGGGACTTGAGCGACTTTCTTGTCTTCTTTCAGGATTATTATCTGAGTGGCTAGATTCAGCTAAACTTTTAAAGTTTTGAAGTAAACGACTAAACAAAAAATTTGTTTCAACTTTAGGTATATCACAGCTCTCTATTGGAGTAATTTCCTCACCAGCTGGCTTTAGAAGATATTCCTTCAGGAGACTCTGTGGTTCACTTGTTTTTGCTGTACATGACAGATTGTTCAGAGGGTCATTTTCTTCAGCTTCACTATTGATCACTGACAAAATTTCTTCATTTTGCACCTGCCTCTTATTCTTCAAACTACTGTCTGCATTCTGCAGTCTGATTTTCCAATCACAATTATCTCTCTGGATGTTGTTGATAACACTCTTTCTTTTGGTTTTTCTTTTACTGCGCCGTAAACTTTGTCTACACGATTTATTTTTCCTCTTTCCTACTTGTGAGACCCTATGGGATTCTTCTGTCACAATATTCCTTGAATCGTTCTGAACACTACCCATAATGAGCTGCAAAAGTCTAGATGGTGCAACTGATGGTGATCCCAAAAACTCATTTTCAAATTCTCCTGTAGAACTTGAATGCTTTTGTCCTGTGTTAGTACAATAATCTTGAGAAGAGCTAGGAACATTCATATTTACATTATTATGTTTTTCAATTACTCCTTTCTTCTTTCTTCTCGATTTACGTTTTTTGGGAATGTTTACAACAGTTGTCACTTGCTTTGATTTCCAATTTGTTGGCTTCCACTCAAGGTCATCATCTTCACTATGGGAGGACTCAGATGTTGACCACAGCAAGATCTGCTCTCGCTCATCATCACTACTGTCATGAAAAGAGCTTCCTTTTGTCATCTCTTGATTCTGTTGTGCTAAAAGGGATAACTTTCGAAGGAGAGCAGATGAGTGCAGTTCACTTGGAGGAGGGTCATCTTCTAGTGACTTAGGCATAGATGTCTTTAGAATTTCACCTATGCCTCTGAAATCACCGACTGAATTCACTTTATCTGATTGGTTCCGTGCGTAATCTTGGATTTTTTGTTGCATAACCATACCCAACAGCATAGTACTAAATGGTGCCTCAAAGCTCTCTATTGCAGAATCTTCAAAGTTGCTTGAATTTTCATTCATTCTAGTTGGATAATGGAGACTTCTCATAACATCAGCAATTCCTAACTCCAGTGAGTCCTGTTGAAACGATTCTTCCAATGTGGACGGAATGTTGGTGGACTCAGCTTCGGCATTCTGATGAAGCTCTTCCAGAAGAGATGCATATGGATAATGTACGTCAGTTTGTCGGAGCTGGTCAAATATTTTCATTGAAAATGAATCTGAAGAAGGAATTTGAACATCCCCTACTTCATCACAAAGACTTTTCAAACAAGTTGCATATGGATAATGCAATGAAACATCTAAATTATTACTTGGTTCCACTGTTAATGTAGGATTTTTTGCAAATTTATTTTTCTTCCTAATTTTTACCTGTACTTGGTCTGTAGTCAGCGATACAGAGTCTGTTCTTGCATCACATTCATTATCTACCTCGCCGTGTAAATCTTTGCGGCTGATTTTTACTCTCATACGTTTATGATTTTCTGGGCTACCTGATGAACTTTGTCTAATTCCTAAATCTTCACATTTCTCAGATTTGTACTCGGTTTCAACAAAGTCCATCACATTAAGCTCAGTTTCATCATCTTGTAACATTTCATTGACAGGAAAAGAACTGGAATCTTTTGCAACTACATGCATTCTTCCTGCATGCAGTTCTAACTTACTAGTTTCCCAGTCAACCATCCTGCATCAAGCTACTTAAGAATACAAAACAATTTCTCAAGAACATATTGTAAGTAATTATGGGCTCACCTAGTCACTTCAAATTTCAAAATTATTTCTGAATATTTTCAGTCATATCTTCTTTTTTGTTATAGGCTTAATGTAAGAAATTTACAGCTACTAGAACTTTTTATATCCTGTAACTCACCGGGCAGAATAAATTTTTCTTGAACACCACATATTGACCTGGAAAAAAATTATAGGATTACAATGTAATAATGATAACTTCACCTTTAATAACATAAAAGATGCATATAAAATCCTACAAACAGTATATCAGACACACACTATATTTCAGATTATTAATTAAATCTACTATGAAAATCAGTTATCATATAAGTTGCCCTCACAGGCTCAATCCTTTTTTTTGTAATTCACTTACTCTGCACAGTCTCAGTGTACTGAGTTGAGTTACTTGCTTCTCAGACCTTGAATTCTGTAGTGTCCAGTCGAGTAATGGGACCCAAGAACACCAAACCGGCTGAGTATATTTTACCTGTAATCAATATAAATGTGATAAAATATATCTTGGTTGCTAAAGGAATAAAAGAATATATACTGTACTTTAAGTATCTACATTTCTATCCGATCTATGTCATTGTTTTTTTACAACCGAATATCACACATTAGTGCCATACTGTACACCCATCTTAATAAACCACTCAATACAATGCTTTCTGACCATGCATACAAACTATTGCTTACTAAAAGGCAGCCATCCAGTACTGTACCTCCTTTACCTCATCATCCAATATCGTCAATCTCCCCTTTCTAATATCATCTGAATTTTTAGTCTTTTTACCCTTCATTATGTTGAGAGCACCATAACCAACCCTGACTGATTCTCCGCCCAACACTCCTTTCACTTTATTTCCTCATTTATATGTTTATCTTTCTTAGAATCCTATTCACCCCACTCACAGGACCCAGTCTACCCACTTATCCCAGACTACCTTCTCACCTTGGCCAGCAGCAGCCTCATTCAAACCCTATAATGCAGTACAGTACAGTAGTTGTCATTTTATCCATAACTAAAGATGCTCTGGGTTTGTATGCCCTAGGTAACAGGAGTTTACTGGGGTTATGGCATACATAGTATAATTATCATAAAAAAGTCTTACCACCACAGGCATCTTGAGTGAAGGGCATTTGTGGGCAATAAGAATCTGACATGTTATAAGGACATTTTATTTTTACAAGTTCAGCGTCAGTTTTCAGTAGCTGTGTAATCTATTTATTAAAACAAACACATCCATAATGATCCCAGCAAGATACAACAAAGAAAAAATGGCAACCCTCTCTCCTTAACCTTTCCCAGAATACAAGTAACTAAATCTAAATTGAGTTACTTTCAAAATTTATCTGATATACTGTACACATCCCTGTTAACTAGCTTCATGTCAATTTTATATAAATATCAGCAATTTCTGTCCAATTCCAAATTTGCCAGAGCCTCTGCTTTTGGGTCCTTTCCACTTCAGCTAAGTCAATCAAAAACAAAGACTACAGCAAAAATGTGCAAACTAACTGAGTTTCCAATAAATAAAACCGAATCCCAACATTATTAAATACTGATTTACACGTATCTATTGTTAAAATTCCCACAAATATAGTAGTGTCCATAAAACTCACTTTACTCCAACTACCCTAACTCTTTTGAGGACTCAGTTGGTATTGATTTTAATCGATGGTCATTTATCCAACGGTGTTCAGATCACACAGGACATCATTTCACATTTTTCTCCACACAGAAGTGAGATAAATCTACGATGGGTGTTTTAGATGATACACTCAACTTAACAACTTTTCCCCCTTTGCAGTCGTCATCTATCACAGTGCACAGAAACCCCGGGAGCTGAAAACACCAATTACCTTCGTTGAAATCGTCATCAAGCAACTGAAAATATGGGTACGCTGGGGGCGCCTGTACTGGGCAGGTGAAATCGTTGGCGAGGCGTAAGTGGGACAGACTAAAACACCTTCTCCGACTTCGATCCGCTGCCCAACGGTTGATCAACAAACGAAGGCTGTCACCACTGATTGTCTCTCTCACACGGCGTCACTATTACACCCAGGTTAGTGAGGTAGACACATAGATAGATAGTCATTTTATAATATTGTGGCGCTAGTTCCCATTGGTTACATCAAATGTACATATTGAGTCAATGCAAGTATAAGAACAATGAGTTGATCTGCACACTTGACGCAATTAAAGTGGACATAAATTATGTAGAGTGGTGACAATATTTATAATATATACCTAAACTTTGCCAAGGATTTCGATAGCGTATCTCATGAAAGACTAAAAATTAAACTGGCTGGGTAAATAATTCGGTCGTACTTACAGTAAGGAGGTGCATCACATTAGTCCAATGTGACGAGTAAACATAATTGACTGAGAAACAAACTTTTTCGGAGTGAGAATTGTGATTTCTTGGAACAACCTGACAGTATTGTGACGGCACCGAGTTTGGGCTCTTTCAAGACCAGACTTGACCAACACTGGAGCAGGTTCAGATACATTCAGGAGCCAGTACTTGCCAACAGAGCGTAACCGAGATGTGACCGACCGCCCAAGCGGCTAACGAGCCGATCAGTGATGAAGAGGATAAAAGTAAAAAAGTAAAGAAACCAAACGTGAGAAGGATCCGTGCGTGTTTGTTGCCAGCGACCTGAAGTTCTTGGACCACTGTGAGAAGAAAGTAAGTCAAGCAAATAAGGTAGTAGATCTTAGAAAATTATCTCATTTTAGAGTACACTTGGCCCCGAGATATGCTAGAGACTCAGTTGATTGAGAAGGTCCAAAATACGGCCATGGGACTGGTGCTTGCATTCGGGTACTTCAGGTACTAAGGGAGACTTGAATGCCTGCAGTTGCCAAGCTTATACTGCACTATAGGTAGGTTAAGGGAGCATATTCGGTTAATATTAGTTTTTATCCCAATAGGTATTTCGGAATTTTTTTAACCAATATCAATAGGATTCTTTTTTAGTTAGGAATAGGAATCAAATTTCTTCTATGACAATAACAAGTTAGGTCAGGTTAGGGATAAACGAATTTTTACGGTATAGTCTGCTCGGCCGGGTGGGGTAAGTATATAATTATAGCTCATGGTTTTGTTTGTTCGGTACAGTGCATTGTGGTCTTAGGAAATAAATCTTTTAATTTAACATCAAACAAAACAATCAGCTACAAATATACAGTATAATTGGGTAGGCCAAACTGCTCTGATTTACAAAATTAAGATAAAACGACTGATTTGAAATTTGGGACATATGTTTGAAAATGTCTGAGGAAATCAATATGCTGTGCGTGGTCATGTGTTTGTGCGTGTTTGTATATATATACAATAAACAGAACAGGGGGCGACATGTGCTGTAATAGTCAAAATGCTCGCCTTGCAAGCGAACGGACCCGGGTTGAATCACGTGCGGGGTGAAACTATAGGCAAGTTTCTTTACCTCTGTCTACCCAGCAGTAATTGGGACCTGGATGTTAATCGATTTGCGGATCGTATTCCGGGATGGTTAGCCAGTGCAGATGTTAAGTTGTCCGGTCTTCTCGAGAAGGGCTATTCCTTGACACTGGGTCATGCAACTCGTTAACTTAGGGTGTGGTTGTTATGTTGGCGACAGCTTCTACACCTTAAACAAATTCACACCTAGGTGGCCCTTGGGCCGGCCTCGTTATACGAGGGGCAACCATTATTATTTATACAGTACAGTATAAGTCGAAAACTGGTTGAAACATCCAGGAGAAGCAAGGCAGTGAAGTACAGAAACGGTCATACTGAGAGAAGCACAATAAAGTAAATTTTACGAGACAATGAGAATTAGGTATTGTTGCCTATGTAGATAATGTAGCTAACCAAATTTGGTTCTCAGCCCTATTGACAACAAATATGGTCGTTGAGGAGTTGTGTCGTGTATCAAAAAGGTACCTTTCCCTTGCTATTTTGAATCGCTATTAAACCATGTGATAAATTGTTGCTATATAAGAGTATAAAACACCCTTTGTATTTGTGTAAGGTTATATAGCGTAATTCTACTCTAGACATCAATTTCGAACGGTCACTTATTTAACCTTTTTATTGCACTATGCACCTCTGAAATGAGAAAGTTCTTGTCTTAATATTCTGCCATTAATTATGTTAGACCAACTGTTTACAATGTGCTTTATTCATATGCATGAGTGATTCACATTAAATAAATTCGATACAAATCGAGTGTTTTTTTATTTGTTTATTGTTATTATTATTATTATTTTTTATTTAATTATTTATTTTTTTGGCAAAGCAGCACTCGCTAGTTAACCCTGAGTAGATATTAGAGGCTGTTGCCCCACAGTGGTTTGTCAGTAGACTATTATGGAATCATGCCTGTTTATCAGAACACAGTGGTACCTGAGAGGAGTATAAGAAAACCCCGGGTCCTGAAAATATCATATGAGGGAGCCATAAATACAGCTAATCAGGGACAACATTTTCTTTATTGGACACTGGAAAATATAGCAAGTTCTCTTGTTTTCCTCTGAAAATTGGAAAATGAAACAGAATAGTGGTATGATTTTTAATTAGTAATTTATCCATCATAAATAAGGATTGGTTTTACAAATTCATGCTTGGAGAGTATTCAATTTAAACGAAATTATCCAGATCAGTGGGCAAAGTTGGTTTGTTGGTTATATGAAGGTGTTACCCAAAATTATGTGTGGCTGCCTTCATCACGTTCTGCAGCCACACCCACACGTAAGTATGTCATTTATTGGCTTCAACTGGAGTGATATTAAGGCGGTGGTAAAATATTTCAGTTAAATAAGATGGGAGTGAAGTCGGTGTCAAGTGCAGTTCCTGGCTGTAGAATCGACGGTCGATTTGTTTACCTTGGAACCTGAGATACACTGTATGTTATGAGTTCAAATGCGCTAGCTTGTTAGGTTATGGAATTAGTGATGATAATTTACGTTACGTCAGTGATTGGGTAAGTTATATTAGGTTATATTAGGAGTAAGTTTGATTATTAGGTAAGGAATGGATTAGACTTGGTGTACGTGGTCTGGGGGATAGAGTCTGCTTCTCGCTTTATTTTAAAACACAAAATGGCTCCTCTTTTACTGAATAATTACACAGACATTACGATACAACAGTGGTGTATTGCCAAAGCTTATTTACAGTAGTTTATATAGATTTTAATTGCTGTGTGTTGCCTGTCATCAATCACAATGTGCGCTGACCGAGGGCAATATGGTTGTGGAGCAGGTGTGTGGACGCGGTGGGGAGTGTGACCAGTTTAGCCGTAGCGAGGAGTGTGGGCGTGGTAGGAGTGTGGCTAGTGTGAGGGCGTGGTGGGGAGTGTGACCAGGGTGTGGGCGTAGCGGGAGTGTAACTAGGATGTGGGCGTTATAGGGGTATTTGACCAGGGTGTGGGGCATGCCACTTTAGCCACGATACCAGTCGGGTTGATAGAGGACTGATGATATCTTGTTCTGGAAGGAAGAATAGCACCTGGTTAATACTAATAATAACAATGATACCTCTTCCTTATTTTTCCACCGTAATGCTCACAATAGTTAGGTACAATATACGTTTAGTGTACAGTAGTGTCGATGTGGTACGTTCACTTTACTAGCCACTGTGTACCGTTCATTACTGTTCTCCACATGTGATAAGTATACGTTAACATTTGGTAGATTATGTGAGAGTATTTGGTAGGTTCGTGCTAATAGTTGGCAAGTACGTGGTAGTATTTGGTAGATATGTGAATTATTTCATTTGTATTCTAATGTATGTAATAATTTAATTATGCTAAGTTGGCAGCATAAACTCAAGTTATGGTTGCTTAAACTTGGCATATATTGTACCTGTGTCTTCAGTATAACACTGTAGGGCTGAAATGTTTATACTGTCAGAGGTGGAAAAAGATTACCAATCCTCTGTCAGTGATAACTTGATACAGTATCAATCACACGTATAATTTTGTTTCAAGCAGCGACTCTCAAACATTATGTAATTTGAGAATACTTGCTCCCAAACTATTTTCAGTAATATTATGCATTTGAATATTGAATGTATTGAGTAGATTATTATAATTTTTATTTTAACATGTGCTATGAAGAAGACATTTCACTCACCAGGAACTGTTCCATGTTGGTGAGGAGTTCCTTGCGTGAGTACCCCTCGTTCATGAGGTGGAGGAAGAAGTGGCGATGGCGGTAAAGGAATTCCTCGTACTCTGACGACGCTCTTATGATACGGCGAGGCTGTCGGGAGAATCACAGTTAGGAGGGTGTCTTGGTAGTCATACTTCTTCTATCACAGCCTAACTTAATTACCTCTTAACAAAACCTAACTTAAGGGAAAATTTAGGCATATTACCAAATTTCCATCATCGAAAACTCGTTTTAATCTGTTTTTAGTTAAAATAATAAACAAAAGGAAATTTCATACCAGTCTTCACACTTTTTATATGAAATAATTATTATAAAAACTTATAATTTTTGTTGTTGTCAGTCATAAAACAAAAGTATTGTAAACTCAGTAAATATTCTTTAGCTATTAGTTTCACAATAAAAGCTGAGTAAAATGAGCTTTGAATGGTGTAAATAGGTAAATAAATAAGAGAACGTATGCACTTTCTGCATGGCCGAAGCGAGTTTTTCAGTAAGGCTCTGACAAAATTGAATCTCTTTGCATCCATATCTTAGGTCCTGTTGGTCACAAACACCTGAAATTTTGCATAAAACTCAATAGAAATAAAGATATAGATGAGTGAATATCAACTTCCTATACTTTTTAGTGGCTTTTGGCTATTTGAAATATTCCCAAAGCTCCCTGGTATTTTGATAGCATTGTATATTTCAAACGCTTCTCGTATAATTTTGAGGGCTGCCATTTGCCTGCAAAGCTTAACATAAAGGAATGTATTCAATGTCGTGTTTTCCATTAAGACTGCGAGGAGAGGAGACAAGTCTTTAATCAGCCTCGTCGGCAATAAATAACAATTAAGAGGTAGTACGGAGAATGGTTGAGTTCTCCCCAGGGGTTGGCAGGTCTCTCACCCGGGGGAAATTTTTTAAATTGGTGTCCTTCAGCGTGCAGTCTCCTCTTGGTTCAAGCATAAAAATTTTCTTGTGTTTACTGTAGTTTGAAAGTGTTAGTGCTAACTTAACCTTACATTACATTACCTAAATTTTCCTTACTTTAACTTACACTTTATATACTGTACCTCCACTGCCTCTGCCCACGGTGAATCAATTTGAACTTGTATGACGATTTTACTGATTATTTATTTATCTATGTAACGTAACTAGATTTTAAAATTAAATAATAAACTTGAGGTGGGAGGATTTTGCTCATCGTATTGTTTACATAAAAGCTTTCGTTCACTGGGAAACTGGAGTGGAATTTTGTCTAGTGGGGAAGGATTTTTATGTCAATGCGGAAAAAAATCTTCCTTTGGATTTTTTTTTATATGCCCAAGTGCGGAAATTTAACAGAGTTGGGAGTTACCTTGTCGGTGTGGCCCACGAGGAGGATAATTTAATTAAGAGAGCTCGACGACAGATGGAGTTCAAGGTGTCGATATCCCCAGAGACGTCTTCTAGCCCTCCTCACTTACCTCATTACACGTGACGGTCAACAGCTTTCCCTCCCCTCCCACACACACACAAGAGATCTATTATTTCTTCTGTTGCTATCTGTTATACGAGTCTAATGTTGCTTTCTGTTTAGAGTGATGTCTGTTAGTGTGTGCTGTCCTGTTGCTCTGTTAGTCTGCTCTTGCTGCTATTGTTTATCAGTCTGCTGTGTACCGTAATGTGTTACCGTACTGTTGCTGTCTACTAGCGTCTGCTCTTGTTTACCCCCCTTCTGTCTCCCAACATCCTCCACCGAACTTAATTTCCTGGCTGAGGATATCTCCACCCATCATCCTCACCCCCTGGTTAAGGATACCCCCTTCCCATCACCCCCTGGTTAAGGATACCCCCTTCCTATCACCCTCTGGTTAAGGATACCCCCTTCCTATCACCCTCTGGTTAAGGATACCCCCTTCCCATCACCCCCTGGTTAAGGATGCCCCCTTCCTTTCCCCTAATCCTCTTCACCTGGTCATCAAGGACGTTTTTTGGCTCAGCTGGCGGGGTGGTGGTCATCCTGGCCTCCTCCTGCTGTTTGAGCTCCTCCTCCGTCAGTTTCTGGCAGATAACTGGGGAGTCGAGGAGGGGCATCTTGAGGGTCTTCTGCTGGTAGCCCGGGCAGCAGGGGGCGGCACACAGTGTCACCCCCCTCATCACCTTCCACCCGCCCATACAACACGTGAACTGTAAATACAAGGGTTATATATGACGGGTTTACTGACGCACACACACACACACACACACACACACACACACACACACACACACACACACACACACACACGCATGCAAAGTAATACAAATAGAAGTCACTACTTGTTTGTGTCAGAAATTTCAAACATAAATACCGGCTGAATAATTCTAGGCTTCGTTATGTGAAGGTCACGAGAATGTTTGGTTCCAGGTGTGTGGTGATGGCGCAACAAGGCTGACGAAGATCTCGGTCCTTGGATGTGAGAATGTGTGTGGTGCCATCTCATATTTTGCCAGGATGGACGACGTTGCCAAGGTAAGTGTCATGAGGCGGCTACTTAAAACACTTAGTGATCTCATAACCGACTTGGAGTTTATTGTCGCTTGTCTTATATTACCCACTCGGAGGCTCTCATTTCTCCCATTACTAATTAGGATTAAAAATGTTGGGGTGAATTTTGTTCAAGTTCCGGGTGTTGGTTCCTGAGTCTTAAATAATCGTACGTTACTTTTTTTACCATTAATCAGGATCAAGAACACGAATTTAGTTAAGTTTGAGTGTTAGTTAGATTCTTGGTTTCATAACGTAAATGGAACAGTAGAGTGGGTTCAATACTTTAGCGAATCCGAGTCCTGAATCTCACTGTACGACTCCCGACCGAGGTGACCGAGGTATAGTGTCAGCATGCACCTGGACGTATACAGTAAGATGATAACGATAATACACCGCGGGGCTTCATGATACGTCACTATGTGTATGTGTATAATGGCGGTAGGGCTTCATGTTGTCACCAGGAGTTAATGAGGATTTTGTATGTATGTATGTATGTATGTATGTATGTATGTATGTATGTATGTATGTATGTAACTAACACCAATACATTTTCACTGTCTATACACACTACTACACAAAAAACAACAAGTCTTAATATTAACAACAGTAAATAATTGTACCACTGCTACTACTACTACTACTACTACTACTACTACTACTAATAATAATAATAATAAATCAAGGACAATAAGAATTAGAACTTATAAACTGACATACATAGATAACTAACACACGCCCCATCATCCTTCACATAGGCGAGGGGAAGGAAAATTTAGCCTGCTCAACTGTGCCCGGTTTGATCTACCGTCCGTCCGTCTGAGGCCCAAAATTACCAAGAAAAGTGAATTTATGTTTCCAAAATGAGATAAATGTCAAGGCTTATTGTTCGAAAGTCCTCTCCTCTCATATCCTGGAGGTAAAACAATGCTATCCTGCCGTAGAGAGACAATAGTAACTTGATGTGTTCAGGGGAAATTGGATATTTGATCGAATTTGTGTTGAATTATTACATCTGACTGCCACTCGACAAGCGAATATAACTTGTCTTTGGATGTCTGTGTGGCTGTCTCTCTCATTGGTAGTCTTGGGTCTCATTGATACAGCTTCGAGGCATCTTCTTACAATTGACCTGATTTTGAGTTATTGATTTCGTTTTGTCTGTTTAAGGATTATTTTTTGTTTTGTTTTTGGCTTAAAATTTAATGTTTGATGAGATATTTAAACCTATGAGTGTAACTGGGGAAAGAAAGAGGGAAACTGAAGTACATAGTGGTGTATTTAATTCAGACTTTACGTTAACCTGTGCAGTTCACTTAGTACCAGCCGGGTCTTGTGATGGCTAGACCACAACACAACACAACAGGAACACACCACAACACAATACAGCACAACACAACAGGAACACACCACAAAACCACACACCTGGTAACACTATTTAAAGAGAACGTGTAAGACAACTAATGAGAGGATGAGCTGTGTTCTTGTGTCCAGGTCTCTTAGCTTCCACCAGTGCCTTACCTTTGACACAGACACACACACACACATAACAAGACTCGTGTGCAGGGATAGAGTCACACGGTACGCACCTCTCATCTAAGATTCATAGAAGAGGTCTGCATCACCCTCGAAACCCCTCAGTCTTCATCCCCTTTTAACATTAATGATCGTAAGGAAAGGCTGTGTAAGTCTCATAAACAAACTGAGACACATATTCACTCGGACACATTACAATTGAGACACATATTCACTCGGACACATCACACTACTCTCACTCCGGGGCGGGGAATGAGGTTAAGACGAGGATCAAAGACTGTGTATTGGGAGCCCCGTCTCTTATATCACCGTCGTCGGATTGTTGTGACGGTCGTAATGGATTCCTTCAATAGCTGTAGTAATTATCTGGTGTGGGCGGGCAGTGAGGCTTTGACAGTCACTTGACCGGGAAGTTCACTAAGTAATGTATTCATTATAGTCTACCTGCTGACACGTAAACTAATCGTATCACTCGCCAAAGCCAGCCAGTCACTCTTGTGTTTATGTTTAGTCCTGTCAGGGGTAGCCAGCCAGTAACCATATCGGGTGTGTACAGTGTGAGTATTCTTGGGACTACACACACACACACACACACACACACACACACACACACACACACACACACACACACACATGAACTTTATGTTATAGTATAAGGTTGACGACATGCTGGATGGAGGTGCTTCTTTGAACGAACAATAGTTATTTCAGTTACTTCCTCTTATTACGGAAATGTGGATGTTATTGTATGTAAAACACGTTGTATAGCCCATATGAGTTAAAGGATAAGAGTGTGTGTGTGTGTGTGTGTGTGTGTGTGTGTGTGTGTGTGTGTGTGTGTGTGTGTGTGTTTCATTACTTACACGGAGTTTTTGGTTCACTGTTCCTTGTTATTATTGGCTGTCTGTTTCTGTGTCTTTTATTGTGTATGTCTATCTATCTGTCTGTCTGTCTGTCCGTCTATCTATCTGTCTGTCTGTCCGTCTGTCTGTCTGTCTGTTATTATTATTACTCTCACTGCCCGTTTGTTATTCTGGTCCTACTATATAGAGCTGAGAGTCGTTTGACCTCTGGCCTTATCAGTGACTTGGGGGGGTCAGGTGTGCGGGTTGGTCACTGATTTTGTTTACGTTGTCGTCCGGTCAAACAAGCCGGATCTCGACACCTTCCGGCTATTTGACAATCGCCGGACCACACACACACACACACACACACACACACACACACACACACACACACACACACACACGTACGTACATATGTATATTCGCAGTTATATTTATATCCATAATTAATTTAAAAGACCAGGTAATATCAGCCAGTATTCCAGAGAGAGAGAGAGAGAGAGAGACTTACCCGGTCATCAGCATGAGACAGAGTGAGGTAAGCAAACAACAAGATGAGACTCAGGTGACCAGCCACGCCCGACATCCTCCTCCTGTAGGTGAACAAAACAACATTAAGTTAAGACTCCCTGCCTGACGGTGGACACAAGGGCATGACTTACTTGTTCTGAGGGCGGCTGTGACACTTGTGACCTCTTGCTTGTGTTGATGGGGTAGTGAAGGTCCTCCCAGTACTTACGTACAGTACAGTTCATAGGTCTCCTCGTCTCCTCCACCATCACAGGAGGGAGGGAGGCTGTCAGGGGAGGGAGGGAGGGGAAGGCTGTCAGAGGAGCTGTCAGGACCCCACTGGTCGCCTCAGGTCCGCTACAGATAATTGATCCCTGAGGAAGGTAAGCAACGCCCACCCCACGTCTGGACAAACATTGTGGTTCGTCACGCCCATCTCCTGCTGCTGTCACGCCCACCTCCTGCTGCTGTCACGCCCACCTCCCGCATCCCAAGAAGTCATATTCCCGACTGCATCCTAAGTAAACATAACACTAACAACATTCAGTATTTTCCTGTCGATTGCAAGAGACGTCGCGATGCCTCCGTTGTTTGGCTTCTGTTGTCTTCCGTTTGTCTTCTGTTTGTGCGTCACTGAGGTGTTACATTTGTGTTCCTTTTTCCATCGTTTCCCGTTTCTCTGTTTATCGTTCTCCCTATCTTCCCCTATACGGTAGTGGTGATAACAGATGTTCTTGTAGATAACCTTGATAACAACCTTTCATCGTATCACACTTTAACTTCAAGTTTAAGTTTCCGGAAGCGAGAGTCTCACAGCTACCGAGAGTCAACACTGATGGCGGGGAGCTGTACAGTGGTGAGAATATTGCCTGGGGGGGCTTGTAGTGTGGAGTGTGTGTTTCAGTGCGATGGAGACCCCACGCTGCTAGCTTTCTGCCACCCGCTGCCACCCACGATGACCTCGTTGCCATCCACGGTATTCCAAGATGTTGTGTGAGCGGGGCCACCCATCCACCCTCTGTAGGTCAAGTGCACCAGGCCACCCACCCACCCATCCACCCAACCGGCCTCTCTAAGTCAAGTGCACCAGGCCACCCACCCACCCCCAACCGGCCTCTGTATCAAGTGCACCAGGCCACCCACCCACCCATCCACCCAACCGGCCTCTCTAAGTCAAGTGCACCAGGCCACCCACCCACCCATCCACCCAACCGCCCTCTCTACGGTAGGTCAAGTACACTAGACCACCCACCCACACGCCCTCTCTAGGTCAATTACACCAGGCCACCCACCCACCCACAAGGTCAAGTGTTAGGCAATATGGAGAATCTTTTACACTCCTCCTCCTCTTCCTGCTCCCCCTCCACAACCACCCGTCACACTCGCTAGGTCAAGTAGAGCTCATACTAAAATCCTCTCTCTCTCTCTCTCTCTCTCTCTCTCTCGCCGATACACACTGTTTCCTAAGCTGACGTCACACTGTTTTCGAGTTGTAAATGTGTCCACGATGTGTTATTAATGTGTCTTGTGCGTGTACAGGAGACGTTGATGGTGTGTGTGTGTGTGTGTACAGGAGTCTTATTAATGTCACTGGTACACACACACAGACTTCACACATACACAGCATCTTGCCAATTTGACCTATAAAATAAACCCTTTGAATAACCACGACTAAATTTATGTAAACGTCAATTCTGTGTTGTCTAATGGTGGACCCTGCTGCCATATGGCATCACGAAAATTGTGACCAAGTCCCAGGTTGCTGATCTGACTTTCTGCTTCATTTACACACAATTGCAGGGTCTCAATTGTTTCTCTTACTATTGACAACACAACATACATATATTGTTTCTCACTTTTGATCTTTTTTCAGTTTTGTATTTATAGTTCTTTATTATGAATATTATTATTATTATTGCAGTTACTGTATTATTATCATCATTATTTTAATATTTTATTTTTGTTTTATCATAAATTTCATTTATTATGAATTATTATGACTATTATTGTTATTATTATTATTATTATTATTATTATTATTATTATTATTATTATTATTATTATTAATATTATTATTATTATTATTATTATTATTATTATTATTATCATCATCATTACATTTTCGCCCCCCAGGCCCCGATGTGGGTCAGTGACCTGTGCCCCGGGTGGGCTAACCCCCGTAAAAAAAAAAATAATTACACAATGACTACACACGCTACACTTGTCGAATTACGGGGGAGGAGTCAGGGGGCCCCTTGTGTGACGTCACGGAGTGTTTGTGGTGGTTTGCCAAGGGAAGATAGATAGATATGAGATAAAATCGGCATAGAAGTTCAAGTTCATTCATTTCATATGTAGACAAAAAATCAAACAATATACGTCATTGTTTTTTTGCTCTGCTATTGGTTGGCGTCACGTGCCTCCTGGGAAAGTAAGAATTTCTTCAATTCTGTTTTAGTCGTAAAATTTAAAAAAAAATATTGTTAACTGTAATATTTTGAAGTATAGTATTATTAAATGAGTTCAGTTTCGACTTAGGAGAGTCTTAAAACCTATATATTTTTTTCTAAACGTAATTATTGTGACAGTAAACTCGCGCCTAGCCATTTAGAGTGAGGATGGGGCCAACGTCATGGTGCCGTCGACCAAACACAAAGCAGCTTTCCCTATTCATTTTTTGAAGAAAGAAAGACCGCCTGTGCGTAGGGATTAGCCACGCAAGTCCTCGCCAGCCTTCCTGAAGCGGGAGCCGGAAGCAGTGAGCTCATATCATCGGCATGTAATATTCTGGAAGCTGAGAAGCAATAAACTTCAACTTAAAGAGATTCCCGAGAGATTTTTCGCAATAAACGGTTCAGACAGAGATGAGACGATAAGTATGCATGGTGCCTCTCCATTCACTGAACGCTGGGGAAGACTCAGTGACAACATGGCGTCCTGAACTGCTGCTGGGTTGAGTTAGGTAATACAGTGAACAGACAGAGAGCTTTTAAAACATGTAGGAATGACTATATTATCTTTTAATTTAATTTCCCTTGCCTGCAGTACAGTACACGACCCCCAAGTTGAGATCCCTCATATTGCCAGCTTAAATTTCATAAAAAAGCCATTATGAAAAGTGTCTCCCTGTCTATCTCTGTCTGTCTGTCTGCCAACTCGTCAATATAGTCCCGCTTTCTGTCTGTCTGTCTATCTCTGTTTATCTGTATATACAACAAGTAAACACCCCTCACCATTTATACCACTACACGTTATCAGTACCGGCAAATACAATACACGTTAGCTCCTTAAATCACAAATATCCTGTAAAGAAATTCGCTTCTATCCCCAAGTCCCGTGAAGTCACCCCCACACCTTCAGACACTCTTGAGTATTTCCGATCCAATTCCTCAGACCTTGAATTGGGTTAAATCCTCTTAGGTATTCGTTCTGCTCTCCCACACTACCCCCCCCAACCCCCCTCCCCTTCCTCCTCGATCCCCCTCCCTCCTCGACCACCGCCCCTCTCCCCCTCCTCGATCACCTCTTCTTTTCCTCCTCCTGCCCCTCCTTTTCCCCTCCTGCCCCTCCTTTTCCCCCTCCTGCCTCTCCTCTTCCCCTCCTGCCTCCTCTTCCCCCTCGTGCCCCTCCTCTTCCCCTCCTGCCTCTCCTTCTCCCCTCCCCCCTCCTCCTCCTCAGCCAACCCCTTGTCTCGGACGCCCATGTATGACGTGATGATCCTCTCTACAATTACCAGCCACTCAGAATCGCGTGAAGATTAACCCCCTCTCCCCTCCTCCTCCCTCTCTCTCTCTCTCCATCACAGTTTATTTCACCTGTGGGGTAGGTTAGGTTAGGTTAGGTCAGTTAAGGCGTTTAATCTTAAGGGAAACAAGTTAAAGAGGTGGGGTTTACGTGACCCAGAACTTATTCCGTGTTTTGACTTGCCGACATGTCCTCCTCTAAATCCTTCTTAACAACGCCGCCACTCCTCCTCAGACGGATACAAAAACAATAACACACCTCTTGACTGTTTTCATCTTCACCAGTACAACACCTACTCCACACCTGTTCCACACCTACTCCACACCTACTCCACACCTGTTCCACACCTACTTCACACCTGTTCCACACCTACTTCACACCTGTTCCACACCTACTCCACACCTGTTCCACACCTACTCCACACCTGCTCCACACCTGCTCTACACCTGCTCCACACCTGCTTCAAGACGTCACAGTTTAGTGGCCACTGTCTCATTAGTGCTAGCTTGGCCCCCTTACCGCCTGACACCTCATTTAAAACACTAATATGAACTTGTGAGGACATAATCTATATCCCTCCTTCTCTAGTTGTTCTTTCTTTCTTTCTTTCTTTCTTTCTTTAATAAGTAATAGTACCAGGTATCAGAGACGTATTTTTGTGTGGGTTTAAAGGAATCATCATCACACTCGTCTATCTTAAGTAAAACAACAACAATAACAACAAAAATAATAATAAAAACAACAAAAACAACAAACATAATAACAACAACAAAAATCAATAACAAAAACAACATCAATAACAATAACAGCGTATTTTGACGTCAATGAACCGATCTGTGTATAACTTCGCTTCATACCCCAAGGCCGTCACCCCGACTGGATCCTTCCTCTTGACTTATAAGCTGGAGATACAACACCTTTTGGATGTGTGTGTGTGTGTGTGTGTGTGTGTGTGTGTGTTTTAGTCGAGTTTTTGAGATTCCGGACGGGCTCGGGATGGTCGGTGGAGGGGGAAGGGGGGTGTACTAGGTTATATGGTGGGGGGGGGGACAATAAAATAATTACGTAACATTAATTCTATAGTTCTTCCCAATTGGCTCATTAGTTGAAGGGAAATATTTATCCTTATGATTCACTTAAGAGAAATCGTAAGTGAAACATAGCATGTGGTGTCCCGAGACTTCTTGTGTAATGCCGACACCAATAGTTTAGGTTTAGGAGAGGTTTGGTTAGGTTAGGTTAGGTTAGCCAACTCCTGACCGTGGCCAACTCCTGACCGTGGCCGACTCCTGACCGTGGCCGACTCCTGACCGTGGCCGACTCCTGACCGTGGCCGACTCCTGACCGTGGCCGACTCCTGACCGTGGCCGACTCCTGACCGTGGCCGACTCCTGACCGTGGCCGACATCTCCAAACACCCAAGCAATTAACGACACACTTTGATGACCTCTCTTATTTTTCCAATTAATTAAATTTAAAGGTTTTCCTCCCAGGTGTATTATTAATTACTGGTGTGTGACGTGTGATAATAGTTAATAATTAAGCGCCTTGGTTAATTATTACACTTAATGATTGAACACCCTAACGATATCTGGGTTAGGTTAGGTTAGGTTAGATTAAGTTGGCTTAGATTGTGTCAGTATTAAAGTGTTTAATCATCAGGTGATCCCCCTAAAAAATATTATCCCCAAAACTGAGAAATAAAGTCAACAAGGTCAACAATATTACTCATCTCTCGTGGTCAACATTTTCCGAGTGAGACACAGGAGTGGGACAGTTAATGGTGTGCTTCCTGGTGTTTGAAGTGTGACATTCTCAAAGGCTCAAAGTCAATTACAAGTTGATTATAAGGTTGAAGGCAGAAAGGATCCGATTCTTGGCTGGCGAGGGTAATGTCTTTTGTGTGTGTGTGTGTGTGTGTGTGTGTGTGTGTGTGTGTGTGTGTGTGTGTGTGTGTGTGAGTGTGTGTGTGTGTGAGTTATACCCTTGTCTTGCCTGCGGTCGACAACCTCATCAATACTCACCTATGATTAGTTGAGCGAATTCTGACCTCGATGATGATTGGTGGATCAGTCTCACGTACCTATATGACCACGATTCTTTTTTTAATGACTCGTATTATTTTTCTCATTTTAGTTCATTTATTTACTGATTTAAAGGAGAGATGTAAGTATACTATGTGGGTTTGTTAAAGACTGCAGCTTAATCACCTGGAGAATAGTTCCCAGGTGTAATTTTACGCTCTACGGTGTTGTATTTCACACCTACGTTATTATCACAGGGCAGGTAATAACGGCAAGGTGGGTCTATTATGACTGTGAGGGAATACTTGTGGCGTGTTACCTGTGTGTCGGTTTCATTATTGATTGATGGGTGGGGGGACACACTGGGGTTTTTCCTGTATTTATGTTGTATGTATGTACGTATGTATGTATGTATGTATGACTTCATATTAGTATACATATTCATCATCTTCATCAGCTTGCATCAGTCGACAGCTGAGTGGAGGTCTCCCCCATTTATTTCATAATGATAATAATAATGATAATAATAATAATAATAATAATAATAATAATAATAATAATAATAATAATAATAATTATAATAATAATAATAATTATAATAATAATAAGGATATTGTGGCTTTGATAATAAAATGCAACAACACCAACACTAAGAGAGGTACACACACACACACACTGCCGCCAGGTGGAGCTGTGGTGTCGTCCACGTCGCCACCTCAACCCACTTTAATGGACGACAACAAAGACAGCATAGAGTTCACTGAAGGATTTTTTACCCTCACTTGTAGATTGAGGACAAACAGGACGACTTTTCTCTCCCTATCTCTCACTTTTTAACTCTCTCTCTCTCTCTCTCTTTACTCTTTCCCCCTCTTTCTCTCTCTACCTTTATAAAATCCTAGTTTGATTCACGATTTAATCTAAAAGCTCTTTTGTGAGATACCATTTAAAAAAAAAGCTTCACTTTCATAATATAATCTGACAGTGGATCAATAAATTCTGACAGTGGATCAGGTTAGTGTAATGAATGTTTTCCTCGTGTGTTGAAGCCTGACACACGCTCATCCATGTATGTTATTCCCTCATGTATACTTATCATACAGCCACTGACCCACTCTCCCTACTTGTGTCTTCATACATACATACATACATACATTGACCTATTTTCCTCTCTTGCGTCTTCACTAAGGCTAGGTCATTTCCCTGTGTGTGTGTGTGTGTGTGTGTGTGTGTGTGTGTGTGTGTGTGTGTGTGTGAGTGTGTGTGTGTAGCAGGTTAAGTGCCTCTCCTTCCCTGAGTGTGTCCACGTCTTTCTCTAAGGACTTAAGCCTGAGTTCATGTGGTGTACATTAGCGCTTAAAGTCAGCTCGGTAAGGAGGAGAGAGAGGAGAGGCGATGGCATTATATCCAGAATATTTCCCTCAGTTCCAAACATCCTCCTTGAATTATCTTCATTTTGGGGGCAGTGGGACGAGGCGTGAATTAATCTGCCAACGTATTTGAGTTCTCCCTGGGATTTTTATTTGGTATGGTAGAGAAATATAAACAGTGGAGGCGAGGTTCTGTGTTGACAAGGGGATGGATTCGAGGTTTGGTGTTGGTTCTCCTTCTCTTACTTAACTTTGTCGTGTGATCTGTCTAGCCAGGTTCCTCGCTCCCGCTTGTCTCACTCTGACACTGAGTCCTCTCCTAACTTTATATACCTGGCCGCTGTGTCACTTCCCTAACACCAGTCACTTAACCACTACTACCACACTGCCACACACACACTACCACACAACTGCCAAACGCCATCCCAACCAACAACCACAATCACCGTTACTACCAGACACCACCACACTCCTGACAAGTACACTTGATCCTCAGGTAAAGGACGTTAATTAAGGGTTGTGGTGTGTCTTGAGGTGTGTAAATGTGGTGAAGCGATGGTTGTGTTCCTGTCATCTAAAGAACGACAGAGGGACACACCTTGATCCTGAGACGAGATGACTCATGACTGATGCCTATACTGAAGAACCTGTTGAAGAGGTAGTCACACTCTCTCTCTCTCTCTCTCTCTCTCTCTCTCTCTCTCTCTCTCTCTCTCTCACCTGTCATTAATTCATTGGAGTGAGAGAGGTGAGGAGGGACAGGTGATGTTGAAGGGGAGCTTATTGAGCCTAGTGCTAATTGGATGTTTTTCTTTCTCCTCCCCAGCTGGTGAGGGGAGAATAAACAGATTATATAGAGAACAGGGGAGAAAGAGGAGGTGAAAGAGGAGGTAGGAAGGAAGCGGAAGATTACAGAGAAGAGAGACGGATGAATTATGGGAAGAAAGGTAAGTAACCACAACTACCACCACCTTTATAAGTAACCACAACTACCACCACCTGTATAAGTAACCACAACTACCACCACCTGTATAAGTAACCACAACTACCACCACCTGTATAAGTAACCACAACTACCACCACCTTTATAAGTAACCACAACTACCACAACCTTTATAAGTAACCACAACTACCACCACCTTTATAAGTAACCACAACTACCGCCACCTGTATAAGTAACCACAACTACCACCACCTTTATAAGTAACCACAACTACCACCACCTTTATAAGTAACCACAACTACCGCCACCTGTATAAGTAACCACAACTACCACCACCTGTATAAGTAACCACAACTACCACCACCTGTATAAGTAACCACAACTACCACCACCTTTTATAAGTAACCACAACTACCTGTATAAGTAACCATAACTTTATAAGCAACCACAACTACCACCACACATAAGTAACCACAACTACCACCACCTGTATAAGTAACCATAACTACCACCACCTGTATAAGTAACCATAACTACCGCCACCTTTATAAGTAACCACAACTACCGCCACCTGTATAAGTAACCACAACTACCACCACCTTTATAAGTAACCACAACTACCACCACCTGTATAAGTAACCACAACTACCACCACCTGTATAAGTAACCATAACTACCGCCACCTTTATAAGTAACCACAACTACCACCACCTTTATAAGTAACCACAACTACCGCCACCTGTATAAGTAACCACAACTACCACCACCTGTATAAGTAACCATAACTACCACCACCTGTATAAGTAACCACAACTACCACCACCTGTATAAGTAACCACAACTACCACCACCTGTATAAGTAAGCACAACTACCACCACCTTTATAAGTAACCACAACTACCACCACCTGTATAAGTAACCACAACTACCACCACCTTTATAAGTAACCATAACTACCGCCACCTTTATAAGTAACCACAACTACCACCACCTGTATAAGTAACCATAACTACCGCCACCTTTATAAGTAACCACAACTACCGCCACCAACTACATAAGTATTTTTACAACTCGTTTAAGTAACACAGTACTAACAACACTTGTTTAAGTATCTCTAAGATATATCTATAAATTAACATTATCAGTACTCATGAGTAACACATGCCTGAAGGTTACTTTACGGGCACTTAACTAACACCACCAATAATATAAGTATAAGTAACATATTTATCACTACACTATCAATACTTAAGTAACCGTAGTATGAATAATTTACTTATACCCTGTAATAACAACTTTAAAGGTAAAATTACTGTATAAATTAATAAAGTTAATTATTAAGTATACATTTATGCCAGTATTGTCTAATATAAATGTATACACACACACCTAATATACAATGTGTATCGGTACTTACCTAAGATATTGCGGTATATAAATGACGTGAAAACTCCTCTTAAAGTGATGAAAGCTTCCACCTGTACAGTACGGCGCGTCAGGGCAGAATACGCGGGAGGTGGAAGAGACGCCCTGTTATATAGAGACCACCGCGCCTGCGTTAAGTGATGACGCGTGGGTGAACTGTGGATGTAAGGATAGTGTACACTGTCTTCTACGTCACGATGTCACCCGTTACTCAATCATCCGTCACTCAGTCATCCGTCACTTCATCATTCGTGTCTCAATCATCTGTCACTCAGTCATGCGTCACTCAGTCATCCGTCACTCAGTCGTCCGTCACTCAGTCATTCGTCACTCAATCATTCGTTACTCAGTCATCTGTTATATAATACTCCGTCACTCAGTCATCCGTCACTCAACCATTTCGTCACTCAGTCATCCGTCACCTACTAGATGACCACCTTCCCTCCGCCACTGTGTCTCTTGGCGTCTTGTTATCCCAGGTTCCCTAAGAGCGCCTGAGGTAAAGGCCCGTCTCCCTCCCGCGCACTCTCTCACCCCCCACGCTCCTCTCTCCTCCTCTTCACGCTCCAGGCTGCTCAATCTTCACTCCGGTCGATAAAAATAATAAAACTAGGGGATAAAACTATAATTATTACAAGGAGCATGGATAGGGCACACGTGGAGCATTTGGAATATGGATTATAGCATGAGTGGAGCATTTGGAGCTTGTCTATGAACAAAGGAAGAATTGGAGCATTAGAGACTTGAATTGTTAACCTAAATGGTGAATTCATAGCATGTTTTATGAACAAGTGGAGCATTAGGAGCATGCCGAAGGACTGGGAAACAAGTGGAGCATTTGCAGCGTGGACAAGGGTTAGCAAAAAGGTGGAACATTATGAACATGTCCTTGTGTTGGGGAAACAGAGGAGCATTTGGAGCATGAGCAAGGATCAAAGAATAAGTGGAGCATTATTAAAACAGACTTGGAATGAAGAAAAAGAAGCATTGTCTTGGGAAACATTTGGAGCATTGAGAACATACAAAAGTGAAGCTTATACATGGGAACGGAGCATTAGGGTGAGTGGACTAATGGACAGGTGGAGACTGGAGCATCGATTGTTGGAATATGGAGCATGGGTTCTTAGAGTTTATACGAGTGGAGCATAGTTTCTTGGAGTATGGATTGGTGGAGTATTGGGTCTGGAATGGTGGAGCATGGACTGGGTGAGCGTGGACTGGTGGTACATTGACTGGATGAACCTAGACCAGAGTGGAGCATAGAGCATGGACTGATGGATCATAGTGAAGCCGTGTTTTGGCCAGTCAGTGCGGATGACAGCCCACAGTGCAATTTCCTCCCGACTACAATGGATGACTTCCTCTGCCCCCTCCCCTCCCCCCTCCCACACCAAAAACAAATGTTATTAAATACTCCAGAGAAATTGAGGGTCGATTCCTGGCAGCGGTTCAGAGTGTGGTGTAGCGGCCCCGGGTCGGTCATCTTGGTGGCTGGCAAGTCTGTAGTTATTATTGCGTCAAATTTCACTAAGGAGAGAAATATCGAAATTCTGCGTCAACAACTGCAGGTTTTGAGATCCGGCGGTGGTGCATCTGAGTTACCAGATCTTCCTTAATATTGTGTTAATTTCTTCTTAAATTAGTATGATTTATGGTATATAAGAATGTTGATAATAAAGCTTTTGTATTTATTTATTCGACTGTTTTTTAAATTTTGCTGTAAGTGTTATATTTTTTGTCATATAATTGGATGAAAATAGAGACTTGGTACCTGTGGTTGAGGTGAGCGGGCGGGCGGGAGTATGGCCGGGCAATGGCACTGCCAGTGGTGCCTCGGGGAGCGTCAGGGATGAAGGTAGTTGTCTCTCTCATTCTCTCTCTCTTAGTTCGTGTATTCGTATCGAAAACCTTAATACCTTTTACTGGTGACTCGATTAAAAAAATCTTTAAATTTTTTATACTCGAGTGTTAAATCGTGACAAATACGAGAAAATTTTGCGAGTGCAACATCCGTCCACATAAGAGTCGTGTTAAATCTAACTTTTTATATCAAACGTCGATAAAACTGAAGAACTTAAAAATAATCAATCGGAACGTGTAGACTGTGAAACGGTGTGTGTAGGCGACGGAGACTTGAGCTCAGTGTGTGGAGGAGGAGGAGGTGGTGGTGGCTGGCTGAGTGTGTGTGTGTGTGTGTGCCGCTGCTGCTGCTCTGCTTCACCCGTCTAGAATACTCCTTGATATTTAACGCTCTCTTCATGATGTCAGTTAAATCCTTTATACATTATTATACGGTGTGTGTGTGTGTGTGTGTGTGTATGGTGTGTGTGTGTGTGTGTGTGTGTGTGTGTGTGTGTGTGTGTGTGTGTGTGTGTGTGTGTGTGTAATTGACTTTCATACCACGAGTACACACACACATGCCTTCACACATACATACGCAAAGCTTCTTCCCACATACATACTGTTTATACACAGTCTTCACCCAACGAGTACACATATATACATACATACATACATACATACATACATACATACATAGGTTTCATCCAACGAATACACATACACACATACCCGATTCATAAACAGGCTTGATCCTACAACACACACACACACACACACACACACACACACACACACACACACACACACACACAAGGGGCAGACTAACCCCTCTGTGGATAAGAATTAATATTTGATCCTACAGTGCGGTCGTGAGGATAGGCAGATCTTGGGTTAGGATAGGCCGTTCTCTCTCTCTCTCTCTCTCTCTCTCTCTCTCTCTCTGTATTGTCTGCGTTAATTAGACATCCAAACACAGATGATGGCAACCTGTATAACTGACATCATCTTACTGATCTGCCCCAGTAAGTGAAGTCACTGGCTCTAAAGCATCAGTAAAGTCAATATCCTTGACATGTGCAGTCATTAACCCCCCACCGGCCCGCAAGTGACGTCAGTAAGGTAAAGTGCCGGTGAATCGTCAGTGGCCAGTGGTGCCATAAAGTGCCATATGTCTGACCCCCAGAGCCGAAAGCCGACAACATAATGGTTGGTTAGTGGTGGTGGTGGTGGGGCGAGGGGTGATGGTGACTACAGTTGTCGTGTTGATGGTGACAGTTATGGTGGTAGTGATGGTGATGACAAACACTAGTAATCGTGGTGATGGTGATAATACAAGTGACGGTGGCTGGTGGTAGTAGTCGTGATTGTGGTGGTAGTGTGGGGTAATGATTTTCGTCATATTGACAGACACAGCTGAGTGTTGTGGTGCAGCCTGGTGTGGTGTGTTAGGTACCCGGCCAACAGGGAAAATAGTCAACCTAAGAGAGTCATACAGGTCTTATATAGGATAGGTTAGGTTATGGTTCAGTTAAGTCAGGTTAAGTGAGGTTAGATTAGGTTAGGTTAGGTTAGGTTATTATTTATGTATTTTCACGTCAACACCAACACCTACATCAGCTGGTTGATGGAGAACGTCTGACGAAGTATGTTATGGTGTGTACCCAGGCAACCTCCCCTGATTTATGCCCCCTCCTCTCTCTCTCTCTCTCTCTCTCTCAGTCCATTTCGTGTTCTGAATCTCAATTGGTCGATCAAGTATTTCTTTCAGTAAAACCTATTTGACACACACACACACACACACACACACACACACACACACACACACGTCCATAGCCACATACACACACCTACACACACACACACACACACACATACACACACACACGAGAGACCTTGATCTATACTAAAAGTCACGTCTACCTGATTAAAAGGTAAGTGAAATGTTTACTTTCCTGGTCACAACTTTCTCAATTGTGTCTTAAACGTGTGTGTGTGTGTGTGTGTGTGTGTGTGTGTGTGTGTGTGTGTGTGTGTGTGTGTGTGTGTGTGTGTGTGTGTGTGTGTGTGTGTGTGTGTGTGTGTGTGTGTGTGTGTGTGTGTGTGTGTACAGTTACCTCAGCTAAGACAACTACCACATCCTCAAATACCATAAATAACTACTACCACAACCACTACCATAACCAACATCACGAGAGGGACACAGACGGCTCCCTGCTACCACAACCACCCCAGGACAGCGACACAGACGGCTCCCTGCTACCACAACTACCCCAGGACAGCGACACAGACGGCTCCCTGCTCCTACAACTACCACAACCACTATCATAACCAACATCACGAGAGGGACACAGACGGCTCCCTGCTACCACAACCACCACCTCAGGCATCACTACCACAACTACCACCACCAGGACAGAGGGCTCCCTGCTGTGTATGCTGTTTTATTGTCCATCGATCGAGGAGAGGAACCGTGCCCGCTCCTGCAGCACACACTCCTACATGATCCTACACACTTCTACACGATCTTACACACTCCTACACGATCTTACACACTCCTACACGATCTTACACACTCCTACATCATCCTGCACACTCCTTCATTATCCTACACGATCTTACACGATCTTACACACTCCTACACGACCTTACACACTCCTACACGACCTTACACACGCCTACATGATCCTACAAACATGAACTTTCAAATCCTTAAGGCTCCCGTATTAAAGACATACAGTATTTCCCGTGTGTTCCTAGGTTACTTTAGGTCAATGTTGTCCTCTAACTATAGTGCGTTTTTTTCCAAGTTGAGAAAAGATCCCCCCCCCCCCTCTCAAGAGTTACAGCTCATTGGCTGGAAAAATATGAAGTTGTTCGAAGTAATTTTTTCCGTCTCTGCTGACGTCATGTAATATTTCAATGTGATTCTGATCTTTAAAAATTTTTTTTTTGTATAATGTAGTATTACTGATACGTAATTTGTATTAGTATGCCTTATTGTGGGTAAAAATAAGTATATATTAAATGCATCCTCCTAAAGCGTGAATTAGTTTAACAGTTAATTCATGTATAATACTTCTGATAAACTTCCTACGTGCTTATGTTTGAAATAATGAATGTATGTATCTTTAATATAATTTAGCTAAAAATCTTTCTCGTCAGAAACGGTCATCCCTGTACAGTACATTACTTCAGGGCAAAATCAGAAAAATTTGCAACAGCCAATCAGCTGTAACTTTTGAGGAGGGGGCGGGGCATCTTTTCTCAGCTGGGAAAAAACGCACAATAGTGATAAAGGAATATTTGTAGTTAAGATAAATTCCCCCTTTGTTCAAGGTAACAAGCAGGTGTTAAGGGAACGCATCTAGTTAAGGTAGAGATTCAATTTAGTTGTCTCCTCTTAACTGGTGTCGAGTGAGCGTATATCTACTGTAGTTAAGGTAAGAGTCTCATTTTAATTTGATCCTCATAACTGGTGCTAAGTGAACGTATTCAAACCCTTTATATCACTTTGCCACACTCTACGTTCAGTACACCCACGCTGCCTTGTGCATGTTTCTCCCACCTATATTCACGCTTATGCTAATTTGGTTGAGGTGTCAGTGATGCCCAACAACCTAAGCTGACATCCTCTAGAGTCTAGACCCAAGTGTATCCTAAAATTGAAAATATTAAAAACTAAAACATATGAAAATGACAAATATCCTTGGTTTAAGATATATTGAAATTGCAGGTGACATGACAAAAACTTTAGAAGCCGAAGCAGGTCCACTGTAGAACCGTCACACCTTGCAGTCCGCGGCAGCCAAGGCGGCCATGTTGAGGCAACGAGACCTTCAAGTGGGAATTAATGCAAAGTGATAGCATCTGTTTACACACTTACCTCCTCACTTCTTCGGGCGTCGAAAGGAAAATTTTTTTATTTATTTTTTTGAGGGGGAGGGAAGGGCTGAGGGGTTATATCGTGTATGATTATAATATCGCCGCTGCTCATTCGAAATCTCTTCAAGACGTGTCCTAGATCACTTGCAGATAGATATATTACAAGAATTCATCGACCGTGTCAGTAAACTCAACGCAAGATTCTTTCGAGAGTTTGTTCCGAGGTTATGAGTACATGACCCAGGGTGAAGGTGACGCAGAAGACGATAAGGGTTGAGGACCCTGATCTATGGAATTGTTTTATTGATGAAAGTTGTTTTATCACGAGGAATTTTGTCAGAAGGTCATGAAAAAAAATATATATGTATATATATATAATCAACACCTCAACCCGCCAGTGGGCCGTGGGTTCGAATCCTGGCGGGTTGAGGTGTTGATTGTATGTAGAAGTCCGCGTGCTATTGGGCTAATGAAATATATAGATATATATATATATTATGAAAAGAAAAAATTTTTACATACAAAAACAAAACAAATAAATGATGATATTTGCCCTGAGTGTGAGTAGTTGGAAACCGTATCTATGTTCATTGCAGTATGGTGTGTCATGTTCACAACGGAACACCGCTTCGTTCAGCGTAAATTATACACTAGCGATCCCAAGACTGACGAGGTTTGGCCATAGTTGTTTGTATCAACTACACGCAATACTGCACTCAATAGCGCCGCAACTGGAAATCGTTCACTCGACAATACAAAGATTTCGCTTCTTTTTGTTTTTGTTTTTGTTTTTTTTACTGAAAATGTAGTGATGCAGGAGGAAATACAAGAGTTCAGAGGTGTGAGGCCAGAGTCTCGTAGTCGATAATAACCTTCACCTCCGACCACTTATCGTGGAGTCTCTTGAAAGGCCTCACCAGGACCGTGACTCTTCCTACCACTGACCTTTGAAGCAACATCAGAGGCAACTGTTTGATGTGAACCTCTAACACAAGTCTCCTGCAGGCTAACGACAGAAGAGCTCTGTCTAGGAGCTTCTCAGAGTACAAACACCTGGTGTTTTTCAATATTTAGACGATGCAGTGTCAAACACAGGCGAGAATTGTGACGGCGAGGCGCAAAGTGAGCGACACGGGACGGGAAGGTGCGTGCGTTTTCTTTTTACGTGCCAAGCGCGTGCACAGTGATCTGAATTATTTTAAGTGGCTGCGAACAAAACTTGCACGTGTCTGGATACGCTTCATATTGAAATTTGTTCCTTTGTTATTATGCAAAAGCTACTAGCGTTTATTTCGGGTCATTCATGTTGGGTCACCCGGTGCAATACTAACCAGCCCCTGGAGTCAACCATTCCTGTTGACTGTTGAACTAGAAGCCTAAGAAAAATATGGGGAGTTACTGGACGCTGTTGAACCGGGGAATGATAGAGAGTTCAAATCGCCATTTTGGTGTTTTTTGAAAGACCCTAATATATATATATAGTATATACAGTATACACAGTATACCTGTATATAGTAGGGAAACATTGAAAAAATCCATCGTAAAATATCAACATCTCACCCTCCCTCTCACCCCCCCCCCCAAAAAAAATCCATAATTCTGTTTGTGCTGTTGGTTGGCTGTCTTCCAGTCAGTTCGGGCCGGGTGAGGGGGTTGGGGTGAGCAGTGGGGGTGGACGGACATAACTGGAGGGTAGGAAGGAAGAGCGAGCGAGGAGTATTGGAGCTGGCCACACTCACCAACACACCAAAACATACCCGGCGACTAATTTATCTGTTTACCTGCTGGACGTTCTTTTATCCTTAGTAGTTCAGTCACGGATTAAATTTTTGGTGTTTTGGAAGTGATCTAAATTATCAATATATATATATATCAAATACTTTCATCATTACATTCTTGAGGAAGGTCTTATTATATCTGATACAATATCTCATAAAAATTTAAGTATGTTATAAATGGCGTGTTTACGAACCTTGAATACGCGCAATGATAGGTATTAACATTAACACTTCCTCAGTAAGTCAGCCTATTACGGCATTACACAAATTTCGACCGAGTCATCGATTGTGGATCAGTGTAAGAGTTAAGTATTGGCTTAAGTCTGGAGTTCTTTTTTTTTTTTTTTTTCGCTAAAACACTCCGACATACTTCTCTCCAGAGAACAGAGGAACGAACAAAACCAACCACAGGATCCATACCTTCCAGTGTCTCTGTCCATAATTTCTCTTTGGTCAGCGACGCGTCGTCATCCTTGGCAGGGGTGTCGTGAGGCGCAGCGCAGGCTAGCAGTCCACTCTTTATATATATCTCTATATTATTTTGATATATTTTGCAAATGTTTCAGCAGTATACAGACAAAATATGAAGCACAGTAAAATAGAAACAAACACAAACGAAAATATAACTAAAATTACCCCCAAAAATTAACTTGTGTAGCTATAATTGTTTTTCTTAATTCAGTGTAGGTTTGGTAATGGTATATCTTTTCCAACCCCCAGCACAGTGTAAGAGGACAACTACCCAGTGAGGATAGAAGGCGAAGGAGTATCTGGCAGGAGACGCGCACCCAGTTAACATCGCAGGAAAATGGTGGAACAGGAACAGCAGCATCCAACAGCCTAGGAGTTCAACGTGTTGATTTTATAGCCAATGTTGGTGTGGAAAAAATAAACAGTGATTAGAAAATACAACTTGATTACGTTGACGCCAGTCCCATGTGTTAATTAAAAATTCACAACATACAAACAACGTTCCTCGGAGGCCAAAAGCGTAGTATGAAGTGTCAAGTTTGAAGGCTAGTTGTGAAGTACACCTGAACTTTTCAATGCGATCTCAGTGAAGTCTTCAAGTATAAGGTTGATCAGAAACTTGTAGCAAGTAACGTGAGACTCATTATAAGAAGCTTCATTCTGTGTCACTAGATCCGGCAAATTACTTGGATGTGGAGTACAGCGGCAGTTGTTGCAGTATTAAAACTCACCGCTAGGCCACAAGGGCCCCTCACCAGCCGAACTAGGCAAGGAAGTGTTCGAGTCAGTGCCGAGACTTGGAAGTTTCTGAGCCAGTACTAAGCTAAGGAGTGCCGGAGCTAGTATTAAGCAAGTTGTCAGGGCCAGTGCTTGGCTAAAAGGTGTCCGGTGTGATGCTGCCGTCACCACAACTCCATCACTGGCCGCCTCTGCGTCATCACATGGACATAACTTGCTCCTCTAGTTGATGTTTGTAGACCAAACTTGTGTGTACCCTCTCCCCTCCTCCTTGTGCCGCACTGTTTTATTATTATTATTATTTGCGTGAAGCGTTTGCCTCAAGTTTTACCATCCATCCCATGCATTCACTTGTCAGTACTTTTATTACGTGTTCACATAATCAACTCGATATCTTAACACGCAGACAATCAGTCGTAACAGTCCTGAGTGAACCATCAACAACACGTACATATCAAAATCGCCATGACCAGCCAAGACACGGCGTACACCTGTGTCACTCCTTCACTGACCCGTCCTAATGTACACTAACCACCTGAACGATTATATTAATGTCGAATATTTTCATCCACTGTCCCGTTACTTTATCGCGCCAAAATAGTTGTTTTCGATACACCCTGTGCTGCAGTAAATTTAAATCGCACATTTTAATTTGACATTTAGTGATACCGTCACAACCTCGCATCCGAATTGCCCTTCAAACTTCTCGTACATTTTGCTTTCACTTTATAATATCTGTGAATTGCAGTGTTATACTCTTCCTTAAATGCCGTCCTCTCGTGCAGTACCTGTTATTGTACGTTAAATCCCACCTCCTCATTCAAATAAAATAATTCGGACCTCTCTTCCGAATTTCCGTTGTCTTCTTGTGTATAGTTGCCCATTGAGCTCTGAGCGAGAATTCCTAAGAAGCATCTGCGTGAATTGCAATTTGTGGGCGTGTAGTTTCCGCTGTACCGGTGTCCTTGTTCAAGACGAGCACCACCAGGAACGTCAGTGTACAGATCGGCAACAGTAGGTGAGTCGAGCACGTGCACCAGGAACGGCAGCAGTAGGTGAGCCGAGCAACAAAACAATAGTAGCAGCAAAAGCAGCATAGCAGTAGCAGTAGTACCAATACTTGGAGCAGCAACAGTAGCAATAGAAGGAGCAGCAACAGTAGCAATAGAAGGAGCAGCAGCAGAAGTAGCACCAATAGAAGCAGTACCAATAGCAGCAGCGGTGGCGAGGAGGAGCAGCAGTACTATTTGGAGTAAACACTATCGACTGGTAGGGGCAGCAGTAGGAAGAACAGCATCACTAGTAACAGCAGCAGCAACAGCAGCAGCAACACTGGCAACAGCAGGAGCAGCAGCACTAGCTACAGCAGGAGCAGCAGCACTAGCTACAGCAGGAGCAGCAGCACTAGCTACAGCAAGAATAACTGCAATAGAAACAGCAGCAGCAATATTAAAGGAAGAGTAGCAACACTAGCAAGGGCAGCCGTAACAGTGGCAGCATCAGACGTAGCATTAACGTTAGGAGGAGGTGGTGGTAGAAAACGAGCGAAGGTGATGGTGCGGGAGGTGTCAGCGCGGGTGGTCCTGCTTGTGCTAGCCGTGCCCTCACTGGTGTGTTACCTGCTGCTCGTGGACAACAACACTGATCACTACCACCCACTAACCACAGGTAAGGCCAGTACAGTTCTTCCATCTCTCCTATAACCTACTAAACTCCTTTATGTTTATTTAGGAAACAGCATTTATTCCACTTGTGTTTTCAAATCGCCTCTCGACCATAGAATGGGTATGCACTTTTGCAGAACCTTCAGCTATAGCCGGAAACTCCCCTCAACAGTACAACTGTATGTGTCTGTTACTACGATAACTCTGCCATCATAAGGCCGATTTCAGATTTATTGCCACCCCCACCACATCAAGTCTGACAAATTGTTCTGACGATGGCAGAGTTATTACGCACGCTAATGGGTCGAACACGCACACACATAACTACTGTTAGATAAACCTTGAGTCTGGGGTGAGCGGACCACACAATAACCCCTTAGTAGAGTGACGAGGTCTTCAATATATTTATTAATTAAAGAAGGATGCACAGTGTTTGATCATTTGCATTGGTTCATAAGTCAATTGTGCTTTAATTTATAGTTTTCGTCAAGAGACATCACACTGACGAGACGTAGGTCCTGCATACTGGGCGGCTTATTAATGGCTTATATATCCACTGTGCCTGTCACTTTAACATCATTTACCGCGCATGATCTAATACCCAGCGAGTACACGACGTTATTTTAAACTGAATCGAAGTTGAAATCTTATCATAACATTATTTCATCGCTGATTCTAGTTGAAATGAGGTCGTGTCTCTGTGTAGCTTCTCTCTTTACCTTCTCTCTCTCCTGGCGTGCTGCTGTAATCAGGTTATACAATACATTATGACAACAACCAATTATATTGATATACGTCATCACATAGCCCTAGGAATATTGGCGGGGAGGTGAGTGAGTGAGTTACTCCACTCCTTGTCACTAAAGAGCCACACATTCATACACACGCACGGAACTTACGAATCTGATCAAACACAAAGGTTTATAATACCAACCAATGATGACACGTATCTGAGAAAATTAATTCTTTTTTACTTCCTAGTCACTATGATAGATATAGTACAATTGAGAAATTTATCTCTATGTTATACAGTCTGGGGCAATTACAGCACCTCATACAAAAGGTCACATCTTCAAAGAGGGGATCACCTGAAGAATCTCCATCCAAGTTTGTTTTACCTGGGGATTTAATCACCGAGCACTATCCTAACCTAACCTCATCCGCACAAAGAGTGTTAGGTGGTTTTATTCTTTGGGTGGAGTTAGCTGTGGTGGAGATTCTTTAGGTTATCCCTAAGAGGTTTTAAAGTACATACACAATTGTTGGTTTATAAATTGGGTTGTGATCTGATGATAACACGAGTATCAACACTCAAGACTTATTTAACCGTAATACATGGAATATTACTTACGTCACTCAAAAGTTCAAAATTTGTTTCGTAGAATGAATGTACAGTAAAATTAAATATGCTATTAATGAGAGAATTAAATAATGTTGTTAGTGTGGAGAATTAGATGTATTGGAGAGACAGGCAGAAAGTGACGGATGGTGACAAGGCAAGTTACCAGCGGTGTTGTCTCCGCCTCACGCACCCTTTGTGGCCTTCATCCTTCACCTACTCTGCTAATATTCCCTTTATCACTTGTTCCTACAATTCAGAGGTTTGTTGCCTGAATATTTGTTGTTGCCTTTAAGGTAGTCAGTCTTCCCTTGATTATCAAGACACGAATTCTTGACGGATATAACTCGCTTCGTGTGTATTTTACGCCTTTTTTTTTACATGTTAAGTCCCATTTGTTGCACATACAACAGCTTTCAAGTTATTCATACATCAACCCAGCTGTATTCGCTATCATAGCTTTACGCCTCAACATCCGCTTGCCAAGGCCGTTTGATTATATTCTAAACCATGGATTAGTCTGGGGAACCATGTCATTCTTAGCATAACGCTTATTATGCTTACAACGGTAGCCTGCCACCACCCAGACTTTTATTAGAATATAACATGTCAAGGAATGGTTAGGTAGCGTGTTAGCGAGTTTCTAGGCACGTGAGTTAGAAAGTTATTTTCTGAGAGCCAATGTGTAGAAGGGAATAGAGTGGTGATACAGTATTGTACTTGACACAAAAGTTTGTACTTTAAATACCACACAATTATTTGTACTCTTTACTGATGACCAAATTATACAGTACTGTACACTGTATTCTTATAAAAAAAATTCCCACGTCCACAATAGACAACATTCACCGACCATTAATATCGCTGGCGGCAGGTACAGTCTCACCCAAAAGTTCATTAACTCTCCCAGCCAGCTATTGCTGTACTGCCTGCTTCAGATGTTTGAAACTGTCTCGGTATCAACCAGAACATGAAACCGATACAAATGAATCTAAAGGTTCTAATTAACAGACTCAAGTTCATACATCTGAAGCAGGCAGTGCGGCAGTCAGTCAGTCAGGACAACGAGATAATAGAGCCGTGGCTCTGAGGTGAACAAGGATATTTAGGGCAAGGTATAGTTAAGAAGTGGGAAGTACAGAAGGAGAATGAAAGCAGGTGGGCTTTCCACCTTGCTGAGGCTGGTTTGTGGTCAATAGCTGGCTGAGAGAGTTAAAGAACTTTTGGGTGAGACTATACAAGAACCTAACTTCTGCTTTGCAACAATACTAACACCTCTCGTGCTTCTCACCACCTGAAAATAAAGTGGTATTCGTCTCCATTAATGCTGTTTAATCCCATCCATCTTATATTTCATCTTTCTGAAAACCTTTACATATTTCCCACCTTCGTAAATGTTATCAAATTCCAAGTTCCTATTTTGAATTTATGCCCGCTCTCAGCTAACCTTCCAGTGTTCATTAGCTCTTCCCGTAAATTGTTTTTAATTGTCTGTTGTTCATTCACGTAGGATCGGTAGTAAAAGGTGACCCTCAAAAATAATTCTTGGTGGACCATAATGGGTTTACCGCCTACCAGACAGTACTAGATGTACAGTGGAGCAGCTCATGGTAGATACTTACAATTGTTGGTGTCTATTTTGTATCTGTTTTGAATTTAACTGTAACTTAATAAGAGAAAATACTGTTGGTGCGTGGTACAGTACAGTACCAGACTTCGACATTTTAGTACACTAATGAAAATATATTTTATCGCATAAGCATGTTAATAGTATGTATACTCTCTACTATTGCTAGCTCATGTTCCTTACCTGCTTATATTTTTAATAGCTTAATGAAAATTATCCATTACAACTAAAAATTAGTTTTTGTCAACGGGTGTAAGAATACGAAAAAAACCCTGACATTACAAGTCCCTTAACAGAGTACGGATCACAATCTCCTCCCACGGTTGGTGGTACGCATCACTGTAACCTCAATTTTGTTGTTGTGAGCGACCCTCCTGTAGAAGACCCGGAGGACCTGTGGTGGGCCGACTGGAACGAAGTTCACAGGAGCAGACGAGCAGCTGTACACCACAACTGTCTCCACGCTAGAAAAGGCAATGTTGTGAGCTTCTCTAGGCTTTTGAGTTCTCGGAAATACCTCTACAACCTGCTGTTGGATGAGAGGCACAAAGCTATCTATTGTTATGTTCCAAAGGTAAGTAGCCCATCTGTCTTTACATATCAACCTTATGAGCATTGTCCAGGTATAAACGAACCATGACAATACAAATATTCTTAGCTGCCTTTGTTCATAGTACGTGTTAATAGTAATTTGGTGGTGTTAGTACAAGAATTGTATCCCATTATCTTATGAGATTTGACCATCGGTTTTATTCTAGGTTGCTTGCACAAACTGGAAGCGAATGATGATGATTTTGTCTGGACGCACAAACAAGGTCGACCCACTCAACATTAGCTCTCATGTTCCCCACGAGGAGGGTGTCCTAACCAGGCTGTCAGTGGCGCGCATCAAGGTATAGTAATGCCAGTTTTCTATCTCTGAATTCAGTTTTCTCTTTGTGAGTCATCGTGGGGGGAGACAGGCAGTGATAGTGTCCTTATATCCAAATATTTTAGAATTTAGATTAATCTCGACTATAGTTACAGGCACTCCATGGGTTAAGTGACCACGTATTGAAATTATAATTTTTACTTCCAAAATATAATTATAATACTCAGTATGACAATTAACAACTGAAGTCCCATAGATGTTTTACAATTACAGGTAAATAGAAGTTGTCTCGTTGTACTTGTAAACACAAAAAGCACTTTGGGAGAAAAGAAAAATAGCAACACTTATAACAAGTGATACTTAATCATATTTTGAGTTGTATAATTGACGTTACGAACCAAAACAGCAATAGAAGAAAATATAATGAATTCTAAGCTTTGAAATGGGTGCGTGCGGATCCCCCCCGAAAGTTCTTCTCACCCTTAACTCTTCCACACTCGTTGTCTGGTATACCCAACCTACCACTGTGATTCATCGACCCACTATACACAACCTCCGCCATCGAGACTCACTGACTTAATACACACCTCTACCATTCTTTACTCACTAGAAAAGAAAAAAATCGACATCCATTGTTGGCAAAGAGTCGGCTTCACTTCGGCTGAACGAACCTTTGAAACCATGTGAACCACATAAAATTCGAAGCTCCAACCCACCCATAGTGACGAGTCCCACAGCCAGTGTTGCCAATTTGGCGGAAAATCCGCTTAGCCTAGCGGATTGAACTTTCAAAACGCGGATGGTTTAGAACTTTTGCGGATGGCGGATTTTCTGGTGCATTTCACTGGATTTGGCGGGAGTTCTAGCGGATTTCGTGTACATGATGATATTAGTAATCAAAATCTATTCTGTCCTCCCTCTGAAATTAGAAAAAACACGGAAATTTAAAGTTAATAGAATACAGAGTAATCGGCAACACGTCTCACATTGACCCCAGGGAATAGTTAGGATACGAATTTGAAAGACTTGCACCAATTCAAAGCTATCGGAAAAAGCAGAGCGTGATCTTCACCAACGCTGCATAACTTGTGTAACCAGTCTCTATAATGAGTTAAAAAACAGACTTCCTGATTACTTCAAAATCTTGAGGAAACTATCTCTGTTTTCAGTTGTGGAATGTCTCAGACTTGCGAAGTAACTAATAGTAGAGATAGCTGAACTTTTTAGGTACCATCCCCAAAATTTGACCGAATTGACAGTCAGTGACGCAACTTAACAATTGTTAGATGGCACGAGACCACGTCAACAGTAAAATTTTGGATTGAGATAAAAGATTACCAGGATGCTACAGGAATAAATCCTTTTCGTGACCTCTGTAAATTAGCTCTCAGTGTACTCTCCCTCCCTTACTCTAATGCTGAAGTCGAGAGACTATATAGCCAGCTAAATATTGTTAAATCAAAGCTCAGAAATCGGTTGAATACAAGTTCAGTCTGCGATTATTGCAGTGAAAAGTGGACTCAGAAGAGTTGGAAAATGTTGCCATTCGTATGAACTGCCAAAACAAGTGGTAAAGCAAATAGGTACAATGGTAGCATACAGTTCATTGACATCAAAAGTACCAGAAGCTGGTCCAAGCTTTTCTTTTAATACCAATGTCTTTAGTGACTGAAGAGGAAAGCATATTTTTTTCGCTGAACAAAGTGATGAGTACTTAGCATTTGTATATTTACTTAACATTTGCATATTGTTTAGGATACGTGCGTAATATTGTGCTTAGCGGATTCTATAGGTCAATCTAGCCGATTTTCACCAATCACATTTGGCAACACTGCCCACTGTGGACTCCATGGCCACGCCATGTCGGGTTGAACAGTCGTTTCTATTAGGACAAGTAGAAATGTGTGTTTGACTGTGTCTTGATTTGCCATAAAGTTTGGTTAGTGATAACAGTGATTTCGTCATTAGTGAGTGGTACCAATAGTAATTTGACAAGTATATACTATACAGTACGGTACTACACTCGGATTTATTTAATCACCACTGACGCTGAATGAGGAAGGTAAGTTTAATTGAATTCTGGGGATTACTGAGGCTCTACTTTTGACAGGATGGGTAAGGGCGGATCCAGAGGGGAGCCCTGGGGGTCCGGATCCCTCCTTTTAAAATTCCAATATTTTTTAATGCGGTGTTGTATTCAGGCATTTTTGTATAGTAAAAAGTATTTACTATTTGACCTCAAAATATCTTCTAATATCAAGTGCATATGACTTCAAAATGGCCTCAAACTGCCCATAATATTGGTCAGATTTAAAAAATGATTCGGGGTGGGGAGGGGGGGGCTATGTCGACTCCCAAAAAACCCAGCTGTGTGGGCTCGCATTGCTCGCCATGTTCACCCACCCAAAACTTCTTGGACCCCCCTTTTGATATTCCTAAATCCGCCCCTGATAGGGGAGGCGGGGAGAACGAGTGCAAAGAGAAATCGTCTGGGTAGGGGGTTGAGAATGATGTAACGAAATCACTGTATTGTAAACTCGTTCTTTAACACATTAATAAGGACAAAGAAAATATAAATAACATAATCTTATATAATTTGAGCTAACACAAGTTTATTTGATAAAGTTTTAATCTAGGTCATCCGGAGAATTTTAGGAATTTAACAATTGGAATCGGTAGTTCAAACAATTCTAATGACCTGACCTAACCTCCTAACCTAACCGAGGGGGAGGGCTCCGCCCCCCTCACCCGGCATATGTAAGTCATAGAAGAAACATATTATAATGTTAAATATCTCGCTCAAACTTAATTTGTGTCGGAAATGCCATTGAAGAAAAGTGTCTTAGAATTGTCAAAACTACCGATTGCATCTAAATTTTCCGAAATTCGTATAGTGGCAATAAGTGAAATAATAATACCCTTCATATTTCTATTTACATGGGAAGAAAGAAAAAAACTTTTCCATTGTGTCCATCTCAAATTTATATTTTTCTAGTATTTTAACCAATATTGGTTGTTCAAAGTGGGCAGGGAAAATGTGGGGTAAAATACGAAAAAGAACACCAAATAACCCTTTGAAAAACCTTACCTATCTTTTCCTTACTTGTAAGAGGGTTAAGAATCGCTTTCGAGTTTATGGGTCCCTCCTCATCTGAACACCAAAAACAACTCCATCACATACTAAACACCGAAAACATGAATAAGGCAAGCTTAAGCTTTTTATAGTTTTAAGGATTTTTACAAGATAGGGAAGGTTTGTTTTGTGTTCTTTTAAGTATTTTACCCCACGAACATTTAGCTGAAACCTTCCCTAAACCTTCCTTGGGATCTCCTGAATACAGAAGGAACATTGCCAGCAATTTTAACTCAGGCTTTTCATAATTGTTTAATGACACAAGTGTACTTTAAATCTAATATAACTTTACTTTTATCCTCTTCGCCACTTATCGGCTCGTTAGCCACTGGGCTGTCAGTCATGTCTGTTATATGCACTGTTGGCAAGTACTGGGCATGCACTTGCTCCTGAATGCATCTGTACTTATGCCAGCATTGGTCAAATCTGGTCTTGAAAAAGCTCACACTTGGTGCCGTCTCAACACTAGTAGATAGTTCCAAAAGTTCACAATTCTCACTCTGAAAAAGTTTTCCCTCACAATTTTCTGGACTTTTGGCTTCATCAACCTTGAGCTGTGACCCCTTGTGTGGTGGGCATCTGCCAGTTCCAGGTATGGACACTTAACTAAGTAGTGCCCTCTGAGATGTTTATAAACTTTAATTAGGTCACCCCTTGCCTGTCTCTAGTACTGTATAAGCTAGGCATTTGCAGGCATTCTAATCTCTGGTGCAGGCACCAGGCTGGTGGCCCTTCTCTGGACATTTTCAATTAACTGACTTCTCTAGTATATCTCGGGGACCAGACGGGGTGACAGTATCCCAGATGAGGAAGTATCTTACTCTTGAGTGTTACAAGGGATGTGACCTTCTCATAAGACATACTAGTTTAGTTGCTTGATTCATCTTCTAACAATGGCCTGAGAACTTCAGTGTATTGTTATTCAGGAATCCATAATTTTTTTTATTATATTCAGGCCCATTTAGGTACATGTAATACTGTACGATTGTATCTGAACCATCAGTCTTTTATGAGTCATTTGTACAGTACTGTACAGTATTGTGATTAAGTAGCAAGTGAATGTGTTAATATACCAGGATGTGGTGCTTTGCTGTTTCTGTTATTTGGTTTTAAGAATCCAAAATAATTAGTTAAATAAGGAGTACCATATTTTAAAGCTAATGGCATTCTATATGATTCACTAAATAATTTTTTAAATTCTTCAGTTTTAATGTGAATTTTTTGTTGTCTACAGTCTTCACTTTTGAATTATAAACTACGAACGTATACAAAGTTCCTCATCGTACGACATCCAATGGAGCGTCTAGTATCTGCTTACAGAAACAAATTGGTTATAAACTCCACATCTGCTGCAGACTTCAAGAAAAGGTTTGGTGTCACCATAATGAAGAAATATCGCAAGGGATCAAGTGCTCAAAAAATTCCCAAAAATGGTCATGGTGTAACATTTGCAGAATTTGTCTCATACATTGTAGAGAGAAAACAGGAAAGTCATCAAAGTCTTAATGAACACTGGGCATCATATGTTGATCTCTGTCATCCCTGCACTATCAGATATAACATCATTGGTAAATATGAGACATTAGAGGAAGATTCTGAATACATCCTAAGGAAGATCGGTGCTCCCCCTGATTTACACTTCCCACCTGTAGTGCCATCACGTACAGCATCATTGGTGGCTGACTACATGGCTTCTCTCTCCCCAGAACTCGGCCAGAAACTCTATGACCTATATAGGCTTGATTTCAAGCTCTTTGAATATGATTATTCAAACATTTAGCATAAGATTCCTAAGTAAGATTTTCCCTGCTGTTAATGAGATCATGATATTTCCTGTAGAAAAAAAAGACTGCTGTTAAGACAGAAACAATGGAATTATACTATGGTCCCAACTTTGTTATTGTTGATACTGTTATTGGTTGTGACTGATTTGTTAAATAATGAAGCCATACTCACACTTCATTAAGGTAAGAAAATGATAAGAATATTTTGCTTATACAGTTTATACATTTGCTACATTTCTAGACCATGATCTCATTGCCTTATGCTGATATTTTGCCAGGTTTTGATTTTTATGGTCATCATTTTTCCCAGGGCTTTTGAGTTATGAAAGCAAAGTTGCTGGTAACATCATCTTGGTCCTTATTGTAATGAATGATATCTTTGGGTAACTGCAAACAAACTAATGACTGTAAACCAAAATCTTAGATGAACATAATTTTTATTTACTGTACATGACATTCATTTCTTCTCATCAGGTAAATTTCACTGTTAAATGGTATAACACTCTCAGTACTTAACCATTGGAGACTGATGACAATACAGTACTGTACCTACCCTCAACAAATATGTGGAGAGGTGTGTGAGATTGAATGCTAAGTCATATACCAGCAGGCACACATTGTTCCAATTGTGGTATTAATTAGAATTATTTTATGGGTAAACATTTTACAGTACATATACTGTACAGTAATAGTTATTCATCATAAATCTAACAAAGTTAAATCTTCGTTAAAATGTAGTACAGTATTCATTCATTTGTAGAACCCGTCATCAATGTCCTCACATTGGACCTTGTGTGAATGTTGAGATAGAAATATTAAATTATTTGTAAGTAAGAATATACTGTTTAGTCATGCTGTAAGTATTGTGATTTTGCAGTGATGAGTAAGCTTATTAATGTGCATCAAGGTTATACACTTGAATTTTTTAAATAAACAAAGAAATTTAGTAGATATAAGTATCATGCAGTTCTGAATACAATATTGCATGGAAATTTGCTTATTATCATAGTAAAGCAATGCCACTTATATCTAACTGAAGAGGGCTGTATTTGTAGCAGCAAAAATTAAAATTAATTACATAGTCTAAACAATAACTTCCGTAACCAGAGAGATTACAGTACCTTATAATATATTGCCCGAGGCTCCACTGGTATAGTACGTCTGAGCAGCAGCTCACTTATTAACTACATCTTGATACACTGACACCAGATGATGTTTGTCTCCTGCTGGACACTAAGAACACAGTTTATGCCTCAACAAACTTTTGAAAGAACTCCAGGATCAGTCTAGAGTAAGTAAAAAAAAAATTATTTGAGCATACACAGTATCATGTAGATTGTTATTTTCTTGGAAACAAATGGACTGGCAGACAGAATTACAGTCAACTCAGACACTAATTAGAACTGAAATCGCCACACATCTTAAATAAAATATGAAACCCTTTGTGAAAATCTCAACACATAAATGCAATCTTCAAGGTAACAAGAGTCACAAAAACAATATTTATGCAGATGGAATCCTTGAGAAGGAGGAAATTTTCAAGCAATAATGAGGTTTTAAACCTTTGGATATGCAAATTGAACCAATGTTAAAACCTAATGCTGAATTGGTATTAACATTTTATTAAATGTTCATTGTAGTTTCAACATTGATACCTGATCCTCATTCAGTATTGTTTCAATGGGTTTTGCCAGCTGGAATGCTTACCGAGTGTACTGTACTTAGTGAATATTTAGCCTATAGTTCTTAAATTTGCATCTCTTATCAACTTCTTGAGATGGGCTTCATGTATTGTCAGTTCATTACCTGAAAACCCTGCAATAAAGTGCATCTGCAGTTTCCTCCCATACATTATTTTATGTGTGATAGTATGGCAAATACAGTACTGTACAGGTACAGGTACTTGATAAATGGGAAATGTATGTAATTGAGCAGGTAACTGGAATAGGAACCCGGTATGAAAATAGTGTTTTTAAGACTTGCTCTTGCAGTTAGTCAGAATGATCAAGCTGTAATTAAGCTGACATTTGTTTACCCATGGTGGTACAAAACACACATACGGGTTCACAGCATTTGTACTATTTTATAAATTTGTTCTTGTATTGTAATGTGGCTTTCTTGTGTATCCCTAAATTTTACCTGCTTGTTCTACCTCTGACTAGCATGCTAGTAATTATTGTTGCATGCATTATTTAGTATTGTCCTGTGTAAAAGGTCATTTGTTAAATGGCATGGTAACATTGTAGTCTTTCATTTTCAGAAGCTGCATTATTTATGAAATTTATTTGATTTGGACTAAGAGCATGTACGTAACCCCGAAAGCTTTCAACAGATGCTCTTGGAGAATTACATTACATTGCAGCATTTCACTAGAATATACATTCAGATTGTTGTAAGCTCAATTTTGCTGTAATTTTGTGAAATACCGAAGTGTTGCTTGATTATTCAATACACTTTGAGAAGGACCTTTATTCATGGTCAAATATATACAGTACGTTATTGAATGCAGATGAAAAGCTAGCATTGGTTACTCTTGCGCCCTCATCCATAATATTTCCAGAATTGATTAGTTATAGTATGCCGTTGACAGCATTGTTGTTACTGTGTAAATCTGTGATATTGGTGTGTCTAGCAGGCAACAGTTTTTTCATGTGTAGTCCATCTCATACAAATTACTATACAGTACTAACCTTGAGACTTGTAAAATTGTCAGCTCTGTATAAGAACTTGACTCATCCATGGTCAGAATTTTTCCCCTTTCCTTTAAGATAAATCAACACATGTGAAAGACTTATTGGTTGAATGAATTAAACAAGCTGAAAGAATGAATAATGGGGTACAGTATAGAATAAATCCGAGTTCTTATATTGTACACTATTCAGTCAAATAAGTCTCTGTAATGAAACAATTACTATACTATATCTAACCTTAAGTTCTGAGACTTGAAAATTTATATACTGTACTGTACAGATTTATGCACTTTCTGATGGTTAACAGTTGTTGTCTTCCACTGTCTCAGAATGGAGGAGTTAGTTTTCTTTTGGCACATTATCCTTTCCACCTAGACTGCATACCCATGTCTGCCTCATTAGGTTTCTGGACATTTGCGATTGTACTGGTTCTGCTTCTTGTACCAATTTCATACTGTGCAAACTCCTTTATAAACTCAATAATTTTCTGAGTTCGAATTTGGGACTAAGGTGTCAAAATTCAATTTGTAAAATTTTTGGGCATTTGCAGGTGTAATTGTTCTTATGTCAGTTTCTGAATTAAAAACTGTTGAAAGCAGCTGCGTCTTTCAAAGGCTTCTGAGCATTTACTCAATATATACTGTATTGTGCCCCTCCTACTATTTATGTGCTTTAATTGATATTATTGGTTCAATACTAGTACAGTATAGTCCTGTAGAAAATTAGACAACATGGCAGCCTTTAATGAATATCCATGAAGAACTAAGATACTGTACTGTTTACTTATATCAAAGTGTTCTCAAGATTCAAGGCAGCATTCTGTACTGTATTGGAGACACTTGTTTTGCTAACTTACAACTTGCTACATTAGGGTATATTTGGCTGTATTGGCCCCTCTTATGTTCTATCATTCTTGTCACTATTTCTCATTTTTCCTTTTGTATCCAATCATTTTTTCTCTAATCTACTTTTCTATTTGTTAGTTTTCTAGTAATGTATCTCATCTTTTATTTTCTGTCTCTTTCTCTTTTCTCTCTCTCTTTTAAGAAGCTAATTACTAACCCACATTTTACATCAATTTTGAATTGTTGGAAGATGAAGGAGGGCTGCTTACTGGATAGCTTTATGCTATGGAAGATAATTACAGGAGGCATAAGAACAACACCCAAAAATTAATTGATATTGGTACAGTACGCACAGTAAAAATGAAAATTGGCTTTTTTTCCACCAATGATTTTTTTTCTATGATTGTCACAATCTGAGACTTGTTTCCTGTTAAACAGCTGTTCCATGTCTGATGATAGTTCAATAGGTTAGGTGTTTCTACCAGAGAAAATACTTGCAAACAATGCATAAATAATTGAACCTATTGTCCAGATATTCCAGTTCTTTTGATGTGTACTACTGTAATTCAATTACATTTGTTACACTTAATATTCTTACGATGCTTTAGGTGATAAGAACTGTAGTATCCTACATTTATTTAGTGTAAAGATTTAACTGCAATATGTTTTAATTTTTTATATACAGTGTACTACGTATACTGTACTGCTGTGTAATGCATCTGGGTTTGGTAAATTCTTTAAAAGTCCAAAGTCTTTAAAATCTTGAATATTTTAGCCCATTTAATGATATTGTTTCCTACTTTTGTTGAATTTTCCATAATATTTTGCTTTTGCATTGTGGGTAGTTAGATATACAAGACCTTTTAAATTAATTCGTGTCTTTCTTAGAGTTTCCTCTTTTTGTATTTGGTTTTATCTTGGGGAGGAATATTATTACTGTACTGTACTATGCTTTTGGGAGTTATGGCCACTATTCTTTTTCTGTTGGATGCACATCCAACTTTGTGCTTAGAATGACTAAAAGAGTAACAGGTGTTGATCAAGTTTGATGTGCAAGCATAACCCAACAAAATCTCAGAACAGCTTAATGATCAAACCTGCTTTGTTGTCTTTGGTCACCAGTCATATTAACAAAGGACTTACCATACAGTAGGTCTAATAAAAGAAAAAAAATTACTTGAGCAAGTTTATTCCCAAAATCTATTACACAAATCAGTTTTTTTCTGTGCAATGATATCATTTAAATACTGTATTTGAAATTAGAGAAAGAGCTCATAGAGTTGAATATTGACATAATTAAAGAAGGGAATATAGACTACTACATTAATACTGTATAGTTTTAGGATCTAGTTTCCAAAACTTAAAATAGAAAATCATTTTCCTTTTGTCATAACTCCTGGAATACTTAAAAGTCAATATACTGTACGTACCGTAATATGTACTATTGGCTATGTCCTCAGTATTTCTCAATCAGTATCCTATATTTTACATGTTAAATTGTATTTGCCTTGCTGGTGATGACTGAACATTATTCTCCTATACTGTACAGTTTATTCAATAACAACTTCTTTTGTAAATTTAGGTGAAAGAGTTTATAAAAATATTATATCTGTATTTTCAGATAAAAAAAAATAGGGGTTCAATTTACAGTACCTTTCGGTTTGGAAGTCTTTTTTCGTGATGTTAACTGCAGAAGCATCACTGCCTAAGTCTCAGCATTTTGGAGATTATTTAATCCATCATCCAGCATGTGCCAGGATTTTGTTCCCCCTAGTGAAAATTTAAGAGATTCATAGGTAAATTGTGTATTATCCATGTTGTGTATTATCCATGAGACATCTGGTTCAGTGTATGATTATTGTTAAAGATTGCCATCAATGTTTTGCATTCATTGTTTCTTTTAAGTCTAGCAAATTGTTTTTTTCTGTGCTTGTTAACATTTGCATGTTTTAATACCGGGTAGATAAAAAAAAAATCAAGAACATTTAAAATGGCAGAAGAGCAATGCGTAAATTTACAAGTCTCTGTTAACCAAGGTGGCAAAGAGACCCAAAAGTGTAGACAGTGTTTGAAAATAAAACAATCCAAATTTGTGGCCCAACCAAGGTAGTGGTGGAGTGGAATATAAGGAAGATAATCAGATTAGTCATACATTTGGTGAAACAAGCACATAATTATTCAAACTTATTTTATGAAAAAAATTATATGAATAGCATTTGAAAGTCATTCAAGCCTGTCTTCATTATTAAATTATCTGTTTAAGAGTGTTCTTCCATCATGTACTGTCTCACTGAGAAAGAATCGAATGAGCCAATGTTTCTTCATATGTGTTATCCTAATTTGTTTTCTTAAAAAGTATCATTCACTGGTTTTATGTGTGTATATTTTTTTCGCTTGTGCAAACCTTTTTGTGCTATGATGCATATTGGCTATTAATATTTCCCTAACAAAGCAATACCCTCTGTACCTGGTGAAGCACATATCAAGGTTTATCTTCCTCCATTGACCCCAGGGCAGCACTTACATGCCCTGACCACTTGATATTGTTTTGTTCTGCACACTTATAGCATGCACAATATTTAAAATGTATATTGTTTGTATGTATGCTCTATTACTACAGTACTGTATATTATACTAGTGTAATTATTATTCTCTAAATTCACTACTTGTTATAATTATAAATCTTGGTTTAAGAAGTTTCATCTTCGTTGGTTTAAAAAATCTTCAGAATAACTGTTTGCTTACATTGTTCAAACCTTTAATACATATTTGTCTCAGATCTTTGACAAGAAATGATCTAATAATCTTGTGGTGACAGATGTGCACCATGTATATAAAGAGGGTATAACAGAGTTGTAGGCTTATTTCTAGGTAAAACATAAGCAGCTTAAATACAAAGTGAATTATAGCCATTATCTACAATATACGTACAATACTTTGTTTTGTGTAGAAGAAAACTGAAAATCTATTAACTATTCCCTTATTTAATTTATGATAATCTTATCAAAGGTTGCTGCATGCAAACTATATTCATGTAGGATTAGACAATGAACATGGTAGCATATTACTATAGCATGGGCAAACTAGTGACCTGCATTCTTGCTTACACCAGTGTGACTTTCATTATGTCAACATATCATGTGTGAAAAAGGAAGCTGGTTGTAAAATTGATTATGGTTTGGGATCACAGGTGGGTTTGACTGAGAGTCTCTTAACCTTTGATATGGTCACCTGTTAATGCTGGGTGGCCGGTATCCTTTAATGTGGTGGTGGAGCTCACATTTACACATGCTATAATGGTAGAGAATGCAGAATGGCTTGTAGTTTGTAATGCAGTTACAGAGTACAGATTTTGTACTTTAGTGTGGAGAGCAAGTAAATTTTAATTCTGAATGGTTAAGGAGCATGCAATTAGCACATCATAATACCGAAAGAAAATTATTACCTAATAATGATGGATGTGATTTATAAATACATACAAAGTAAACCATCACAATATGGGGAAAGTTTAGATTGATCGTGGCTGTGCGTCACACATTACCACAATATAACATGGCATACCAAGCGACTGGTAACGTTGAATGTGGTTGTGTAACAGATAATACTGAAATGTGATTGTGTAGGAAATGAGCATATCAATACTGTACTGTATGTGAGGCATATGGTAGGTGAGACTCTGGGCCTCCTGAGTTTGCCTGTCCTTGCACATCAAGACCTGTCTGTGATAACTGTGTGCTCACCTTAAAACACCAAATGTTATGATACAATGTGATGTTATGAAATAATTCATAATTTACAATATATAATATTCAGTGAAGAACAGTGTCTTAGGTGTCATGTACTTACATGAACCCCTCTATATTATAAATGAAAAACCTATGTGTGGTGTATATTTTGGTGATGTGTGTTAATTTGTTATTTATGACAATAAGATTGTGCCATCAATTGTACCTTTGGAGGATTGGAGTGTACAGACCTGAGACATCCAGTACACATAACAATGCACTGGATTTCATGTCAGTGACAATGTTCTATGGTGAAGGAGAAAGATGCCTACTTCACTCTCTTGGATTTTCACACCTAGTGTTTTCCAGCTCACTAATAGTTGATACAGCTGTTATTCCTTATTTGTAAGCATTCCACAGCTTTCAAGTCTAAAGCCTTCTTACCTGTAGTTTGCAGGATCAGCTGTGAATCCTCTCAACTCTTCCTCAGTATATTCAACCTCCTCACTATAGCAATAATAGGCACATTCCTATTGTCCTCACTTGTATTACTCAAGCAGTAATACTGTACAATGAACAACTGTAGTATTTTTAAAAGTTTTGCTGAAAGCTGAGGTTGAAAATATAGCTTAATATAATTATAAGTTTTGATACAAGCCATTGCACAAGATTACATTCGGTTGTTATCCCATAATATACATGAATTACAATAATGAGTGCTCTCAACTTGTGCTTTGCTTTTGTCAAAATGTTATCTTTGTGTCAGTTTTTTTTCTATATTGGAATAATAAAGAGAATCTTACCTATTTTGTATTTTATGTACCATTAACATTAATTAGAATCTTTATACAAATAAGACTTGTCATAAACCAAATGACTGTGTATCAATTTATAAACATGAGTTCAGTTGTAACTGAGGTAACTGTCAATGGATCAGTTTTCCGGCATTTGAGTAGACTGTGACTAACTCCATGTTCAATTATGAAAAAGAAACAAAAACCACCTGAGGAGGCAATTGCTGAGTTACCCTCCTGTGCCACCGCTTAATCAAACTTTTTTCCCATACTGTACTTACTGGATTTTTTTCTGGTTTGGGGATACAATACATGTGTTTAATGCTGGACCCCAGTCTAGTTTGCAAAGGGATCCAGATTAAGTGTGTCTGGTTTGAGGGAGTTCACTGTATTATTACTATTGGAATAAAAAGCTCACAGACATGAACTGAAAAAGAAGAATTATAGTCTACAGTTTAGTGAATATTGTTCATGTTTTAAGATAACATTTTCACTCCCAAAATGCTTGGATTTCAAAACCGAGAAAGTGTCCCTCACGAATATGAGAGGTCGGGGATCGTGAATAGGGATTTAATATACATTTAACTCGTAAACTCAGAAATCATGAATGGTGAGGGCTAACTGTACAATTAAATCATAAATAAATACAGTTACCTGTAAAGGAAATGGAGAAATAAAAGTTTAGACATTTTAAATATTTTGTATTTAAAATTTATATATCTAAGACACTGTAAGCTTCATAGATATAGAAATATTGCTTTTAAATTTTTCTAGAAAATTTACATAGTAATGACTAAATCATGGCTTTCACTTAACAGACACCTACCGGTAAATGGGAAACTTAATTTGTGGGGTTTCGGATCATATTTGGAGAAATGAAGTGTGCCTATTGTTTATACACAAGCAAAGATGAGTCATGTAAGAGAAAAGCTAATTTTATGATATTAATTTCTCCTGCAATAACTCCTGTATTATAAGTCTTAGGTCCATAAGGTGTAAACCAAGGTTAATCATTAGACATTAATAAGTACATACAGTACTAACTGTCTTCATATCATAGCCTAGTCTTAAAGGGATATACCTGTACAGTAAAAACACTCATCACTAGGATAATTATAATTACATCACATCAACATGTGCCTAACATTCACAACATATTCCCTAGTGTTGCCAAAGTTCAGGGAATTTTTTTTATTTTTTATTTGTTTCTAATTTCAAATATTTTTAATTAAAAGCTCCCCTTAGTAGCAATGTGAATCTTAAAGAATAGTGAAATAAGTAAGCATAGTGGTAGTAAAAACTACATTAATTTAGCATATTTTCATAATTACAAATCAAAGCTGTGAATACTGTATTCATAAATCAAATCTTCATAAATCATGATCTGCGTGTACAGCATTAATGAATTCATCCACTCACTAATGTCTAAGGGTTGATCTGGGGTTTTAACCTATTGACTTACAGTTATAACACACAAGTCATTTAGTCTGGGTGAAATCACAAAATAGGATCTGAGACTGATAATATTTTACCTTTGTAAAAACACGAGGTACAATATTACTTCTCAATTAACCCTAAAGCTGGAAATCTTCTATACTTGTATCATTTTTACATGTAGAAATGGAAATATAAATTAAATTTATACTGTTGAAAAAGTTCAAATTAGCCAATCAAAATTATAGTATTGGTTTTCAAAGAATATTTTCAAACATGACCAGATTGAGTAAGAGTCATCATAACAATGCTCAATAAATATAATTTTACAAAAGAAGTTGGTACAGTACACAAAACTGTAAGAGACGTAAAAAGGTCTGTTTATGCAGATAATTAATCACATTGTTTGAAACTTTTAGAAACCTATCTTTATTATACATGACTTAATAAAGCCCATCATGATATAAATAAAAATATAATTTTAGGTGCTGAAATATATCGATTGATATTCCTGACTAAAGTACCATTCCTGGTCTTATCCAATGACTAGCCATCATGATTTGGGCAATAATAATGAACGTCATAAACAAATTAAAAAATAAATTACCTGTATTTAAATAAGATTTCTGAAATGGTAATCAAAGACTCTGAAATCATCTTCATATATCCTGATAAGGTCCTGCTGTTGGTTTTTTGATAATGTATCAAAATAAGGGTCAACGTAGGCTGTTGTCTTGGAGGGAATAACTTCAGGAAACTGAATAGAAGGTGGTGCTCCAACCTCCCTTAAGATATACTCGGAGTCCTCAGCTAGCGTCTCGTATTTACCTACATAGTCATACCTGTTCAAAGTATGGAGGACCATGAGTAAATTTCATAATTTTATAAAGAAAAGTGCATTACTATCTTATCATGCAATACAAATATAGTATTTTATTACATTACATTACAGGTACATTACATTTTCAATAATATTTTGAAGTTTGGGGAAAAATAATTATGAAAACTCGTCCCAATGTCAGATAAATTCAGTTTTTAGGATAGTTTGGTACACCGGTAACATGAAAACCAAAGCGGCGGCTTAGCAAACAATGCAGAGGGCGTGTGGGAATTTCCTGTGTTCCAAACCTGGGATATTTTAAATTTCCACCTCCTGGATATTTTGTCTGGACTTGTGGTGGTGCTAAACCAGTGATTGTTGGATAATTGATGGTCAACCTGTACTACTACTTATACAGCTAATTTCATCTGCAACCTCTTTTTATACAATCATTACCTACACCTCACTTATTCTTCTGTTTCTCTTTCATTAATCTAAGTCAGGTACATTTTTCTTCGTATTTAAAATGTGCATACACTACTGTACACTACCGGGTATGTAGAATCTTTCCTAAATATTTTAATTACAAATTATTCTTCCCTACACATTGTCTGCACCATCCCATGGCAAAATTATAAAGACAGTATGTTACAATAAACCAAGTTTTTTTTTTGGTCATCACATGTGTGAAACACTAACTGAATATAATACACAGTAAGGCCTAAGAGAATATATAATTTAAATTTTACATTAAACATTCATATACTCACCTGACAGAACATGGATAGCACATAGTTGATACAGGTGCCCAATGTTCATTAAGTTGATCAGTTTTGGTATCTATTAGATATGAGACAAACTCTGAGAACTTGACACCATGACCACTTGCTGGTATATCAGCTGGATCAATACCTTTACGATATTTCTTGATAATCTTGACACCAAAACGCTTTTTAAAATATGCAGATGAAGTATAATTTTTTTCAAATTTGTTCCTGAATGCTGAAAGGACTCTTTCAATTGGGTGCCGGACAAAGATGAATTTGGTGTATGTATGAAGACGATAACGAATATCCTGGGGCTGAAAAATATAGATAAATAAAACGAATAGAAGTCACGATACTCTCCCAAATACAGTTAAAAGATTATTCAATTCCTTGAGATAATAGAGTTGATCTTATCAGCAAAGTGCAAGCATTGTGAGTACAATCAGAAAATGCTAGAATATTACAGATTAGGAGAAATATCACATCTGGGTCACAGTGATGCCCATGTGCTGGCGCAAGTCCAATCATTCAGCAAGGTAAGCCACACACACAGCCAGTCTTTGTAAACTGATGTTCCGCACAGAGGGTCAGCCAACACTGTACCAAACATTATCCCCTTAGCCATTTAATGTTTTTGAGCTTTTATGATTTTCCTCTTCCCTTCTTAATTACTGTATATACATACTGCATATAAGTAATAATTTTTGTGTAAACTATAGCAAAGAAATACAGATGCAACACCTTCATATGAAATTAATAAATAAAACAATATCCAGACATTTTCACCTGCAACATACAAATATACTTGATGTACAGTACTGTATTTATCCAAGACAAATTCATTTATATACTGTACCGTATGATCTTTAAAGCACCAAGTGACCGAAAAATAAGCTTAAGAATGCTGTTAGTGTTAAAGCGCAGTGAATACTCTCATCAGATTTCAAGGTACAGTACTAAACATTTTGGAACTGGTTTTAACACAAGTTAGGTTAAACAATAATGCCTATCATATATAGAGTGTTTTGTAAGTATAATATATACAGTATATTGTACTGTATACTATACACCTATGCTGTGATATGCAAGTGTAGACAAAGAATTTTAACTGGATACATATACTGTATTGGTGTCCACAATAACATTACGTATATTGTTTCTTGTGTACCAAGTACAGATAATGGGCTTTGTAATGCAACCTTGGTGACAAATCATTACATCTAATGTAGTACAGTATATTTTACTATTATAACCTTAGTTTAGGTCATGTGTACATAAAGACTACTCTAGTTTACCTCCAAGTCTCCAAGTTTCGTAAAAACATTCTTGCGGTGAACACTGTCAGAAGGAATGGAATGTGGTTCTGTTAGGTTTGTTCCACCCATCAACATCAACATTATCCGCTTCCAGTTCGTACAGGCCACCTGAACACCAATACAAATACAGTAGTAGTCAGAACTTAATACAGGTGTAAAGTACTTGTACATTGGCTTTACCAGTGGGTAAATGACTGAGGCAATTAAAAGCCTAAAAATCAAAAGTATGTCCCATGTGTATGGCTGCCAGTGATAGACAATGTGGATACAGCACACTATATACTAATCCTTCAGTATGTAAAGTGGCAGCTTGGCCAGTACCGCACTTAACTGCCTTCACGTCCCCTATTGTAAAGTTAGGTACCCAATTACAGTTGGGTAACTGGGAGTGCCCTGGAATCAAATCATCGACCCTTAGAATAGAAGGAGAGCACTGTATCCACTAAGCTGCCATACTGTAACTTAAAACTGAAAAGTCAAACAATTAATAACTTTAATAATTATCAGTTATATTTTTGTATTTAAATTGTATCAGCCTGTGGCGGCTACTCTAAAACTGAACAAATAAAACCACAGTACAGGTACAGTATTAATAAAAATTACTGGATATTATGCATAGACTTACCTTAGGCACATAGCAGTATAAGATATGATTCTTATCATCAACAATAAGATTATTGAGCATTTTTGGATTAGTAACTAGTTCCTCCGTGATAGGATCTCCGACACTGGGCAAACCATTGTCAAAAGTGTTTGGCCAAACATCTACTGAACATGCCCTCTCTACTGCCTTTTTCCGATGCTTCATTTCAAGTGTCACGTGAGAGAGGGAGAGTGTTTCTTCAGAAGCTAGAAGGAATAATTCATTTGCAAATAAATCCAAGACAAAAACTGGCTCTACATTAAGTTATACAGGTACAGTACCTCTATGTGTACTGTACCTGTAAATTTGTTAATCACAAATTTATCTACACATATACAGTACTGTACCACTTGTACATGAGAGTAGAGTATCAGCATGCACTTGAAACACCAATAATAAATAATAATGAAAAAGCATGTAAAAAAAAAAATCAGACTACCTGTAATGGATAATTAGAATGCTTCAATGTTAAAATTCTAGTAAACTGAATATTTTTTGTCACAGACTTCATTAATTTTCTTCTTTTATGGGTTTTTGGATGACTGTACTATACTTGCATTTAATTTAACGATTGTTTATCTAAGTAGGTACAGTACAGTACCTGTATGCCTAGTTACAAATCATAGATTTAAATTGATTCTGTTAACCTATATATTTTACACTTAATTGCATGTAGAAGTTAAATTTAACAAAAAAAAAATATGTTTTGTATAGGTATTTGGGCAGCAGCCAACCAGGGACAGAAAAATAATGCTGCCATTGTAAAGTCATAAATTTTCACCATTGTTTATTGATTGACTTATGCCATGTATGACATCCATGAGCATTTATCAGTATTACTGATTTGAGATCACTATTATGAGTCAGTTAAAAATTGACAGTGAATCTGAAGTGTCAGATACAGCATTACTGTACTGTATCTGGAGGTGGCAGTAACTAGCATTGATAAACAAACAAATTCTGATGATAAAGATAGCCTATCACTTGTTACTGCTCTGTAGTCATGGCTGTATGTGAGAACTTTATTTGATGTGAGAGGTAAGGTTGGTTGGTGATATGGAGAGAAGAGAGCATTAGCTCTGAGAGTGCAAGAAGGGTACAGTACAAGACAAAGTTCAGAAGTGGGAAATATAGGAGGTTGACAGCAGGTGGGCTATCTACCCCTCTTTTATATATACAGTAAGTTGAAATGACTAACAGTGTATTTGTCCAACATCACTGTGTACTGTGAGCGATTGCATTAATATTTATCATCACAGAGTATTCAACATCAAGTATAGTACACTATACCCACTTATCACAGTACAGTACAGTAATTATGATGTACTGTATAGTAATGTATATTTATTCATTGTAATACAATGTGTATTACAGTACATTTCTAGGCACTTTGAATAAAAAAATCTAAATCACATCATAATATGTTGCAAAATTATCTACGTACTCACAAAATTCTAAGGGAGATTTTCTTTCTGTAAAAAAATATTAACAAAAATTTTACCTCTGGACTATAAAAAATGCTGTAATTTTTATATGTACCATATTAAAAGACAAGTGTTAATAATTCGGCTGAAGGATGATTGGAGGATGAATCAAAAGGGTTGTATACTGCTTTTGGTGCTGACTCGTGAGCCTCAGTGGCCTGGACTGGTACACTGAGGGTTACCAACACTTAGTTCGTCTCATGTCTTCACCACACGAACAACCAATTACTGTATTATTTTTTTTTTGGGGTTAAGACATTTTTAATCTTATAATACAATGAAGCAATTACTATAGCACTTAAATTTATTAATACAGTTTAAGCAACATGGACAGTCCCCTTCACGAGACCATTTACAGAGGCTCGTCATATAAACATTACACAAATCATTATATTTGTTTTAATGTTGTTTTACTTTTATTCCATAGTATGTTTACTATTGCGAGTTTCCTTCTGTTGAATGTAAACAAACAGCACTGCCAAAATGCAGTGACTGCACAAAACCTGACTAGTCCCTGTAAATGCATTAGTGATGGGGACTACAGTTTAGACGTGAGGTAAAGTTATTAGGAAAGTCCATAAGGTGGATAGTGATAACTGTACCTGGAATATTGGAGGAGAGTGGCATCTTGTCGGCCAGGGTGGCTGACAGTATGAACCATCTGACTGAGGCGATGCAGGTGAACAACGTAAGGCCCACCAGTGCCCACACCACCGCCCGCAGCCGGCACATCATGCCTCGCACCCTACCACCTTCACTGAAATATGCTGTACCTCAAATTCATGTATTTGGCAGGTCACTGTTGTCAGCAAAGCACCAAAAGTAATAAACAGACAATTAAGAATATCAGTACTATATCACAGTCCATTTACATTATGGAGGCTTGGGTATTATGCATTTTATCTGGAGACAAAAGCAACCAACCAAACCTAACTTAGATACAATATATTAATATCAATACTGTATTTAGTTGAATAGGTTGGGTTATGTTTGGTTTATTTATTTTATATATTTTATAAGACGGCTTGTTCTATTTTCACCAAATATAAAATCTGGTAAATCCAGATTACTTCTTTGAAGCTTGTTTGAAAACGTAAACCTACATAATTATAATGGTTTAAACGTGACTGCAATACTGGTCTATTTAATTATCAATAAGTACATTATATTAACGGGAGACAATACTAAGCTGGGAAATACTTATGAGTAAAATCGAATGACTAATGAAATCCCGCAGGGAAGCACATGGCCAGCGATCAAACAGAGGGCAACCCACAAACTGGTTCCTTGTTGTCATATAAGGAGACAACAGGTATGGATTGCATAACGACGGCTCTGACTGCCTGATATAATTAGATTTTGATATAATTTTCTTGACATATTAAAACGTACAAGATGTAAAAAAAAAATCATAAAATAATTTGATCGGCTGACACGCGCCAGGGGCTCCAGAATCAGCTAAACTTTTCAAGTAGTTTATCATCCTGATACATAGATGATTAATAGATTATTGTACCCCGAAGTGTCCAGAAGATGAAATTTTGGGGGGTTGGTACAAAAGGAGCCTACCCCTTATCCCCAAATACTGCACCCCATAGTCATCAAATATTTCCATTCACGTGATTCTCATAGTGACTATTGTAGCCAGAATGTTACTGGTCAGCCTCTTGCATGTTTCCCAATTTGCTTCTTTTCCTTTTCCACAATCAGAAATTCTGTAGGGGAATACAATCGCAGTATTTCACCACAAGCTACAAAACAGCTCAGATGATAAAACAAACCTGATTAGTTGAAGACACAAAAGAAAAAAATAAACTTATAAAGCGGGAGCGAGAATAACGAAGATTTTTTTTTACGGTAAAATGCAACAATGGAAGGAAACAAAAAGAATATTTCATCACTACCATAATAGTAACTGAAGACTGCACTTAACCCTTAATTTGTGGCAGGACAAGATGAGTGGTACAATATTTACTAGGTCAGACAGCCGAGTGGTGGAGCCATGGCGGGCTAGACAGCTGTATGTGACGCCTCGCTAATAACCCCAACTAGGACACCACTCATCTCCCACCCCCGGATACCTCTTGAGTCTTGAGCATCCTTTGGGGTAGCTGTACGTCGATTATACTGAATAAATAAATATATAAATGTTCATTATAATCGACAAACAAGTTCACATTGGTGTTGATGGTATAGCGGTAACGCGTCTTCCTTATTATGTCTAGAAGGGTTCAATTCCCGGCCGGGTCAGCTGTGAGAAGGGTGTTATTCAGTATGACACTACCAAACATCGCAGGTTTTCGCGGGTACTCCGGTTTCCTCCTGCATTAACTCTGCCACGGGACAATGGAGGCTGTTCTGACATGACTAAGTACAAACCAACCGGCCAATTAACGGATAAGTGGTGAAATGGAAAAAAAAGGAAGTGGGTTATTGAGCCGGGTCAGACGGTAAAACAGCTCAAGGGCTATGGAGTCTGTTACGTTAGGTTATTTTAATTTTGGTTATATCGTCGAAAAAACAAAAACCAACAACAATGCTGTATACAACTGTCGGCTATTTTACCAGGTGACCCGACTCTATAGCCCTTGAGTTATGTTACTGTCTGACCCGGCTCAATAGTCACTTCATAAAAAACCCAAAAACATAAACACTTGCAATGTATAGAAAGTACAATTATACGTTGGTAAAGAAGCCAAAGTGATTCAACCAAGAGTAATACAAGAAAGTAGTGATTTTATTTCCATTGGGGCCCTTACCAGAGGATCTAACTACAAAACTAAATTCTGTGACCACAAATAGGACAAACAATATGTTGTGTTTAAAACAAGTGAGAATGGTGTAGGTCTTTTTTAGTCAAACACTCACTGATCAGTAAAACAAAAACAAAAAATCGTCTGCTTTTGCTTCATCAGATACAGTGATAAGTTCTAAATTTTTCTGCTCGAGATTATTACAACACACAAAACACTCAAAGCAATTAGTCACAAATACTTAAGTTTGATGCATTATGTAACTAAATTTGATACATTGTATTTTGATCTCCGGTTGATGCATTAGATCTTTGTCTACAATTGATGCATATTTGATGCATTGGATATTTACGTTTGACCCATTGTATCTTTATCTACGTTTGAGACAGTCTCTGTTTACATGCTGAGAAGCGAGGCATCAACTGCAGCAATACTAAAGGCTATGTGATGCTCAATGTACACGGGATGCGAGTGCCTGTGTCCATATGGGGCGTCCGTCCTTGGCCAACCTCCCACGCTCCCACACTCCTCATGCCCGTGCTTCGCCCCGTCCCTCCACACCTGTTGTGGTGTAGCTCTCATTTGCTACACCCCCCCCCCTTTCCCCGTCCCTCTCCCACTCCTGTGAGTTACGAGGAAGCACCTGTCGCCACGACCACTCATAACAAAAAGTTATGATCTACGAGAAGAAAGTGCTTGGTACAACCCCCCCCCCACCGTAAGAGCGTCTCTGCCTATAATAATAATAATGATAATACTAATAATAATAATTAATAATAATAAATTCAAGCCGATTTTTATCGCGATAAAAGAACACAGTCTTCCGCTGAAAAACAAGGACAAAATAAATATTAAGTTTAGTTAGCGTTAAGAACAGTTCGAGCCACTAGTTAGCTGGTAAGTGGTGAAATGATAAATAAAACTAACGCAACTTCCATTCTTGGTTTAGCGCTGAATTAGCATCCATTATACAGGGAAGTAAAGTTCTAATGGGCTATATCAGTGCCCATTTGACCCATGTGACACGAGGTAAAGAGCAGTTAGTTAATCCTTCACACAGGAAGTAGGATTGGCCACCTGTAGCCTCAAGAGAAATAGTTGTTTTTCATGGGATCCGTAACCCAGTGGCGTAGCTAGAATGTGTGCCGCCCGGGGCGGCCCTCGAGTTTGCCCCCCACAAAAATACATATTGCACAGTGACTCACTCTTATATATATATATATATATATATATATATATATATATATATATATATATATATATATATATATATATATATTAAATAGTTTGTGTACCATTATAATATTACTGTACTTTCACATACTCAAATATAGTATGCTTTAAATACACCCCAAACATACTTAAACTTTATAAGTAACAGTTAAACAAAAAGCAAAAACGACATATAGGATAGGGAAAAAAGTAAAAAAGTGTAAAAAATTAGGACCATCTTTATTTCTGAAATGAAAACTACAACTTTCTACAAAGTAACTTTTCTTGTTTTTTTGTTGGCAAATTCTTCAATGGCATTGTCAAAAACTATTTCATCTGTCAATTGTCGCTCTATAGACAGTATGGCAAGATTTCTCAACCGCAAGGTGCTCATAGTAGATCTTAAGTAATTCTTGATCAGTTTTAGTTTCGAAAAACTCCTCTCACAGGTAGCAACACTAACAGCAATTGTGAGGAAAATCCTCAGCATTATTACTATATTTGGAACCGAGTTCCCAAGGTTATACTTTTGAATAAACTGCAAAAGTTCAAGGGGGCCTTCTTTCCACGTCTGTATTCTGTCTTTAATAGTTATAGCAGCAACAGCAACAAAATGCTGAAGTCTTTTTCTCTCAACGAGGAACTCCTCTTTATCAATGTCGTCGTGATCGTGATCTATTTGACACTCATATTTATCATCCAAAAGATTCAATGGGGTAAGGAAGGCATATTTCTCAGCAAGTTCATGAAGCTGTTGAAATCTCAAAGTTATTTCTTGGATCACTCTGTCCGGCGAAGAAAACATTTCTCTCCTCAATTCAATGTCGTATGGCAATTCAGCATCTCGTGATCCTTCACCCAAAAGTGCCGCCCCCCAAAAGTGCCGCCCGGGGCGGACCGCCCCCCCCCCCTAGCTACGCTAGTGCCGTAACCCAGTCATCGCATAAAGACTAAACTTCCCTCACCTAGCCACTCTTCCCGACTTTAGGATAGTGAACCAGTAACCAAGGCTTGGAATCTCAAAAGAACTTAAGTTAATATACCTCTAACTCAAGAAGTGATGAACATAAAATGTAACTGATTTAATTCTATGACAAAATTATGGCCAAATGGTATTGCTATTGCATTAAAACTTGATCGTAATTAAACACACCCTTTCATCCCTATCCAGAGAAAAAAAATAAGGCAAGCATATTTCATAATTCGCCTGTACATTGCAATCATGGCAGTGCACCCAGAGTTTACTCGCCGCAATTCCTGTACTCGAAGTCGCGCCAGGCCAGTATAGTACCCACACACACACAAACTGTGACATCGGGTGACGTACATGGTTGTATGGAGAAAAAACTGTTTTATGCGAATCACAGCCATGTATGCAAGACATGGTGTTGTATGTGTAATAAACTGTTTGAGTGCCATGGGTGTTTAAGTGCCATGGTTTGTTAGTGAATCGAACAAGACTCTTTTACCAATAAGTCAGTTGGTTCGCCTGCTAGCGGCAATAAAAAATTTAATAAAAAACAAAATTGCCTTTTTTTTTTACGATAAAGTTGCCGTTGTGTTATTACTCCGCTTCAACTTTAACGAGAAAACCCACAACCAGATTTTCGGGGAACTTTTAGCATATACGTTAGGGTGGTCTCCTCTATACACCCTCAAAGTTTCAGCTTGTTATTCTAAATGTATATCTCAAATCGTAATTGCACTGGACTAATATTTCTGTACAGCACATAAAATTGGTACTCAAACATTTGAAATGAACACTTTTAACAATATATTCGCTGTTACTGTA